TCACAGTGATGTTGATCATTATTCCTGTAAAGTTGGTTGATTCTAACTCAAGCACTCAAGGAACAAATAACACAACATAATGAAACGGTTTTTACTAAGTCAAGGGCAATAACTCTACAAATACTGGATAAATCCACAAGCGAAACCCAAGGTGCACAACTACATATGCTGAGCAACATTCCCGTAAGGTTTCATGACTCTATGTCAAATCCTTTTTGAGTTACATGCGACACAAGTTGAAAATTGCAAAATTTTACTAAGTCAAGGGCAATAACTCTAAAAATACTATATAAATTCACATGAAAATACCCAGGTGCACAACTACACATGCTGATCAACATTCCTGTAAAGTTTCATGACTCTAGGTCAAATCCTTTTTGAGTTACATGCAACACAAGTTGAAAATTGCAAAATTTTACTAAGTCAAGGGCAATAACTCTAAAAATACTGGATAAATCCACACAAAAATACCCAGGTGCACAACTACACATGCTGATCAACATTCTTGTACAGTTTCATGACTGAAGGTCAAATAATATTTGAGTTACGTGTGACACAAGTTGAAAATTGCAAATTTTTACTAAGCCAAGGGCAATAACTCTAAAAAATACTGAATAAATCTACACAAAAATATCTAGGTGCACAACTGCACATGCTTATCAACATTCCTGTTAAGTTTCATAACTCTAGGTCAAATACTTTTTGAGTTACGTGCGACACAAAAGAGAATGGACAGATGGACGGACGTAATTACAAAATGGTACATAATTATGTGACTTTTCCTTTGATCTTTTAAGCCATTTTTAGTCACACAAGGCTTAGAAAAAGACACACAAGTAAAAATGGATAAAATAGGATCAAAGAGAATTTACAGTTACCCATTGTTCTCCAAGTCACACAAGTACCTTTGGGTTTGTACGGAAGGACGGACAAGGGTAAATCTAAATGCCCCCCCTTAAGAGGGGGCACAAAAATGCTAAAATATCTATGGGTTCTCTTGTGTGTAGATGAATACATGATTTGTTAAATGAAGCAAAATTTTAGATATTTGAATTACATCTTAACCCTTTCCCCCATGAGCATATTGTGAAAAATGGCCGTTTTCACTGAAAAGCCTCCTGTTACAAGTTCAAACTGCTATGAAACTATGAAAAATGCTTCAATACTAATCAAACTTGGCACAAATGTTGACTGGACCATTGCCTTTGTAACGACATGCTCAGTCTTAAATTTCCTGTTACCATGGCAATGAGGGGGCATCTCAAAATTGCCAAAAATCACTATTTTGCCTCGATTTTTTCCATCAAAATTTATTTCAAAGTGCTGCAACTTCTCAACACGTTACATTATGATCGACCTGGGGTCATTTTTAGCCTCTCAGAAGTCCAAAATTTTCTTGGCGATAAGGGGGACTCCGCCCCCTTCAAACCCCCCTAACAGAAGGGGGCACATCCCCCTTCTGGCAACCCCCTGATGTATCTTTTGGATGGGGGGGGCGGCGCCGAAAAAGTGCTCATTTTTTTTAGCAACATTTCTCAAACGAAAACATGTGTTTGGGGCCCAAATAGGACATTTTTTCACTATTTTAGGCCTAAAAAAGGGGGGGGGGTCGAAAGTGCGTTGTTTCGCGTATATATGGGGTAAAGGGTTAAGTATATTTTCACAAAAAAATTCTCCAATATTGATTCACAAAAATGGAAATACCCATGACATATTCCATAATGGGCATTTTCATGACCTCTTTAGATATTTACTTAATTGGCTTAAGTATGGGATTTTAATTCATAAAATGGATGTGCCTATGGGATATTAATTCATAAAATTGGTGTCCATGGAATATTGCTTCACTAAACTAATTTTAACAATGGGATATGTAATAATCGGAAAGAATTTGCCCATGGGAGATTGCTTCACTTAATGAATTTGCCTATGAGGATTGATTCAATAAATGAATTTGTCCATGGAGGGATTGATTCACTAATACATGTAGTAATAACCAAAGGACCCATGTAATAGTAAATTCAATTTGATATATACCTTTATATTTTACTTTAAATGATTCAAAGTTCTATAAATATCAACTGCAAGTAAAGTGAAAAGTTACAACTTACATTGTTTTAATCTTTCTGATAAAGGAAACACTTATTAGTATCAGTGCACTTAATTGTTATTAAATATGACATTTATTTGCCAATTAGCATATGCAAATAAGCAACTTATCACACAAGATATATAAACAGCCTCTTGACAAGTACAGCATAATTTCACAAAAAAATATTCAACATACAACAATAATGATATCTCATATAATATAACAATAAACCACCTAAAAAAACATAATTCGGTGGCAGCTTTTTCTTCTGCTACATTAAACAGAGAGAATTGGTGGCATTTCTTTGTTTTACAACAATACCACTGACTAGAGGTTTGTTTAGTGTGTAAAAGTTGACACAAAAAATAATATCCTTAACATGTCAAAATGAAAACATGAAGTAAATTTAATGCAATGTTGCAATCCTTTTCATATGAAGTTATTGTACAAAAAACAAAATTAAATGCAGGGAAATTATGAATAAATTTCTGTCTTTATTGACTAAATGCTGCACTGTAGCATCCTTAATACACATCAAAAATTAATTACATTTTGTAATAAGTTAAGAAAAAAATTTCCTCAGTGTAAAATTTAAACTTGAAAGTAAGTTTCAACCACTCTAGTTGCACTGTCATCTTGTAATAAAAATTAACTGTCATTGTGAGCAACATATTTCATTTCATATTTACCTATTAACACTTTTTCATTTTAACATTTACCTATAAACAGTTTTCATTTCATATTTACCTGTTGACAGTTTTCATTTCATATTTACCTATAGTCTTCATTTCATATTTACCTATAAACAGTTTAGTTTTACTTCCATATTTACCTATAAACAGTTTTCATTTAATATTTACCAATAGTTTTCATTTTAGATTTATTTATAAACAGTTTTCATTTCATATTTACTTATAAACAGTTTTCATTCTTTATTTACCTATAAACAGTTTTCATTTCATGTTTACCTATTAATGTAAACTGTTTTCATTTCATATTTACCTATAAACAGTTTTCATCTCATATTAACCTACAAAACAGTTTTCATGTCATATTCACCTATAAACAATTTTTGTTTCAATATGAAACCTATAAACAGTTTTCATTTCATATTCAGTTTTCATTTCATATTTACCTATAAACAGTTTTCATTTTATGTTTACCTATAAACAGTTTTCATTTCATATTAAACCTATAAACAGTTTTCATTTCATATTTGCCTATAAACAGTTTTCATTTCATATTTACCTATAAACAGTTTTGATTTTAGATTTACCTATTAACAGTTTTCATTTCATATTTACCTATAACCAGTTTTCATTTCATATTTACCTATAAACAGTTTTGATTTTAGATTAACCTATAAACAGTTTTCATTTCATATTTACCTACAAAACAGTTTTCATGTCATATTCACCTATAAACAATTTTTGTTTCAATATGAAACCTATAAACAGTTTTCATTTCATATTTGCCTATAACCAGTTTTCATTTCATATTTACCTATAAACAGTTTTCATTTCATATTTACCTATAACCAGTTTTCATTTCATATTTACCTTTAAACAGTTTTCATTTCATATTTACCTATAAACAGTTTTCGTTTCCTATTAAACATATAAACAGTTTTCATTTCATATTTGCCTATAATTAGTTTTCATTTCATATTTACCTATAAACAGTTTTGATTTTAGATTAACCTATAAACAGTTTTCATTTTATGTTTACCTATAAACAGTTTTCATTTCATATTAAACCTATAAACAGTTTTCATTTCATATTTGCCTATAAACAGTTTTCATTTCATATTTACCTATAAACAGTTTTGATTTTAGATTTACCTATAAACAGTTTTCATTTCATATTTACCTATTACATGTAAACTGTTTTCATTTCATATTTACCTATAAACAGTTTTGATTTTAGATTAACCTATAAACAGTTTTCATTTCATATTTACCTATAACCAGTTTTCATTTCATATTTACCTATAAACAGTTTTCATTTTATATTTACCTATAAACAGTTTTCATTTCATATTTGCCTATAAACAGTTTTCATTTCATATTAAACCTATAAACCGTTTTCATTTCATATTCATTTCTTATTTCATATTTACCTAAAACAGTTTTCATTTTCTTATTTACCTACAAAACAGTTTTCATGTCATATTCACCTATAAACAGTTTTCATTTCAATATGAAACCTATAAACAGTTTTCATTTCATATTCAGTCTTCATTTCATATTAACCTATGAACAGTTTTCATTTCATATTTACCTATAAACAGTTTTCATTTCATATTTGCCTATAAACAGTTTTCATTTCAATATGAAACCTATAAACAGTTTTCATTTCATATTCAGTTTTCATTTCATATTAACCTATAACCTATGAACAGTTTTCATTTCATATTTACCTATAAACAGTTTTCATTTCATATTTGCCTGTAAACAGTTTTCATTTCATATGTATCTATAAACAGTTTCCATTTTAGATTTACCTATAAACAGTTTTCATTTCTTATTTACCTATAACCAGTTTTCATTTCATATTTACCTATAAACAGTTTTCATTCATATTTACCTATAAACAGTTTTCATTTTATATTTACCTATAAACAATTTTCATTTCATATTTACCTATAAACCGTTTTCATTTCATATTCAAAGTGGAAACAGTTTTCATTCCATATTAACCTATGAACAGTTTTCATTTTATATTTACCTAAAATGTTCATTTCATATTTACCTGTAAACAGTTTTAATTTCATATTCAAAGTGGAAACATTATGTAGAAATGGAGTTGACTTTAAATTAAACATTAATATGTTAATATATTTTAGTATCTATACTGGCTTCTGTTAGTATTAATATGATATATTCTTTTTGTAAATTGACAATATTACCTCAAGTTTGATTTTATTTCTCACAGGACCCTGTATCTTCCATTGACAGTTGGTATTGGAGGGGTATTTGCCATCTACCTCAGGATACTGGAATGAGTAAGACGGTGCCAAAACTTCTCCACCACAACCTGTTCAATACAAAATTTAGATCATTGTACAGTCTGTAACTTCAAAAACACTCATAAATTGCTAAAAAGTACATACATAATCATAACTTCCCTGTCATTCAAGCAAAGAAAATTGTGCGAAGAATCAGAAAACGTCCTCGCCAAATGATTAAAGATGCTGACTCTAAACATTACAACCTCACCACTTCAGGTTTGAATCCTGCAAAGGACTTTTAACTTTTATGTGAGGAAACTATCTATCTACCTCTCAAAAGGTTGATGGTTTATACTCAAGATAGTGGAAAAGGAGAACACTAATTGGTATCAGTTTTCTTCCTTTAAACAGTGATGCTGGACAGTAACCATATATGATTATAACAGTGTTAATGTGACTTAAAACCTAGTAAACTAAACAGGGTCACTTTATAAACAATGACTGTGGCTTACATCATGACATAATGTCATGGAGACAGATATGCCTGGCCATTGCATGTTAAAGTTACACCTGATTTCATGTCATGTAAAAAGATCAAACAACCACTGTAGGTGACTACAACAACATAACATACATGCATGTCATCTTAAATTAACCTCTCCAGTTTAATCAACCCTTGGTAAATAAATGTTTTTTCTGTGAAATTTTAATTTACAGTTTGTATAATGACAGTTACACTGTGTTAATTACAACCATCTAATTTTCTGACAAATCACCAAAAAATTGATGAATGAGTATCACTTGGGTTTTACATTGTACTTGTTGTACAATAACAATTAATCAATTAAAAATAGAAAAATTTATGTACAAATTTACAGTGAACATTTTGGAGGTAATTTTTTTAAGAAATCTAAATTTTTAAATAAAATATTGCATTTTGAAACAGTAAATAATAAAAAAAATCCCTTATTATTCAAATATGAAGATATATTATATTCGTGACTTTATTCAAAATCAATAGAACATTGTCTTAGCAATTATATGGCTTGATTTTCTCAGTATCAAAGTGTTATATTGCATTATTATAAACACATGATGGCAATTCTATATATAATTAACACAGTTAATTCCATAGCTATGCATGATATGTTTCCTTTATATATACCAGGAAACTCATTGTCTCTCATAGTTTCCTCATATATAACAGCAACTCGTTGTCTTTCACAGTTTCCTCATAAATATAGGAACTCATTGTCTCTCAGTTTCCTCATAAATATAGGAACTCATTGTCTCTCACAGTTTCTTCATAAATATAGAAACTTATTGTCTCTCATAGTTTCCTCATATATACAGGAACTCATTGCCACTTATATACAAATTATCTTTTTAATACAATAGTGCAGTAACAGGTTAACTACTAAATGTATTAAAATGTGGATGGCAAGTGGTTCAGGATCAACTTTTTTTACTGAATAATATTTGATGCCCTAAACAGACCTACTTGAGAATTAAGAATATTTCAAGTTGTACAAGGCACTGACAAACTTCCAGTTTCAACTTCGAAAATAAACGGTTTGACTAATGTGCACTAATTGTGAACTGTAGTGCACCGTGGAGTTACACAAGGGGATCAGCATGCAAAAAATTCAGGATAACAACTATTACTGGAATAACACCAGCCCTTAATTTAATAGATATATATGCATCCAGTATAAAAATACAATAAGAACAATTCAAAACTTCAGCATTTTCAATACATGTACAATTGTACATAAATTTTCTCAAAACTTTGAATACATGTTTAAAATTTACAATTTCTGGGAAAAAAACCTTCAATATATTAGTTTAAGATTATTCAAAAGTGTTGCCATGTTAACATTTAATTTCAATATGAAGAAACTGATAAAAGTTGAAATTTTCAGAGTATAACATTAAGATTTTTCTTGTATATCTTATCATAAATCAGGCACTATAAGATGAGCAGGCATGAAAATATCTCATAAGCTTCCACTTTTATAAACATGAACAGATGTCTTGTATAACAAAGAGACTAGAAAATCAGTTTTGTTTCTATTTATAATTTTGTGTATTGATGATGAAATTCAGCTAAACCATCTATCTATAGAATCATTGAACATTTTCAAATTTTTATTTTTGTCTTGTATATCTTGATATGAAGGTTAATTTAAAGAATTTGGTTGTACAAATAGCATAAATTATCAAATATTTTGCCTTATTTAAACCTGTATTATGCATACCTGTCATGCTATAAAATCTGTCTCAAAATTCTGAGACATATGAATACAATTCTAAACCACATGATAAGGACCACTTCTTAATTAAGACCTAAAACTTTTTTCTTTTTTTCTCACCAGTCTAACTGGTAAATATCACAGTTTTATTTACAAAAATAAATATTTTTTACCTCCTTTACAGTTTAATTCATCACTGTTGTCATGGCAATCATTGTAGCCATCACAGCGCCTTGAACCCGGGACACATTTGCCATTTGTGCAGCGGAATTCATCTTTAATACACGCCTTCACCTCACAAACAAATGACAATGTTTGATCACATTTTTCAAGCTTCCAACGGAACTTTCCATACGTTTCAGAAGTTGTCATAGAAACACAGAGGTCAAGGTCATTCAGTGGAGGTTGACCTATCTGCCATATCCCATCATGCCAATTCCAACGACGCCCATCATCTAATAAAAATGCACCATTCTTCCTTTGAAAACCTGTAGGGGAAAAAAGAAAAAAACTGAAAAATAAATAAAAATAACACTTTTTATAGCCCTCTTTTTTAACTGTTATAAGTACATGTATTTTTATATTAAGTAAATAACTTATACTATTATACATGTATAAAATACAGGGCTAGAAGGCTAGAAGTTACCTTTTTCTTACACTTGCAATTTTTTGCTAGTTTGTGAAATGAACTCATAAATTCAAAAATGAACTTAATTTTTTTTAAACATTATTTTTTGCATAATGATTTATGTGGTGTTTATAATTTATCATTAAGCAAGAATTTTCTTTTTTAAAATTGATATCAATATGTAATGCATATACATGTATATATTTTTGTACTTTGTAAAACTTTGTATGTTTTAGACAAAATTACTTGCAATATTTATTTCTTACTTGTATTTTGCAAGTTTGCTGAAATATTATTTTTATTTGTCTTATTTTGGAATACAAAATTTGAATGTACATATACCATTAAAATGAAATTAACATTAAATAGTAAATGTATTCTACAATATATAATAGAAGCAGAACTTGTCTTATGAAATCAAAAAATTTATGGGTTTTTAACACTTCAATAAACTGTGAGAACAGGGAAATAAAAGAAAGGGAAGGCAACTGTAGTAAAAACTGAAATACCAATACTTTAACATCTTCCCTTGTAGTGATTTTATCATGTTTGCTGAACATAGTACAAAAAAAACCCACAAATTCTATCATTTCAAGATTGGCTAAATTTTTCAATGTCAGATATCACAAGTTTAATTGCACTATATATCAAGTAGATGTTTTAATGACTACACTTTCATGGAAATAAAAAACTATGAATCAGATTGGTTTTCACATCCTGATGGATCAGAGTAAGAATCTTCTTTACGCATGTATTTTTATTACTGTACTTTCAGAGAAAATAACATTTCCTTTCAATGGCTTAGCATTATAAAACGCAATCATATAACTGCCAAGGTTGCATGCACCTTTTGGCTTCCACAGTCAGATTTTTCATATTTAATTCCAAAATGTAACATGGCATAATATAAAATGTCATGTGATCAAGGTCAATAATGAAATCTGGACGGCTATGTCCATTTAAAACATGTTTCCACGCAAACTGAACACAAATGAAAATTTGAGTTCAACTGTGCATATGTTTCAAAGCAGGTGTGTGTCATTTGACATTTCCTGTCAAAATGTTATATTTGTCCAAAAAGTTAAATATTCAAAGTAGGGAAGAGAGACAAACTTATGCTTTCAGAAACACTATATGTAACATATTCCTGGTTCTTATTTCTAGTGCATTATAACACTGACTCAGTTATGTCGAATATTACAATTTTGTTAACATAGCCACTTACACATTGATGTCAATTGGTTGGCACTATTTAGTGTATAGACTGCGGACTAAGATTCTATGAAGTCAGTTTCAATATCCTTATCCAATGCATACACATTCATGATAATTTCTCAAGCTTTCTTTTCAAGATAAATTACCAAGCAATTAACCAAGCTTAATTTCATGACAACATATCAAGCTTTTATTCAAGGTAACTTACCAAGCCATATATCACCCGTGGAAGTGTCTACTTGTTGCACTACCTCTCCAAGGGCCTTGTTCTTGTTTAAACTCCCAATGTATACAAGATGACCACCACAACTGATAAAAAGAATGTAAAATTACTATAATACAATAATTTTTAAGCATTTTCTAATAAAATCATGCAAAGTTAAATGATATAACACATGTTAAAGAAACCAGACTCGCCTCAACACCACACAACAGTAGTTTTTTCATGTGGTGTATAATTCAGAAGCCTTAAAAGCCCCAGAAATGCTTTATCTCTGTTTATTTTGTGTCCTATAGCCTCATTGACCAATTTTGCTTCTGTTGCTTTCTGAAAATTAGTACAGCTATAGTAATTTAGAATTTTGTATGGAAGTTAAAATGCAAGTACTAAGTTGTTTATATTTCATTACTTTTAGGACAAACATTTTCACTTTCAGTGATACTTTCTTCTAGCATGCTCTTATACTAATATTTAAAACATTATTAAGCTCATGTTTTCCCTTTGTAAATAAGGAAAAACTTACATTGATTTTGTTTCTGAGGCATAATGTGCCTTAAAAGGCTTACTGATTAAAACTAAATTAGTAATGTAAGTTTCAATATATATGTAAATGGATTATTTCCATATACATGTAGATGAATTATTCTTATGAACATTGTTAATTTTCTTTTCTTGATGTAATTGGAAAAGTATTAAATTTTGGTTTGGGTAAAACTCTAAAACACAACCATCCTAGATCCCAGGTACACCCTACCTAAACAAGGCTACTTTTTTTAATTTATCTCAAATAACAATTCATCCTTAAAAACTTGCTGTCTTTCTTCATAACAAATCTTATTAAACGATACCATCTAGAAGTACTGGCCTTAATTCAACTCAGTACTAGTGACATAAAATGAAAATTTATTTAATTTAAAATTTTCTCTAAAAATAGAATAACAATATCAAAGGTTAAATAAATAAATAAAATCAATACAATGTTTCTATGTCATACTAAAAGCAGGCTTTATTCAATTCTGTTGTATAAAATTTGAAGAAAAAGCCCCCGATTTGTTTTGAATTTCATCATATGTAATACAATGGTGATAAATAATACCAGATTTTATTACACTTTAAGGCGTGCCTTCTCACGACACAAATGTCCGTAAATGTAGAAAACAAGCATTATATTACTTTAAATAGCTTTCTTTATATAAAAATAAGGTTACCTCAATTAAGATATATGGTTTCAAAAGATGAATGATCCATGTTATATAAAACCAGTCTGTAGGTTGTTCAAAAATATTTAACCTGAGCCTTACAGTAAAACCTGTTCTATAGGCAACATTAAAACAAACAAAAATTATTAAACACCAGTATTAATTGGTCAATGTTATTCCTTTTTATATATCACAAAATACCGTAAAATTCCTATTAAACGCCCCCGGGGGCTAAACATTTTTCAAAAGGGGGGCTATTATTACAACATGTTTTTTCCTAAATCCAATAATCATTGAAAATACACTTAGTGTTAATAACATTAAAATGTGTTAAGATTTTAAAGTTCATGTGATACATTTTTGTGTTTACTATGAAAGAAAATGGATTCTGAAGGATTTGAATAAAATTACAGATTTATTAAAGAGTTCACCAATGATGAGCAGATTTTTTTCCATATCAAAAAGCCTGGGGGAGGGGGGCTTTTATTAGGGGAGGGGTGTTTATTAGGAATCTTACGGTAAGCTCTGAAAACAGACCACTTGTCAACAAGGAACATACGTTATTTTTATATTCTTAAGGAGTGTTTTTGATATTGAGTTTTGTCTTAATATGCAACAATTTACATGACTTAATAAATGCAAACATATTCTCTTTTTATTTCCAAATAATTTCATTTTCATGCTAAATACACTAAGAAATATTGCAGACATTTTAATTAAATTTTAATTACAACATCAAAACAGAGCCCTCATTATAAAGCATTTACAGTAAGTGGATTTAAAACTATTTTCTACAGAACTTAATTAATTCAAGCTTTTAAGTTTGAAAGAAGGATGCTTTGATCTTTTCCACCATTACAACAATGTAAATACATGTGTAAACAAATACTTGTACATTGTTGAAATTGCACAATTATGAAATCATCAAGGAAGTATTCATCCATAATAGAACAAATGTATAAACAATTCAGTGTTTCAGATAATTATACCAGCAACTCTTAAACAATGACAAAAACTATATCATTGGTATTTATTCAATGATATTGATAACTAACTTCTCAGCATAGAATTGAAATCAAAACTGTTAGATAATACAGAACTTAATTGCCTATAATAATAAAGACAAATATTATAATTTATTTACACATAAAACCAGAGCTATTTTACCTTCTTTTAATTTCTTAAATGGGTTATTTAAATTGACTAATTTCTTTTAAATATCTCAAGTTTAATTCTACAAACATTCTAAGAGAATTCAAAATATAAGAATTGTATAAACATATTTATAACAACTTACTAAGAATTTATAATCTTTTCTAGTATTTTATAATCAACATCATCTTAATGGACTCTAATTATCCTAAAAAGTTCAAACTAAGCTGGGTTTTATTTAGTCACATTGACATGAAGGCCTTATGGTGACTTTCCAGTGCTTAAAGCCTTTACTGTTGGACAGAGACCTCATGCATTATTTTCAAACATGAGCTACGAGAAGTGTAAGTGAAAATCTTAATCAAGACCCAGTCACCGCCCTCATTCTACCCATTACCAGATAAAAAACACGCCTTTTAACGCCTTTTTCACCCCCCCCCCTTTTTTTGTTGTCTCAAATGGTGAAAAAATGCCTTATTTAGGCCCCCAACACTTGTTTTTGTTTGAGAGAAATGTTGTTTAAAAAAGTGACCTCTTTTTCTGCGCAGCCTCCCAACCAAAAGATACATCAGGGGGTTGCCAGAAGGGGGATGTGCCCCCTTCTGTTTGGGGGGTTTGAAGAGCAGTCCTCATCGCCATGAAAATTTTGGACTTGTGAGAGGCTAAAAATGACCCCAGATCGATCATAAGGTAATGTGTAACCAACGGTGAAAAGCATTTGACTCTATCTCAATCCATTGAGAAGTTGCAGCACTTTTTAAATCAATTTTGATGGAAAAAATCAACGTAAAATAGTGATTTTTGGCAATTTTGAGATGTCCTCTCGTTGCCATGGTATCAGGAAATTCAAGCCTGGGCGCATGTTGTTACAAAGGCAATGGTCCAGTCAACATTTGTGCCAAGTTTGATTTTTTAGTATTGAAGCAGTTTTTATAGTTTTATATTAATTTGAACTTGTAACGGGAGACTTTTCAATGAAAACAGCCATTTTTCACCAAATGCTCATGAAGTAAATTGGGTTAAAATCTTAATGTCTAAGTATGCAAAGTTGGCATAAAAAAATCCAACTTAACTACACAATAAATTATACTGAAACACAATTTGTATAATAATTATACATAAATTAGCAACTCTTTGTAACCATTCAGTAATTAAAACTGAAAGTAAGTACAATATAACATAACTGTGGCATTTCACTGACCTTAATTGAACATTTATATTTATAAACATCTAGAAAAGATCAATTACCCATATTGTCCAACATTCAATTTTTATGAATTTTTGTGTTGTTACTGATTACAAAAATGATTTATTGTTTATTATCCTTCACACCTAGTTAAAAAGGTGTTCATACTTCACCTTTTGTAATCAATCATAAAGATATGAAAGTTTTATCATTTTATTTCTTAATTATTCATATTATAATTGTTTCAGCTACTTTTTTATTTGAATCTTACATAATTTTAGCAAAGCTATTACATACTGAAATATTTAATAGTTGTGAAGCATTCAATTTTGAACATTTAAATGTTTTAGTATAATAGTATTTCATTTTACATAATTATGTGAATATGATATCACCATGTGTAGATGATATCACTATGTAAAGATGACATCACTGTGTGTAGAATATATCAATGTATGTAGATGATATCAATGTGGTGTATATGATATCACTGTGGTGTATATGATATCACTGTGTGTAGATGATATCAATGTATGTAGTTCAAAGTTGATATAAATGTCTGTATATGATATCAATGTATGTAGATGATAACACTATGGTGTGAAGATGATATCACTGTGTGAAAATGATATTACTGTGTGTAAATGATTGGGTAAATGATATCACTGTGTGTAGATGATTGGGTAAATGATACCACTGTGTGTAGATGATTGGGTAAATAATACCACTGTGTGTAGATGATTGGGTAAATTATATCACTGTGTGTAAATGATTGGGTAAATGATCTCACGGTGTGTAGATGATTGGGTAAATAATACCACTGTGTGTAGATGATTGGGTAAATTATATCACTGTGTGTAAATGATTGGGTAAATGATACCACTGTGTGTAGATGATTGGGTAAATGATACCACTGTGTGTAGATGATTGGGTAAATAATACCACTGTGTGTAGATGATTGGGTAAATGATACCACTGTGTGTAGATGATTGGGTAAATGATACCACTGTGTGTAGATGATTGGGTAAATGATACCACTGTGTGTAGATGTTTGGGTAAATGATATCACTGTGTGTAGATGATTGGGTAAATGATACCACTGTGTGTAGATGTTTGGGTAAATGATATCACTGTGTGTAGATGATTGGGTAAATGATATCAGTGTGTGTAGATGATTGGGTAAATGATATCAGTGTGTGTAGATGATTGGGTAAATGATACCACTGTGTGTAGATGATTGGGTAAATGATACCACTGTGTGTAGATGATTGGGTAAATGATACCACTGTGTGTAGATGATTGGGTAAATGATACCACTGTGTGTAGATGATTGGGTAAATGATACCACTGTGTGTAGATGATCATTGCATGCAGATGATATCAGGTAAGTGTGACCAAATGACATCACTACTGGCATCTCTTTGCTCTAATGACTTCAAGGTCTATATTATATATTCAATGCAGAATCATGGTTGTATTAAAGAATAATGACATCAAAGCAAGTAGATGACATTAATTTGAACATAGTTCTGTGCAGATAAAATTACTGTATTTTATGCAGATAACATCATACTGTAGATATTACTTTAAGAAGTATCACTGTAATAATTATCTCCTTCTCAAGATAACATCAACAGGAACAACAGTGTGCAGATGACATTACTGTGGTGATCATCTTTGTGTGCAGATGACATCATCATGTGCAGGTGACATTAAGGTCAATATGTTTCTTCAAATGTCATAAACTAACACTTACCTTCGGCAAACAGTAGATGCTTCAGAAAATGTAGCTTTGTCTTGATATACCTTGAAACAATCTGCATCAAACTTGGTCCATCCTAAAAAACATGACTCAACTATATCAAATATATATCTAATAAACACATCCTGCAACATTTATGCAACTGTTTTCTGCAGGAAAAGGAGTGTACATAAAGAGACTTAAGAATTAACTTTATCATAGTATATGTACTTTTGTTACTTTTTTACACAATTTTGCACCAGAAAGAATAATGCCTTAAATCCCTTTTTATAAATACCATACATACATTTGAACTATTAATTGTTCCAAAATACTTAACCTACATCTGGTCAAACCTTGGAATAGGTTGAAAGCAGTGGTGTATCAGTTAAAGCCAAGGTGCACAATTTTGGGCCTGCTACAGAATGCAAACATCTTGCCAAGTGGTTACAGAAGTAATATCAGAAAGACCAACATGGCTTTCAACATATTTGACAAATATTTAATGTATATAAACTTACTACTCTAACACAATTCATTGACATTAATAATCAGACTTTGTACAAAGTTTAATGCTATAAAATTTGAACATTAATGTCATGTCATTAGCACCAGTACACTGAGCCAGTTCATATTGCACAACTATGCAGCCTGTAAGCTATTTGTGTTTGAAATCACATAGATAATTAGATATAGGTAAACAATCATCTACATATTATATTTCCCCTTGCTAAATTTTTTATTTATTCAGCTATTAATTTGGAAGATTGTAATTCATGCAGGAACTTAAAATGCTACCAAAAAGGTAAAATAAAGCAGTAATTCTAGCCCAATTGAAGATGCCAGACACTGGTGGCATATGCAAGTCAATGTTCCCACTTTTAGACATGCCTGTCTTATGAGTGCTTGTTTTAAATATCTGGCCAGTTTCAACTGTAAGTTGTGTGTAAAATGGAAGAAATGATGCCATTAACTTACCTAGAGGGCAGTCTAACCATGAAATATTCTGTTGATATAGTTGCAGCTCAAATTCATAGTCTGGAAATGTCTGAAAATATAAAATACCATGTTAAATAATACTAAAATAAACTATATGTATATCATTACCCGTAAAAAATCTAAATTCAATAAAAATTTCATTAATAAACAATCATTATGTACATATATATTTATCATTTTGTAAGTGATTAATCAATATGCAAAAACATTTATTTACCAGAAAAAGACCATAAGTGAATAAATCAAAACACATTTCAAAATTGCAAGTTTTTATGAAAGTAATCTCTTTTTTCTCATTTTGGCTGGTTGAGTAGGGGGGCACATTTCTTTAATCATCTTTTTTTACAGTTTTGCCAAAAAAAATATATATCATGAAAACATAGTTTACAGTATATTGCAGATTTCAAACTCTTATGATACATAATTTCACAATACAATTTTTTTTTTTTCAGAATTTATTTTCTTGGATTCTGAAACAGACTACATCATGGATATCAAAATAATCAACTTTTGATAGTGAATATGACCCTGTATTAAAATTGTTATACTAAAGTATATCTAGAAAGCCAATCCTTTAAGTAGAGGTAACATAGTGTTGAACATAAAAGAATGGATGATGAATGAATGGCCTACAGTGATCAGTAAATAACAAAAGTATGAAGAAACAACTTGTAAACAATGGCTCCTTTTATACAGTGGTTGTCATCTTGCCTTGAAGAGGAAGGAGAAAGACCTTTCAACTATGATCCTGAAATATTATGCATGCTTTATCAAACCAAAACCTTTGGACTGACTTTGAGGCACTCACATTTATACAAAGCAAATTAGTCAGAATGATATCATACATGTGAACTCTCCCAATTTTAGCGGGAGACTCCCACTTTATGCAGCCATATTTTCAAAGATTTTTCTTAAAATAAGGGGTATTTTCACAAATTAAAGAAATCTCCCTCTTTTTCATATTAAAACTTCCTTCTTTGTTAATTGCAAATTCTAAAATCTCCCTCTTTTTGAAGAAAAATCTTCCACTTGATGTATGTGATATGTATTGTTTTTTATTCATATATTGTCACCTTAATGCAATAACTGGTAAACTCCTATTAAATTTAGAAGGACTTAACCTGTTACTGCACTAAAGTGATGATATATGTTGTACAAGAGCATAAATATCACACCAGGAAAACAAAACCAACAACATATCGATTTTCTAACGGTATATGACTTTTGGATATAAGAATTCTGTGGAATTTTTTTTTAAAAAGCTTCCATTCATATCTTGTTAATAACTTGTTTAATACTAAATGATTAAAATACATTTAGTATTGTAAGAGTTTCATGAAAATCCAATCTGAATCAATGCCACTTTTTAAAATTTTCCACTGTTTTACCACTATTTTGGGTTTCCCACCTAATGACATAACTACATTGTATTGTCAAACCTATTTTTTAGTAGGACTTAAAACGAGGACTTGTGCAATATATTGAATCAAATTTAGTCCCCACATATTATTACTAATTTTTTTTTTCATAAATAAACAGAAAGTTTTATTTCATATAGATCTAGATGATAATATTCACATGAAATATTGAAAAAAGATCAATCAAATAAGTTCATAAATTCATCCAGGTGTGTTATTTAACCTGACACAGCATTTAAAATATCATTTCAATATATTTTTCTTTTCTTTAAAAATATGACGATTAACAGGCAGGCACTCTGGTCATGAATATAATTATTTTTGTTGCAACGCTGAAAAGTCTGAGCTTCTTTTAAAAGATTCAGGCCCGTCTGCACATCATTACAGCTTGACCCTTGTCTAGACTTACTAAATTCTATTTTTGATCTTGCATCCCCTGAAAATCAACAATGTATTGATCCAAATTCAATAACAGACAGGTTCATTATACAAAATTAGCAGGAATGGGGTTAAAGAACTGAACAAAAAAAAACCTCTCCTAGAAAAGTGTTACAGCAACTGTTAATTCTGTTCTTCAAATATAATGTAAAGTGATGGGAGGCCATGTTTTCACAGTCAGAAGATCTTTCCACCCAGAATATTTGGGATTTCATTCCCCAAAAAAACTACAGGAGACTCATAAATGGAGGGCCATGATGAATACAACAAACACACTTTTCTGATGGGTGTAACTAAATTATTTTGAAAGCTTGCTTGTGTGGAATTTAATGATACTGTACATATTAGCAATTTTAATTGTTTAAGACAATATACAGAATCTGACTTCCTTTAGTTCTACCCATTTCCTTGTTTCTTCAAAAATAAAAAGCTGTATTAATTTAAATTAGATTACAATAAAGTCTGAAACTTTTAATTTCATAATTATATCCATTTAAACATCTGAGCCTTTTTATAAGAATTTGTCTATATTAGAAAATTTTTCACTACATTAAAAGTGAAATTAAAAAGATTTAAAGTTTTCACAGCTGTGGGTTTCCTGACAGGGAAAAAATAAATCTGAAATAGGACAGACTGTAGTGAGTGGCATATATGATATTAACCCTTAGCCCCACAGTGGCAAATGAAGCTACCTGTGTGACAAGTGCAGAGGCACATCTCATGGTTTGCACTATTCACTATTCAGTCAAGACTTATATTGTAATTTTCCCTGAAAATTATGCATGGTTTTGTCCAGATTGAAAAACAGGCAAGTCCATTTAAGATATTTAATGGGTTAAAAAATGACAAAGCAGATAAAATAAGTAAATTAACCTTTTACCCCATGAGCATATTGCGAAAAATGGCCGTTTTCATTGAAAAGCCTCTTGTAACAAGTTCAAACTGCTATGAAACTATGAAAAATGCTTCAATACTAATGAAACTTGGCACAAATGTTGACTACACCATAGCCTCTATAACAGCATGCTCAATGGTAAATTTCCTGTTACCATGGCAACGGGGGGACGTCTCCAAATTGCCAAAAATCACTATTTTGCATTGTTTTTTTCCATCAAGACTGATTTCAAAGTGCTGCAACTTCTCAATGAATTGAGATAGAGTAAAAGGCTTTTCAGCGTCGGTTACTAGTTACCCTAAGATCGACCTGAGGCCATTTTTAGCCTGTCACATGTCCAAAATTTTCTTGGCGATGAGGGGGACTCCGCCCCCCCCTTTAAACCCCCCAAACAGAAGGGGGCACATCCCCCTTCTGGCAACCCCCTGATGTAATATTTGGATGGGGGACGGAGTCGAAAAAGTGGTCACTTTTTTTAACAATATTTCTCAAACGAAAACGAAAAACTGTGTTTGGGGCCTAAATAGGGCGTTTTTTCACTGTTTGAGGCCTCAAAAAAGGGGGGGCAAAAAGCCGTCGAAACACGCTTATATATTGACAAAAGACAAACAATAAAAAGCAAAATTTTGGGAACTGGGAATAAGTCATAGGTTTTACCACATCAACTATTAGTGACTACCTATCATTTGGTAAAGGCAGTATATGAAATATGGATGCTAAAGTTTACTAATGCTACAGACAATTTGTGTGAAATAGAAATACCCAGTATATAGAATCAGTTTTCCCTTTTCCCCCCAATTTTAAAGTAAAAATATATATAATAGGGTGGTGTAGCACTTAAACATTTATCATAACTTTTAAATGCTCAATTTTCACTTTATAACTTGAGTATGTCATGAAAATTATGGGGTAACATACATAAACCACATTTATCAAACTTTCAAAAATTTAATTTAATTAACCTAATCATAAACACATTAAATTTATTACTTTAACAAAGAATTCAGTCTCTCCTGTAAGGCCTATTTTTTTTTCTTACACTAAAACCAACCAAAGATGTTTGATGGCCATTAATAAAGATGTTAACATTGAGTCCCAAATAAAATAAAAGCCATAAATTACCCATAACCCTTTCCATGCAATTGCTAAGTATTTCAATGGACTTGTTCATTTTTCATTATCTGAAAAAAACATTTGAAAGTTTCAAAATATGTACAAATATGTGCAATTAAAAACTTCTACAGTACAATAGATTAAATCGAGTGCTTCATTTACTAATTGATCATTAACCTTTTCTGCATGTTTGATATTTTAAATTCAAGTCAATTCATTTCAATATACTTATTGCATAAAACATGTAACATATTTACTGGACTTGCCCACCTTTCAATCCAAACAAAAAATACTCATCATTTTCAGGGACAATTTCAAAATATGTGCCAATTCAGAATAGCAAACAGTGCTGTAGCACTGATGTGCCTGCTGATTGTTGTCTTTACTGGTCTTTACTGGTTACATGGGTATATTCAGTCACTGCCAGCAGGGTAAATGTTAATTAAAGTTGTATATATCTCCAGACAAGTACCAAATTTATGACAATTTAGTTTATACAAATTTATTTTAGTTTGATTGTGTTGGAAACTATATTAGCTTATTGAAACACTCTTGAATCCGTTCCTGGAACCAACCAGTACTAAGCAATGAATGTAAAGTTTCTTGCTCAACAAAACAACGGCTTGCCCCTGACAGGGTTTGAACCCACGCAGTCAGCAATCTTTAGATTACTAGTTTGACATGTTAACCACTCGGCCACGCCGCCACCATGAAAATTTAAAAAGTGTTTCGCAATTTAACCCTTACCACACTATATATCTTGAATGGACCTGTGTCCATCTTTCAATCTTGACAAACGAAACCATTAACCTTTTCATTAAATCTTTTAAGCATCAGCCTTATGGATTGGAAATATTTATGTTTTTCTTTATCTTTCTTAAGTTTGACTTCCAAGATCTGACTTCATGAAACTTTACCTGGTTTTATCATGACATACTCAAATAAACATAATTGTTTCAAGAACTATTTTAAGGATTCAATTTAATCTAAATTCTGTCAGCAAATTGAGTAAATACTATTTCTTCTATATATTCCCTGATTTTAAAAACTTAATAATTTGTGACTTTTTATAAACATCATAAATTAATGACCAACTTCATTTAATTATATGACTCCCCCATTATTGGCAAAATTTAAATTCAAATTTAAACTTTGATTATAAGTTACCTCTTGCAAAATACAACAAAACAAACATTCACTATTCTGTAATTAATTCTTGATTTATTGCCTTGAGACGGAGTATGCCAGAAAATATTACCAATTTACCAGAGTTCATTTCATATAGTATAAAAAAGGGATCAATTTTTATTTATTTCATATCAAAACTATTAAGAAATCGTTTAAATACTTCTGTTGTATGATTTCTGACATGAACCAGACCAATTTATATCAGATTTAAAACAAAATATAATATTGAGAGGCGTGCCTCTTTAAATATAAAACCACTACAAGCCCCTTCTCAAAAGATAAAGTGTCTTTCATTGATGTTTAACTGCTTGTACATCAATTAGGTTTTTTTTCATTCTCAACATGGTGTTTTGTAGATGTACAAACAAAATTCATCATCATCAGTTATCAATGTACAGATAGTACAATCATGGAGACCTCTTGCTGATGTTTTAAACATTGCAGATAACGATATTGTTTTTTTTTCCTCTCTTTTTTCTTTCTTATCTACAGAAGAGGAAAAACTATAAAGAAATCGTCATATGTAAAATCTATCTACTCTTACTGTTTGGCAAAAATGCTTGCTGTACCAGGCGTTACACTGGTCCAAAATGAATGATGGGTTAGAACGCTAGGTTTTTCCTGGATACTGCTGCATTGTTTGGTTGGGTGGTGTAACAGATTTTAACTGCTCCACAATATGTTTGTTTAGTCAGGAGTAGTCTATCTGTTACTTCTAAGATCGCAAAAACCCAAAAAAATTAATTGCTTGAGAGATTTTATGTTAATGTAAAATACAGATGGAAAACAATTTTGGCATATTTTTAGACTATATAATATTGCCTAACTCATTTACTTTTTGTTTGGGAAAATACGAAAATGTAATAAGAAAAGGTAACATTTCATAGGGCATAATATCATTATGTTGTTATAAATACTATTTTTTGTAATAATTATTCCATCTTATTATAATGTTTTATTATAGGATACCACCTTGACGAAATATTCTATAACATATTGCACTTAACATTTTAGCTAATAATTATAATAAAAAACTGTGCAAAAAAGGAATGAATCACTAGCGTTTTTTTGGGGCTTTTTGTGCATGCAGTGGTTTTAATGGAATGACAGAGTTTAACCAGCAACTTGAGTAGATCTATGTGTTTAAAGAACAATTTTGTTTAGATCCAATAAATAAAACAAGAATAATTTACTCTGAAGACATTGCCCATAAATATAGATCTATAAATACAGTCCATCTACTCCTATAGCATTGCTGCAACACATTTTCTGGTTTGGCATTATAAATCTATGGCAGTTAATTTATAATATCAACAATTATCAGTAATTAGTTGAACCCACTTCCTCATATTTGTTCTGCATGTTAAACACAAGGCATATCTAAAACATTTTGCTTGTTATCTAGAATTCAAGGAAACACTATATGTCAATAAATGTATTACAACAAACATAAAATCCATAAACTGGGTCTTTAAAAGAGAGGATAATTATGTTCATTATTTTCCTAGATATTAGTAGAACAAAATTATAGTAAAATAAAACATTTTCTACCTTAAGAAAATGGGAGAAATCTGCATAAAATAATATTAGTTTTTAAAGGACACACATAGATCTATTAGTTTTGTTTTATCTACATAAAACCTCACCCATTTGCACATAGAGTGAAAATTCCTTTCTATCTGGTATTATTACCCAATACTTTCTGGGTAAGGCTCAGCTTGTCAAATTAAATTTAACTATTGGTAAGGCTTAGCTTGTCAAATTAAATTTAACTATTGGTAAGGCTTAGCTTGTCAAATTAAATTTAACTATTGGTAAGGCTCAGCTTGTCAAATTAAATTTAACTATTGGTAAGGCTCAGCTTGTCAAATTAAATTTAACTATTGGTAAGGCTTAGCTTGTCAAATTAAATTTAACTATTATAGTCAGAGCTATATAACTTCTTCCTTGAAGAATGTGGTAAAATATATAATGGTTTTGGGTTATCTGCCCTTAAATTTTACTTTTTTTAGTATTTCATGCCATTTTAAGGGCAGATAACTTACACATAATTCTGTCAAATCTTACAATTACCACTAGTTTTCGTTTTTTTTGTTGTTGTTGTTGTTTTTTCATTTTATATGTGGTCAAAATACAAATGGAATTCTATTAAAGTTCTTGAGCTCCCTTTATTCAGTTTAAGTATGAAGACTGAAAATTCCCTAAAAATAGGCCATTTTCATAGAAAATAACTCACAGTACTCATTACCAATTCTTGACATTTTGCATAACTGTTCAAAATGAAGTCAGCTACATGAAAAGCTGAAAAAATAGAACCATGTTAGCTTGTTCGTCATTTATCTGCCCGTAAAAAATCCAAGGGCAGATAACTAAAAATAATGAGGTAGGTGACAACCAGTTTTATCTGCTCAAAATCATGTCACTGTTATCATATTTAATGCTCATCCGAAGTGTAAATTAAAATAAATTACGTATTTTTCGAACAGGTTTACGTCAATATGTAACCTTTACTGTCCTAGTCAATTGTCATTAATTTGGCATGTGGTTTTGCATGTAATGGACATCACATCTTAATCGTAAGGAGGGTTCTTTTAAAACCATTATCTATTTTAAAATATGTGTAATATCTGTGTACCTTAGCGTTAAGCTTCAACAATGCATGTGCAGTGAACATTACGACAGGCAGCCATTGCAGCATCCCTTCTAATTAGAATTGTCTCCCTTCATTCAAAAAAGGGCGGGAAATATAGAGGCGTCTTTTTTCCCTCAGAAGAAATATAATGACTTGTATTGATATTAGAATCAGAACGTATTGTTGAACATGAAATAATGCGTAAAACGTAATAAAATTTAAAACAAAGTAATAGTAGATTTCTTCCATACTGCAACGACGGCTTTATAACAACATATTGAATCACTATAACTTTACTGATGATTTTTTAAAGCATATTGAAAGCTCTTGAAAAATAAATAAAAAAAAATTTGGGGATTAATAATAACTAAATGTTCTACAAAATTGACCAATCAAAAGGTTGATATTTTATTTTGTTTTATATTGTACTGTTCTTTGCTTAAAAATGAATATTTAATAAGTTTAACGTATCGTGAAATATATAGCTCCCAACAATACAGAAAATCTTTGACTGCGAAATTGTACTATGCATTAAATGTTGCATTTAAAATTGAAAAATAGAACGCTGGTTTATTTTATAGTTTTATTTTTACTTGAATCAGGACATATAACAATGGTGTCCTAAAAGTTATGGGTGTCTTTATGTGCACTTCTGATAATTATGTACTAATAACATATTTAAGTTTGCTTTGTTGTAGAAATCTTCAAAATCTTTGATACGATTCCATGAACTGTCACAAAAAAACAGTATCTGAAGTAAAATGATATATACATGTATACCATAATAGCACTTCAAACACTTCTGAATCAAAATGAAACTGTCGCCTTAAATGCTCAAATATGTCCATATCATAAAAGAAACGTTCAACGACTCATCCACATTAACTTGTTGATTACTGTTTATCTCAAGTGGTTTGTCAATACAAGTTTCCTGTTTCATGTAAAACAATTAATATAATTACATCTTTATGTGGGCGTGGTTGTATTTACTAGTGTTATTCCGTTCACAATTTAGTCTGAAGAGTTTCTTACGCAGATTATGTATATATTATTGATAGAAACTGGCACAGATCTGCTAACTTATATTGCGATACCTTCGGCTTAATTTTAATTACTGCACGTGCTTTCAATTATGTTTGCTCAACGCAAAATGTTGATAGATTTATCTTTGTACTGTAGTGAACTATGAAATATGATAACATTACGCACGAGATTAAAAACTGAATATGCAAAGAAAATAAATGTTGTTTAAAAAGTAACTAGAGATATCATAGGCAATATCAAGATATGACGTTTACGTAAGTTTGTGAGAAAATTGATGAATTACTTGCAGTAATATACATGATGTGGAAAACCGATTGTTAAATCATATAGTATATAAAACCATAAATATTCTACCAAACAAAAAAACCTTACATACACAATACCAAATTTAATAAAGATACGTACCAGAGCTGTTGCGCAGATCAGTAAAACCCAGAGAAGCTTTGCGGTCATCGAGTGCATTGGCCAGGGTTCGAACATTACACCCTGTCACACCATGTTCAGAATAAATTCCCTTGTCACGTATACTCCATTTCAACTTTTTTTTACCTTACACAATTTGATATTACTAGATATAAGAAAATAAAACTTTAATGTGCTTTTATAGCGCTTTATTTACGGAACGGTTAACTCCGATAATAAACTTAATACACGACAAACTATATCATGCTGTACATCACTTGAATAACTTCCCTGGTTATAAATAAGCTAAACTCTTCACATAAAAACACAAACCCTGAACACTTTTACAACCTCTTAAATCCCAAAAACTGGTGCACGTAATTGTGCCTTCATAACCAATCAATTTTTACATCCGAGAATTAATCGAATTTCACTGCATTTCAAACAGCGCGTGTAACAGGCACTATATTTCACTACGTTACACGGGTACGCATATCAATCATGTATATAATTTTGTTGTAAAAATTTTTAAAGTCACGTTCTAAAAATAACAAGTAAATGTGTCCTATCGCGTGGCTAGTGAAAATAACAGACTGTAGCAAATTTTAATACACTAATGATGTATAGAGTGAGGTTCAATTTAATATATACGCAAGCATACTGCATTTCACAAAGTGATTTTTCACTGCTCATTGTACTCACAGTGTATTCTTACCGAAGTGGTGACGTTAAAAAATGTTTTAAATTTCATGCTTAACAAAGACATTCATTATGTATTGTAAAAGTAGACAAATGTATTCAAATTTTGTCTTAAAACGCCTATATTCATTCCACCGTCCTTTTTAAACTTTAATAAATAGTTTGAAAAATCCAGCACAATAGAAACTGACAGATTCAATAAGTTACTTTAACATTTTAGTTTTTTATAACGCACGTTCTGTTTATTTTGCCAAATTTTCCTTTGACAATATATAGATCTTAGAAACAAAAAGAGTATAAATAAATTTGATGGTGTTAAATAGTGTCTACATTAGCTGATACGATGCCAAATTTTGTCACTGCTCAGCATTGTCGTGTGGGGATTAGCTGACTTAGTTCTATTCGTAGCGTTTATTAACTTGCAAGTTGGATAATCAATATCTGCAAGAAGCTTTTAAATATTCAGAATAAGTTTCAGGCAATGCAGGCCCTCCAGCAAATTTATCGAATTACGCACCTGCATATTTAATTTCTTTCACCAGCAAGAAAAAATGCGGGCGTGGTTGTTGTTTTGTCTATCAACAAACCAATTTACAGATTATTTACTAGTACTACACGTATTTTTGAACAATCCAGGAGCCTAACACTTACAGGTGAGAGTTGAGATGCAATTCTATATGCTTGATAGACATCCTTTTCCCCCCAATAATCCTTCAAGTCCTTGAAAATAATTGTTAATGGTTTAGCAATTTAGGCAACGCCTTTTTCTACGAGATTCTTGGCTGAAAACATATTCAAAATTATAGCAGATGTTCTGGAGGTGCAAGTTATTGCAGCGTTCGCCTACAAAAAACGTAGGGAAGGGAGACAAATCCTTTACAATGTTATAAATTTGACAGTATGGATTATGGCTATGTATATTCCAGTGCAGAAAATATGTCCCCATTATACAGTTATACTTACACACTGAAAATAGAAATATTTGCTTATACATAAAATTTCTGCCAAATAAGACCCTGAAAGCTAAGTATGGTACTACCTTAATTGCTAATGATTTTCATGCAAGGTTATTTTCACCTAAGATACTGCTGAAGGTGGATATGCTTATATACTACATATATCATTGAAATATTTATGAAATTACTATCATGAACTGTTTAATACTCAAAAAATGTAACTGGACAAATCAAATGATATATAATGAAAATACAATTCAATTTGTATAACCTCTTTTTAGTTTGAGGAGTAATAATTTACTAATGGATGACAAAGCCAATAAATAAATAATTTAACTAATTCCAAGAAAGCTGCAAGGAAGGCTGTTCCATATACCAATGTTACAAATACAGATGTCAGTTTGAATCATGAAATATATGTACAAATGTACATATACTATAGAATAAGATTGAGGTGAAATGATAATCTCTTCAACAATAGTTGATGTATACCATTATCAAATAGTGTTATTCTATCTCATAATACATTATGTCCAGCAATTACTTTATGGATAATTGAACTGCCCTGAATACTGTATTTAGAGACAGGAACATATAGTTCATGCCAGTAATTACCCAGATATATTTAAACTCACTATGTATAATGTTTAGGTCAGGTGAGCTGAAAAGTTTTGTGTTAACATCAATGAATAATTTGTTTAAAATGTTCTGTTTTTTTTATTTTAGTTATTCTTGGTGAACAGGTGGGTTTCTCTGTGTTACTCTAAAATGAAAAAGAAATGATGTATGATAATGTTTTACAGCTAAGAACATTAAAATAGCTACCTGCTGGTAAAGTGCCAATCAAAGACAAGATAAACAAGTCAACACCTTTATTTCATTGTTAATTAAACATCATATAACAATTTTAAAATCATATTATAATTTAATAAATAATGCAAGAATGGTAATAAAATATCTACAAGAATGCCCCCATCAAACAGTAAGTTATAAACAAGAAATGGGTGTTCCCTGAAACAACACAGGGTCTCCTACTGAGTGTAATCACAACATATAAAACAGTTATATAACAGATAAAAGTGCAAAATAAACCATATAATATTGCATGTTATATTAGATCACTGCTATATCTGTTTTCTCATCCTGCCTGTGTCTGATATCATCTTAATGATTTAAAAGTAGAAAAAGATATCACAGTTTCTTGATATAAGTGGAACCCTGGTGTTTAAGGTGTACATTTTCATAAAATTTCCTAAAATAAGGCTTATTAAAAGATTATCATTTCAGATATTACCCCATGGATTTGAGATCTCATTTAAAACTAAAAGGCTTTAAGCTCACAGGTATCTGAAATAAATGTTCCTAAGATCAAACAACTGTCTGATAAGAAGGTTAAATAACATGTATCCAGTAATGGGTAACAGCTTTAAAGAGAAATTCTCCTCATTTAAAAATTGAAATTGTAAAAAATTATTTATTCAATAAAAAATTTTCAAGTTCCAAAAATAGATCTTGCAAAATTACTATCTCAACATATTTGTTTCATGCAAATTTACAAAGCTCCCAGCCTAGCAGCATTTACCCCTAAAATAGCTAAGTTTTAGATTAGCAAAGACAGGTGATGAAAAGACAATTTAGCTGTATTTTATAATTCCAATAAATAAAAGTGCTCCATTTCAAATGGTTTCTTGGCAAAAAACAAAATTCTTCAAACAATGTCAGCAAATGCATTTGTGTTCAATAATAATTTTTTCATCTGGTCAAATGTAATAAAGTTTATTTTTTTTAATAAAAGCATAGCTATTTCAAAAATTAAAGTGAATCAAATTTTGGTAGAAAATCAACTTTTGAAAAAATATCTAGTTTATATTTTACCTTTCATCAAAAGATGAGGGATTCTACAGGGGAAATTTAATAACTTACATACATATATTAAATTCATATAGTAAATTATCTGTGATCAAGTAGTAAACACAAGAAGCTATCATGGCCCTTGTGCCTAACTAATCAAATAAAGAATTTCCAATCTAATGAAATTAATTTTAGTCACAATGTTTACATATATTTTGTTAAATACAATTTTATATATCTTAAGAATTGAAAATAACAAATATTCAACTATTGGGTTGCATTTAGAATGAGCTGACACGATAACAAAAATATCCAGGGAAATTGGATACACCTGAGTGACTGCATATGCACCTGAATGAAAAATTTTTTGTGTATTTAAAAATAATCTTTCAATAAGGGAAGAGACCCATTATTTTATGAAGCTTGACTGAAAAATATTATTCTGACCTTATTATTATTAAATAAACCCCTGGTGCGAGAGCATTTTTGACCCAAGGAACATGATTCATAGAACTTTAGTAAGGTCTACTAAGCAATTTTACATGCCAAATATATATGCTCTGACCATAGTAAATTTCCACTAAAGAGATTTAGAATTGTATTTTCTTATACATATGTCAGCATAAGGCATGTGACCCCAGGGCAGGGCCAACATTAACTCAAGGAGCATGATTAATATCTCTTTTGTGGATGTCTATAGGACATTGTTACATGCCACATATCTAAGCTCTGGGCATTGTAGTTACACATATTAACATTTAAATGTGTTTTCCTACATGTATGTAAAGTCTATATATATTAAGAAACCGCTGGGATAGGCCAATTTTGATCATAGGAAGCCAAAACCTGCTTTCTGCACGTTGTCTCATTATAACTAATATTTCTGTCAAATAATTTAATTTTCTTCCACTGGTTCAAAAGATACAGATAAGACACAAAATTTTGATATTCATACATTATGACTAAGTGTGACCTTCACCTTGACATAAAGGTTAAATCTGCTCTCCGCCTTGTAGTTTCAATTTCCTTCCATTGGTTCAAAAGATACAGAGTGGACGCTACAGACTGACAAACTGCCAGGTGTGTAACAATATATGCTAAAATTGCTCCAGGGATATCAAAATTAATCATAAAATCATCATAAAAAATTTGAGCTCAGGTCAATAAATATATCATCATTTTTGTCATGCTTGAAGTGCTTAAAAAGAAGATTCTTATGACATATTTTATAATAATATTTTATATGTAATAAACATATGAACAACTTTAAAATCTTAATTTAGTTTAAAAATAAAGAGGTACAAAATCTTAAAAGTAAAAACAATATTTAAGCCTAAATTAAGACACAGACTTTGATTTACATTACAGCCTATGATTAAGGGTTGTTTGGTATTATCATATAATTATCAATAAATACAACATCATTTTTAACATGCTTGAAGTGCTTAAAAAGTAGATTCTTAAGACAAAAAATAAAACATAATTATATTAACAACTTTAAAATCTTAATTTAGTTTAAAAATAAGGTGGTAAAAATTTTTAAAGTAAAAACAATATTTATAAGCCTATATTAAAAGCTGTTTGGTATTATCATATATCTAGGGTAACTATTGCTGTATTCATTATCTTCAACAGAATACAAAAGGGAATATAAAAACAAACAGTACAAAAGACCTATTCTGTTTCCTAATGTCTAGTCTCCTTTTTTCATGTAGTAAAATACAGAGTGTACAAGGATCTGTAGGTAGCAAATCTAACAATATCACAATAAACCAAGCTCTACTTTTAAAAACATTTTTAGTCCAGGATTATCAATCAGTTCAATGGCTTCTTTGGCTTTTTTACTGCCTTGATCTAGTGAGTAATAATTCTTGAGTTCTTCTGCGTACTGTATCCAGACACAGTTAGCACATCCACTCATACAGCAGTCTACAGGAGGTTCTGGAGGAGGTCCTTTCCCTGGAACTATATCTACATGTGTTGGAGGAGGCACAGAAGGTAAAACACTATCTAAAGCTGGTCTTATATGCTCATCACTGTCAGAATCTGAACCATCTCTAGAGTTTTGGGTTGCAGCAGCATTGATGCAAGAGCTCCTAAATTCTCTACAATTTGATCCATATACTAATTGAACATATTTTCTACATGTATAACTAGTTTCTGTAAATGTACTCAGCTTAACAGCACTTCCTAAACATCCTGATGGTTTTGTACTACTCACTGAGTATAAATATATAAGTTTCCCAGCAGTTTGATTGCATAATAAATGAGGAGATCTTGAAAAATTATTCATATACCCAGCATGTGACATACATCTAGGACAGCTAGTTGAAAAATCTGTTTGTCTTTTGATATTGAGGCCTGGTAATCCATCAAGGGTAAGGACACCTTGCTTCAAAAGCAATCTCCGAGCCATTTACCATCTGAAAAACAATAACATGCATCTACATCTACATTGTACGTCGGCGCAATCACACTTGATTATGACGCGATGCAGTAACAATACTTATAAATGATTTGTTTTTATAAAAAGAAAATTTCTTCAGAACATAAATGGTAACAAAATTTTTAACAGAAATCAAGTGCAGTACTTAATGTGGTAAAATTTCAGCAAAATATTTAATTGTAAATGTCCACCATCATTCCCATACTAACCTACCACATTCATTTGAATAAAAAATAGTTGTTTCCTTTTAAATTAATGAAAGCTATTTCATTGACAAGTTTGAAGTAAATACATTGCCTTTTCTACAGTGACTGCTCTATCTTTATGACGGCAACAATCATATTGAACAGCAATGATGTTTTTTGTTGAGGAAAGTAACATTGGGAAACTCTAGCTATGAGTATGAGAGTTTTATTGTAAACATTGAGTAAATTTGTTTATAGTTTAATCCCATTGTTGTTGTTTTTTTCATCCAGACGTGTAAAATTCGAGGATGCAAACCTACATCTTTAATAGATATCCATTTAAAATATGGCTATTTCTCATACCGTTTGGGTATAGCCTTAAAACTCTGTAAGTCTATATACTCATGTCATCGAACAGTTCGAACTGACTCGAGGACGAATAGATTCTAAAATTTTCAGAAGCCCGTGCATTATCTAATCAAAAAGAATATCAGGTTCTAAACAGGCTTAAAGTTAAGGCTTGTATAATTTAACAAATTAATGTAACTTTAATTCATGAAAAACATCTATAACTTACGATAAGTTTTTTTGACAATGAATGATATTGAAAAACTGAAAGTAGAACTTGCTGACGTAATTTGTACAAATTGAATACCACTAAATTATTTACTGATAGAACACCACTAAATATTTTCCTTCCAAATAAAACAGTTGAAATATACTGTACCCAGTTTTTATTTTCAAGATAAAATTAATATTGAATACATACTTGAAAATTATTTCGAGTTTTATTTTCAACCATATGGGCATCAGTGTGACAGAAAATTTCACAAACAAATGAGCATTAACAACAAAATAACAAAATAATACAAATGTGTAAATATAAACCTTGTAGACATTTTTAAACTAATTTGCATGATAAATACAAAAGATCAAAGGAAAAGTCACATAAGTCCATTTTGTGAGTATGTCCGTCCGTCCGTACCTACCTACATCCCAAATTATTTTTATCATTTAAGGTCGGATTTATAAACTATTTCACAGAAATGATCACCATATTGAGACGACGTATTGTGCGAAACATTTTGGTCGCTGCCTTGAAGGTTAAGCATGACCTTGCAGCAAAATCTTATCACTGTAGCAGGACAAAATCATATCCGGTCCATAACTTCGTTATTTGAAGTCTGATTTTACAACTATTTCACAGAAATGATCACCATATTCAAGACGTGTTGCCTGCAACATTTGGGTCGCAACCTTGAAGGTCAAGGTCACAGGATGACCTTCGTGTCCGGCCCATGACCTCATTATTTGAAGTTGGATTTTACAACTATTTTACAGAAATGATCACCATATTGAAACAACGTGTCGCGTGCAATTTGGGTCGCTACTTTGAAAGTCAAGGTCACAGCATGACCTTGCAGTAAAATCGTGTCCGGCCTATAACTTTGTTATTTGAAGTCGGATTTTACAACTATTTCACATAAATGATCACCATATTGAGACGATGTGTCGCTCGCAACATGATCACCGTAGTCGGACGTGTTGCCCGCAACATTTGGGGAGCTACCTTGAAGGTCAGGGTCACAGCATGACCTTGCAGCAAAATTGTGTCCGGCCCATAACTTTGTTATTTGAAGTCAGATTTTTTTTCACTTTTTCACAGAAATGATCACCATATTGAGACGATGTGTCGCTCGCAACATTTGGGTCCCTACCGTGAAGGTCAAGGTCACAGCATGACCTTGCAGCAAAATTGTGTGCGGCCCATTACTTCATTATTTGAAGTCGGATTTTACAACTATTTCACATAAATAATCACAATATGGTGATGATGTGTCGAGCGCAACATTTGGGTCGCTACCTTAGGTTAAGGTCACAGCATGACCTTGCAGCAAAATTGTGTCTGGCCCATTACTTCATTATTTGAAGACGGATTTTACAACTATTTCACAATAATAATCACCATATTAAGACGATGTGTCGAGTGCAACATTTGGGTCGCTACCTTGAACGTCAAGGTCACAGCATGACCTTGCAGCAAAATCATGTCCGGCCCATAACTTCGTTATTTGAAGTCGGATTCTACAACTATTTCACAGAAATGATCACCATATTGAGACACGTGTCACGCGCACAGTAGGGTTGCTACCTTGAAGGGCAAGGTCACAGCATGACCTTGCAGGAAATCATTCCGACCCATAATTTTGTTATTGTGGGTCGGATTTTACATCTATTTCACAGAAATGACCACCATATTGAGACGACTTGTCACACGCAAGTCGGTAGTTTGATCTCATTGAGTAGAAGTGCAGTGCAAAGAACAGTAACTCTGCCTTGCCTAAGTTTGGAATTATCACATTTTGAACTTTGTCTGCGACATAATTCTCAAAACTACAAAAAATATACTTTAGACTTCAGACTTCCAAACCGCTATTATAAAAATTTCATTCTCCAAGAATCATTACAAAATCTCATTTCTTTTGTTGAAAATGCATGTAAATGTTTATGTTAATTTTTGTGAATGAGGCCATTTGAACACTTAATTTAGAAACAGCGAACCCAAATGGGCGCAAAATGTCAAATGTTTGAGAAAAATGTTCAGCAAGACTGGGACAAGAACACAGGTTAATCAAAATACAATTTTTGTAGTACTTGGGATTTGTTGATTAGATATTTTTGTTCATTGTATATACGTTCTATGAATAATATGGGCATACGAAAGAGTAAGATAATTTCCAAGAAGCTTTTCTATTACTGCCAAGTTCATTATTTTTTCTAAATCTACATGTTGTCATGTATAATAGAATTTATTTTTCAAATTTGTTTCACAATCAATTTTACATCAAAATTTCATGGACTTAGTTGAAAACAAGTTATTGCACAGTATCACCTAGGCTGCTTTATTTTCTTATCTTTCATTTTTCTGTACAAATCAATAGCTTTTTGTCTTTCAAAGTCTGTAATTTGTTTCTGACATGGTGATAGATATTTTCTTTTCAATGTCTGCCCAGCTTGCCTCTGTGCCTGAGATTTAGGTCGGATCTTAATTACACTGTCCGACTTCTCTTTAGAATTGTCATCACCTTTCTCCATCATGTCTTTAAGAAGAAGTGAACGTTTTCCAGGCTGTAAAACAAAAATTTGTTTAAATATTTTGGGTTTCAAAAAGTAATAAACTTAAAAAAATATTATGATACGTTTACTGTAAACAAGTAATCATCATACCTGATTATGCCAGCAAGATCAACTTTTTTTTTATTTTCAAGAAAGTGGATACAGTCATATTTTAACCATTACACCCATAAATTTGTATACATGTAATGATATTGGAACAATCCATAATTGGCTTTGGGACTTCAGAACTTTTAGGAATCTTTTTTTATTTTTTAAATTTGTAACACAATAATGCAAATGCATCAGAACAAATGGCATCCACATGCTATTCAAACTCATGAAAAAGATATCAAGAAGGACAGACAACCATGTTTATTTGCCCTGAAATTTTTCTCATAACTTTTAAAAACTTTACCACTAAGTCACCATACTTATTCTTACGAAGATTTGTGTGAAACAAAATGAAAACATTTTCTTTGGAATACAGATTTTCTCTTCATTTTACTTACCCGTGGTTTGTCATTGTCAACATCTGCTTTTCTTGGTTTAGCTGTTAGAGATGGGGGAGCCATGGCAACCTCACCAAATGCAACCTCATCTATTGTAATACACAATATATATAAAGTACATAAAAATCACCAACAAAATGGTTTTAAACAAAATAGTCTAAATTGTAATAAAGTAATCAATTAATGAATATAAACAAGAGCTGAAAACTTTGTAAGTTAAGAGCCATGGTCAGTGACATATAATTATGACCCTGAAAATATGCATCAAGAATTTAAAATGAAAAAGATAGAACTGTAAACCTTAACCAGAAATATTCTAATTTTACAAAGGATAATCATTCAGTAAATGTCCATGCCCATGTTACGGGGTCTTGTTATATGGCCCAAGGAAAAATAAAGATGTTTGTGCAAGTATTATGTAAATGCATACTCCAATGACGACTAGAGTAGAATTCTTTAGCCAAGCTATAATTAACTGTGGTTGAAAACAGTCTATGTTTAAAGTTAAACATATGTTATAGAATATTCAAGATAACTTCATAAAACAGGTACATGTAATATTTCTGTCCTATATTTTGATAAATCAAAATATTATTTTAACAATGTTAATTCACACACAATACTTTATATATCAGATTCAAACATTACCCATCAGTTTGGGCATTGCCTTGTGGCAAACTTTCTCCTGAATTAAATATACCTTTGAATGCAGAAAAGTCCATGAATTTTTCTTGTTTCTTTTCCTTTACCATCTGTACCTTTTTCTTTTTCCTTTCTTTGTCTTTCCTGTAAAAATCAATCCACTAAAAGTGTAAAGTCTGCTCAGACTGCATGCAATAGAGATGCAAAGACTGTCCCTAGCATTCAAAGACTGTCCCTAGCATTCAAAGACTGTCCCTTACATTCAAAGACTGTCCCTAGCATTCAAATATTGTCCCTAACATTCAAATATTGTCCCTAGCATTCAAATATTGTCCCTAGTATTCAAATATTGCCTCTAGCATTCAAATATTGTCCCTAGCATTCAAATATTGTCCCTAGCATTCAAATATTGTCCCTAGCATTCAAAGACTGGTAAAAAATCATTAATACCACTACACCAGCCCTGTAAAGAAATCACACATCAAATATCATCCTATCATCCTGTTAGTTAATATTTTTTTTTAATCAATATTATTAAGTCATCAAATTATTACACAAAAGCAATATCTGATGAAATATTCATGTAAATTTAGAAACAGTTAAAAAGGAAACAGACATTCTGACTGATGCCCCCCCCCCCCCCCCCCCCCCCCCCCCCCCCCCCCCCCCCCAGTAAGTCTACAAAAAAGCAAGTAACTTACTCTCTTTTTCTTTCACTCGATTTCTTTCTGACCTGAGATTCTGCTGTATTACTGTTGTTGTCTGGAATCTCCATCTTAAAAACATCACAAGAATAATTATATGATACATTTTTGTATAACTTAAAATTAATTCAGCTAAAAATTCTACTGCAGTATCAGAGGTAAAATAGAAAGATCACAAAAGATCTCTATCATTTACAAAAAGGCCTATATCACTAAGAGTAGGGCCTTAGGATAAATCAAGCAGCACTTAGTGGCAAATGATCAATGTCAAGAACATGTACTTTTATCATATATGTCTGTCTCTTATTTCTTTACTAATTTAAGGAAAGCATGTTTATCAATGCTAAAAATATTTTGGAAGAGCCTCAAATGCACCTACATTTTGTATTTATTTGAAAATAACTAAAAGAAATATGCTCCAAACCTTGTAATTTCTTAGTTTTTGAAGACTTAACTTTTAGAATCACTTTTTAGCTTGTGTGACCTGATTATATATTATATCAGAGTAACTTATATAACAACTGAGTATTATTTACTAAGGTTTGCTTAAAAGAAAAAAACAAACAAAGCAGACCTGATATTTTTCTTCCATCTGTTGTTTCATGATCACTCTATGTGTTTCTAGTTCTACACGCCGTATGAAATCCCTATCTTTTTCACGTTTACCTTGAACAAACCTTGGTATTGGTGCCATAGGCTTTGTTACACCTCTCTCCATTTTGAATGTATTCTCTGAAAAGATGTTAAGATTACAAAGAACAAAAACCTACAGAAACATTTACTAAAATTGCTGAATTTATGTAATGTGATTCGCAAGTTGCTTTTAATTTTTGAAAAGTCTGAAGTTAAAGTGATTCCAGTATTAAAAGGGATTTCAGCATCAAAATGCAAAACTGGGCTACCAGTATAGTGTCTGATTAGACTACATTGGCCAATCACTTAATGCCAGCAGGCAAAACAGATACCCGGTACATGTAAATATTTCTAGCAGACCAATGATTGGTGGTGATACATAAATTAAGAACAATTTATTTAAAGTCTATAAAATATATACCCCTATTTGTATATCTGGAATGAACTTCTCAAGCATTAAAGTTTGAATGTGTACAGTAATAGATTAGGAAATTTGAATAACGAGCTTAACAAGAGCTGTCAGAGGACAGCGATGCTGGACTATTCGAAACAGTTGTCACAAGGGTGTTTCATTGAGTATAATAAGGCTTACCTACATGAATACATAAAATTGTCCAAAAAGGTACATAGGCTTGTTATTAAGATCATGTTATGCCAATCATGTTAGATAATCACAGAGAACAAGTGTGTGAAGTTTCAATCCATTCCCTACAGTAGTTATGGAGATACCAGCTTACACGCAAAAACTTAACCAAGAATTTTTAATTTGAAAAAGGGACATAAATATGCAAAAAAGCAAATCAGAGTTATGGGACTTGTACCAATCATGTGGGACTTGTGCCAATCATGTGAGATAATCAGAAAGAACAGGTGTGTGAAGTTTCAATCCATTCCATTCAGTGGTTATTGACATACCAGCTTACACGCAAAAACTTTACCACAGGGACGCCGACAAATGGGTGACTGCATTAGCTCGATTATTTTGCAAATAATCAAGCTAAAAATTGAGCAGCAAATATCAGGCTAAATGGAAAGCAGGCTGATTTTGCTCCCTTAACTTATGGTTGCATTTACATATTATGTCTATTAGAGTTCAAAGCTTTTATATGCAGTAAACAAATATATAATCAAATCATCAAACTTAAGTGTACCTGCTGCTTTTTTGAATTTCTTTTTCTTATTTTTCTTCTTCCTTGTTTGTTCACTATTTTGGACGTCAGACCGACTCTTCATGATTGTTTTTAGCTTATTAGGTATATCTTGTCTATCTAGATCTTCATCATTTACAGGTAGATTATAGAGCTTATTCCTTTTACCTCCAATTGCCAAGTCTGTATCTCTATAACAATATAAAATACACATATTATATACTTTATTCCTAACAAAAATTTTGTTTGATAAGAAGGTCATAAAAAACTGCACTTTGTATTCATAAAAGTAAAATTTATATAAATAGCTTTACAATATTCCTTATATCAAGATTAAATCAAAATACTTTCAGAACATGATACATACATACAGAGAAGAAATAGTGATATTACATAGTTAAAATATGTATAAACCTGTTGACATGGGTGTATGCTTTTTCTGAGACTTTTCAAGAATTGTTTTATTGATTAAGATTTTTTCAAAATAATAATAAAGCCAAGAACGAGGATCTTAATTTCAATAACATATAATAAAAGCTAGCGTTTTCTTAACATTGAATTTCTTGAAGATTTTTTAAACTTTTAACTTCAAAACTATTTTCAATGGTCATTTCCTGGTTTGCTGAGAGGTGACAGTGGTCAAATGGGGATGAACTGGATCTAAGACGGCATAGCTTTAGATTCTTATGTGATTTTACATAATAAGGGTGAAGTGCAATTGTACACTTCTTTATGCAATAAACTAAAGACTTGGTTTGGTGAAGCCTCACTAGAGGCCATATTTGGCAGGAGCAATCACACTGAAAGGTGTGAAGATGAGAAACTTTCTTCTGTCAGTGCTGATAGTTGTGAAGTTGGTTGTCTCAAGATAACTCTTCTTTGACTTTGAAAACTGAGTTGGAGGCTATTGTGGAAGTTGAAAATAAGTTTGAAAAGGCTTTCATGGTTGAATAAGTTAAGGTGAAAGGGTAGCTGTAAAAGTTTATAAAATGCTTGTATGTGGTTTTAGACAACAAGGTTGGGTTGAAATCATGTTTATTCTGTGTTGTCCTTTAAATCCCCAAGGGAGAAAAAGAATTGGATTGAATATTATGTAGGATATCAATCTTAGGACAGTCAGATTGTAATCAAGGTGTTTGGATCCAAGGTGCCATGTACATGTAGGAAATCAACTTGATGGAAATGACTTGTAGCCGGAATAAGTCTTAATTAGGAACTTAGCCTCTTATTATTACCAGTTAGTAATGATGGGGTAAGAGTGGCTGCAGGAAAGTGTTTTTTACCCTGAAACACTCATAAAAGAAGCACATTATGATAATCTTTGAAAGACTAATGGTAAAATAAGTTAAATTAATTGTAAAACAAGAGTGCCATGATGGCCCTGAAGTCGCTCACCTGTATATAGGCCCCTGAAGCAGAGCCAGTTTAAACCCCAGGGCTTTTATTTGAACAAACTTGGTAGACAACCATTAAAAGATGTTTCATGCTAAACATCTAAGGTCTACATGTAGCTCGTTGGGTTTTTCAAAAGAAGATTTTTAAAGTTTTTTCTTTAAACATATAGTTAAAAACAATGACACCCCTGGGGCAGGGCCAGTTTTGACCCCAGGGCTTTTATTTGACACTTACTAGAAAATGTTTCATGCTTAATATCTAAACTCTAGCTATTCGGGTTTTTTCAAAGAAGATTTTTAAGTCTTTGCTATACACATATAAAGAAAATCAATGTCCCCCAGAGCGGGGCCAATTTTGACCCCAGGGCTTTTATTTGAACAAACATTGTAGACACTCACTAGAAGATGCTTCATGCTTAATATCTAAACTCTAGCTATTTGAGTTTTTTCAAAGAAGATTTTTTAAGTTTTTGCTATACATATAATTATAAGGAAAATAAATAACCCCCGGGGTGGGGCCAATTTTGACCCCAGGCTTTTATTTGAACAAACTTTGTAGACACTCACAAGAAGATGTTTCATGCTTAGTATCTAATCTCTAGCTATTTGTTTTTTTTTCAAAGATTTTTTAAGTTTTTGCTATATACCAGGGCTCGAATTTAACACTCACAAACTCGCAAAATGCTAGTTGAAAAATGATTTTGCGAGTTAGATTTATGACTACTCGCAATTTTTTGCGAGTTGAAGAAAAAACGGAATACGCTTGTCAGCAAAATCCGAAATATAAATGGGGCGTAATATTTGCAGGTAGCTGAGTTATAAACTATGCGTGCACTTGCTGTCCTGTTTACATTTTCTATACCTTAACCTCGCTTAAAAAAGTACACAAATTTAAAACCAGTCCAAATGTCATTTTTGTCCGTGTAAATCAAGCGTGATCGGAATAAAATGTCTAAACGAAAAATAACGAACTTCTTCCCACTTACTGAAGCAAATGTGTCTTCCGATAACAATACTCTGAGTGCAGAAGATGATTCACAGTTTATCAAAAGAAAGACAATCAGGCCTTCAGTTAAAACGGTTAAAAATTGGGAGAAAGAACTGCACGTCAGTCTTACATACGAACTCGATGACGATGGAAATGTTGCCAAAATATTTTGCGCCGATTGTTGTGCGCATAATCCAGACCAGACATCGTCGGTATGGCGACAATATTGCATTATTATTTTTTTTACATGTAGATTGACATTTGATAAGAATCCCTGTCCCCTAAATCAAGTTTTTGAGTAGAAAGTTACGTTGCTGATTCGTACCCAGGGCAGTTCGAACTTGTCCAAATAAATTACAATTTTAAACAATTTTGGAATTAAAAAATCATTGTCGTAAAAAGTGCTAGTTTTTGCTAGTTAAAAATTTGTCCACTAGCAAAAAAATGCTAGTGGCCAAAAAAGTTAAATTCGAGCCCTGATATACACACAAAAGGGCCAATTTTGACCCAAGGGCTTTTATTAGAACAAACTTGGTAGACATCCATTAGAACATGTTTCATGCTAAATATCTTATCTCTAGCTCTTTGGATTCTTTAAAAGAAGATTTTTAAGTTTTTACTCTATGTATGACCCCAGGGCTTTTATTTGAACAAACTTGGTAGACACCCATTAGAAGATGTTTCATGCTAAATATCTTAGCTCTAGCTCTTTGGGTTATTTAAAAGAAGATTTTTTAAGTTTTTACTATATGCATATAGGGAAAATCAAAGACCCTCTGGGGCGGGGCCAATTTTGACCCCAGGGCTTCTATTTGAACAAACTTGGTAGACACTCACTAGAAGATGTTTCATGTCAAATATCTAAGCTCTAGCTCTTTTGGATTTTTAGAAGAAGATATTTAAAGTTTTTTCTTTTGGTTGCCATGGCAACCAGAGTTCTGCATGGAATGGAATTCTTTGAACAACTTTGTTAAGGCTTCACACAAGGAACATCCCTGTGAAGTTTCATTATGCAGCCTTATGGTTTCAGAGGAGATGTCGTTTTAAAAGTGTGAACGGACAACGGACGATGGACGAAGAGTGATCCTAATATATAGCTCACCCTGAGCATATGCTCAGGTGAGCTAAAAATAAGGAACCTTGGGAACAAACCCTAAAGGTGTAAGCTCCTCATTATCTAGGAATCATCTTAGTTGTAATGAGTTATTGTCTCCTTAGTGGTAAATATGTTTTAAAAGGCCCTAGAGTCCAGTCTGCAGGAAACTTCAGAACTGAGATGTTTGGTAACAAAAATAGTCACCATCTGATCAGAAGAGGATTAGCTTCCATGTAGACAAGCATATGATATTGTGGGTTAGTTATTTGTTGAGGTTTTTTACAAACTCTATTTCTTTTGTGTTGTCATTTAAAATGCCTTTGTTGAATGCATATAGTTACTAGTCCTTTGTTAATTGTGTTATCAAATCAGAATTAGCTTATGTTATCTTATTATTGTTTTGTTTATGTACATTTAATGTACTGATATTTTATGTAATTGTATGCCTGAGAAGGCCCATGATTGGTAATAAAACATTATTCTATTCTATTCTATTCTATAGCGTCTGGTCAATTAAGTTTACTTCCATGTTGTAGGGGTTCACCACATATGCAGTTCTCAGTCTCTTCTGTAAAGTTTTAATTTTTTTTTCAAGAATTAAGTTTTTAATCACTGGATATATCGTGTTCTTGTTAGTCGCTTAAAATTGCATACTTTTCCTTCTGTGTATCAAACGTCTTCTTTATTTTCTTATGCTTTCTGCTCTTTTGCGGCTTGCCAAGTTTTCCCATTTTTCAATAATTTGTGTCAATTCCACATGTGTTTGTTTTCTTTCGCTATTATTTTTTTCCGGTTAATTAGCGAAAGGCTTTTTTATTCGAAAAGAGTTAAGTATCGAAAGCTAAAAAAGCACAAAAAAGCAACGAAGATACTTATATTCCCTAAAAATCTTAAAAAGAGAGGTAACTGTCAGTCAGTCAGTCAGTCCGTCCGCCCGTCCGTCTGTCCGTTCGTTCGTTCGTTAGTTAGTTAGTAAGTCAGTTTGTTTGTTTCTTAATTAGTTAGTTTGTTTGTTTCTTAGATTGTTTGTTTGTTTGCCTGTTTGTTTGCCTATTTGTTTGTTTCTTTATTCTTTATCTGTTTATTTATTTGATAGTTTGATGATAGTTTTTGTTAATATCAGACATGACTTTAACCATTTTATCAAATTCATACAGTATTGAAGTTAATTTTTCATAAAAAAAATGCATTACAGTGTAAGGCTACATTAAGACTTGTAAGTGCCTGGGAGTGGGAATATATAATAAAATTCAAAACATCGTCAAATATAAACAAAGTAAATATATGGAAAAAATAATTTTGAGATTTTGTGCTACAACAAATTGACTTTGATACATTTATAATTTTGTTTTGACAGAGTTTCAAATTTGCATGAAAATCACATGCATGTTTTTATGTTGTTTTTTTTTAACTAATTGCTTGAGTCAGAAAGATCAACATTAAACATATGTAAAAAATAAAGAAAAGAGCATATTTACACTTACAGTCGAAATATACGTGACAAAATTTAACACATTATGTAAAAATTTGCTACATGTCACATTAAACTATTAGCTATATGACTTGTTTCTTTAATTGGGTAATAAACATTAACAAGTGATTTATGTAATCTAGCTCGAGTTTATGTGAAAGGTTGCTATATAGATATATAGAGAGTAGCAAATATATTAATGCGAGAACATACACAGACTGTTCCTTTTTCTCTATGAAAATTACGACTTGATATATTTAGATTTGTTTCCAATATGCAGTCATAAAAACTATTTTTTTTTTAAAAATTCCATGTGCCCGGATGAGCTTAAACATACTCTTGCAAATCTGTAAGAAAAAATTAATTCTTGTGTGAAATAAAGATATATTATTTTGTATTCAGACACTCGATATATACATATTAAATTTAGGGAATTCAATTTATTGGCGCCTTTTGCATTTCCTATTATTGCAATGACTTCAGTCTGATAAATTCAAATGGTTATGACATTACACCATGGTAGATATAGATATCATCGAAGTTTGGCCAATTAATGATATAAGAGGAACCTAAATCGGTTAGAAAAGTGGGAGTTAGATTGGGCTATGGAATACATTGTGTATAACCCTTCCAAGTGTCAAATTATCCACGTAACAAAAAGGAAACATCATATCCCACACAATACTACCTTCATGGAGTCAAATTAGAATCGGTTACCTTAGCTAAATACCTAGACAAAGATATATCAGAAAAACTTACATGGATGCCCACATAAACAGGACATCCAAGAAAGCAAACCAAACCTTAGGATTCCTAAGCCGAAACATAAAGGTTAAATCCCAATCCACGAAGTCAATTGCTTACCAGACGTTAGTCAGACCCCAGCTTGAATATGGTTCCGAAGTATGGTCTCCCCACACCAAAATACAAAAAGATCAAATTGAAAATGTCCAAAGAAGAGCAGCCAAATGGATCAAGCTAGATTATGGCGGGACCTCTAGACATTCTTCACTGCCTTAGGTTTCGAAAATTGGAACTCAAACGTATAGATGCTATCCCCTGTATTATAGGTTATTCACAGCAACTTTAGACTATTATAAATTCTCCTTCTTTCCTAGGACGGTAAACTACTGGACCACCTACCCCCTGCAGTTGCCCTAGCTACTCCCTACCCCAGAGCAGTCCAGTGCAGCCATGGCTTGCATTGAACATGTCTCGCCCTAGTTTTCCAGCCTCCTGTATTTTAACATGTTTAATATTCTTCTTTTATCCTGTTTTTAAACAACTCTTTTTAACTTTGTTGCGAATTTTATGCCTAGACATGTCTACATTCGAGTGAGGGGTTTGTCATTAATGGAAGATAGGTAGATAGATTTATAGTCCATGGGTCTTGGTTTAATCGATCCTGTCTAAGAGATATCTTTAGGTAGTTATCTCCACTTTATGCTTTGAAATATCAGTACAGTAATTTGTGTTGCTGATAACATAAGTGACGTGATCGTCCGCCTTTTTAATATCACTGCCCAATATAAGTTGTGTAACGAACAATAGTCGTTTCGTTTAAATAGCTATTTTCGTTTTATTTATTAAAATTTCATTGCGCATGCTCAGATTTATTAATGGCTGCGCCCATAGGAGGAAGAAATATTTTTAATAAAATTGCTGCAGAAATAACTTAACAAGAAACATAAACACTTAGAATAATGTCTAAAGGAAGAGTGGCAAATGGATCCGTCAATACACCAAACAGACTTGACTTGCAGGTTCTTTCTGTTCTATTGAAAGAGATTTTATTGAAATATTGGTCTTGATTTTGGCTAGACTTTAGGATCTGTCCCCAAATTATATGATTTTACCCAATATTATTTCACCAATATCTATGTTTCTCTACAAAATCATCCAGATTATTGCTTGGGTTTAGGTTAATGTTATGGCATAGGGTTAGGATTTTAAAACCTGGATTTTGCTGCGTAACCATGTCAGGAACCAGATATACCGACCACCACAGATATATAAACAACGGATAGGAAACTCCGAAAATAGAGGAGAGTCTGATTCAGACCCACAATCCTTTGCGCGCTTCGGTGATAATTGGGCTTTCCTGCTATTCTCTGATTTTCACGCTATCTTAACGATTGCCTTGGCTAAATCCGTGAATTATTGCTTTCATTGCCGACATGGATTTTCCTCGGAGAAATATTTGTGTGGAAAAGTGTGTTTTGTATGTTTTAGAATAAATAACTATTGCTTCTGATATAAGTAAAAAATGTTTAGTCTTTTTTGTTGATGTACCTCCGGGAATTCAATATGGCGGTATTTTGGCTACTTTAACCCAGGATGCATCAAATCTCGCAAAATCTCACGACATAAGATAACGTGCGGGAACACAATTCCGCCGATACTGACTTTAACTGTGTGACGTCACAGTCTCTTCTCCATCTTATATTTAGCTCCATGCTACCACCTACCAAACTCTCTGCAAGCCAAAAAATATTTATATGAATAAAATCATTTAAAAAATAATTATTATTGATATATTACAGATAAAGAAAAAAATCCAGCTTACTGGTCATCTGCAGGGCTTTCGTTAATGGAAGTCTGGGAGTCATTTACTCCTGAAATTTGGCCTGTGGCTTACAAATGTCATTCTTATTCTTCTTTATCTATATAGTGTGACTTCCAAATTTAGAGATTTTGTTGTCTCTGACTTCCAAATTTTGGAACTTAGTGGAAGCCTTGTCATCTGTACATACTAGATCTATATATATCTTATCCTAGTATACATACTTGTTCCTGACCTTGCTTCACGCTGTACATCTGTGGTTACCCCTGATAAATGCTCTTGGTGCAACGCAAAGGGCCAACCTTTTATAGTCATCACTATGAACTTGGTGCTCAAACACCCTAGTGCCCTTCCTCGTTGTCACTGCTTTCTCTATTAGGGCTACTCCTCTCTACTTTAGTCAGGACATAAGCAGCTGTTTGTAGAATGTGAGAGTATCTTAACTCCCTAACACATTGTGGTAGTAGTTTGACCTAGAATCTGCCTTTATGTACAGAAACAGCACTTGATATTTACCTGCTAGTGTGTCCTTGGTAAGGAGCTGCCTGGCCAAGCTCCAAATCTTCTGGGCCTCTCCATCACATGCACATACCAAGTGGTTTGAAGTCACAATTAATACCTTCTATAGGAATTTGTGTTAGTTTGGCCTGATACATACTCAGCAGGGGTCAACTTGGCCAATATTTATATTACTGATAATAAAAACATCACTATTTTCATTCAGTATTTATGAAATAATATACATCACACATTTATGATTTATCAAGGAATGTAATGAAATGTATGTATGTGTATTTGTAAACATAAATTTACTGTGGGGTCTGTCACTATGTGTTGTAACCTAAGGTATGTTTCTTTCATACATTTTTATATAAAATTGCCAGTTTAACGGAACAAATATATTTCATATCAATACAATAGTCGTCACAAAGTTTCACACAATTACAGACGAAGCACAGAATCTATATGTTGAACTTGATAGCTTTTTAATAGTAGGCTGAGCTGACTGACCTGTTCTGAGTTGATTAAGGGTCACTTTGACCCTTTACCTTGTATAGTTTTACAGGCTGAAACATTAAACTAGGCTATATCTGAGCTATTGGTGTAGCCATAGATCCATATAATTTAAAGTTAAATGCATATTATTGTAGCTGTTACCAATGATCGCAGTGATAAGTCATGACAATCAGACTATTAGACATGAAAATATGTGTGTTTGGTAATTCTTTTGTATTGGTTTGTTACATGTGGAGACAAAAATCATTTTGAATACCATTTGAATATGTCATTCTCTGAGTAACATAATTATAGTAAAAAAAATCACAAGAATTACGAATAAATTTTCACTCAGAAAGTTGTTTTTGTTTGCTATTTAATTATTTATGCTATCAGATCATTCATTGTGAATAAATTGTTCTTTTTTAGGCAGAGCCAACACCATGCTGGACAGATGATCTGCCAGTGTGCCATCATTCTGGTGTAGGTTTCTCAACTAATCAGATATACAGAGAAGATGGCAATAGAAGAGAAGAACATGAATTTGAGGACAAAAACTTCCACTTCAGGTAACACTGTAACATATAATCATATACAAATGTATCATAATTATGTCAACATTTTTATACATTATCATATATTTTGTTTCACAAAATATTATGCATTATTTAATGGCATGTATCATACAGTTACTACACAGTTGAACTTATTTATCAGGAACCGGTTTGGTATTATTTGACAAGAAATAGTGAAATCTGTGGAGTAATCTTAGATACCTTTTAAAAAAAATAAACTGTCAGGAGAGTTTGGCTATCTGTATTTATTTGTGGTTATCTAGTAATTGATGCATCTACATTTCTCTTTTCCAGTCAGGATGGTGTATGTTTATATGGTGTATTTGATGGACATGATGGATCTCGTGCTTCCAACTTTGCTGCTCAGAGGATGCCAGCCGAGCTGTTATTAGGTCAGCTATCAGGAAAAACAACAGATGAAGAAATTAAAGAAGTGCTATACCAGGTAACTTGTATTTTATAAATCTTTTTTATCTCACAAATGACAATTTCTTTGGCGCTATGACAAGTTATTTTCGTTTTTCACTATGCTAAAAGGAAAGTCAAAAATAAAAGTATTCAAGCTTTCTAAATTTAGGCTAATTTTGTATAGCAAAGGTGCAATATGTAAAATGATAAATATGATGCATATTTCAGGCATTTGTTGAGGTAGAGAAAAGTTTTTTTGAATCAATAGATGAGCAGTTGGTTGCCAGGACAACATTACAATTACAGCTTCCTGAGGTATGATTCATTGTTAGATTATACTTAAATTACATATTTTATCGATAAGGGATCAAAGTCAGTATAACGTTTACTTTGCTTGAGTAACGAATGTACAAAACAGATGCCATACAATGATATTGTTATAACTAATCAAATGGGAAAATAGTAATTAAATATGATGAGATTCTAAGTTGCAGTGTCTTTTTACAAAAAAACAAACAACAGAAAAAAGTGGAATCCCTAAAAATGCCTAGCCTCAATAATTATTTTTCATTGATAATTGATGAATTAATAAAAACTTACATATTTATCATTTTTCTGCAAAGAGATAAAATCATACTTGTTTTGGATTAAAATTATCATAAACAGTTTGAGAAACATGAAGCATGAACCTGAAACGTGAAGCATCCCTCCTTGTATTCTGTTCAATAAATAACATGAAACTTAACTAAAACTTTTCCATCATTGATATTTTTACTTAATTGTACAATAATTATATAATACAGGGGATAAGTTACCATGAGGCTTGCCAGCAGTATCCCGACATTATCAGTAAACTTCATGCTCTTGACAAGGAAATCTCTGGTGGTACTACTGGAACAGTCGTGCTTATATACAATAATAAACTTTATGTTGCCAATGTTGGTGAGTTCATACTTAGTGATTTCATTGTCCTAAATTGCTATGAAGTACTAAAAACCAAAATGCATATATGACATGAGAATGTCTAGTCTATTTAAACAAAAAAAAATATTTATTCTATTTTGATTGAGATATCAACTTCCTTATCCATAGGTTGTAATTAAAGGGACTCCACTGAGGTTTTTTTGACATGGCGGGACTGGAAATAATTTTTTGAGATTATTACTCCATTTAATGAAGATCTATACAAATAACTAATGTGCAAAATTTTAGAACATTAGCTCGCTCCGTTTTTCCAGAAAAATTATTATATTAGTGAAAATTGACCCAAAATTGAAAAGCGTTTAAACGCTTTTCACTCAAATCAGACTGAGAGTAGCACAAACATACAATTTTCAATGCATTTGTTGTATATTTCCTAGTAATATTTTATTTATATTTCTGTTTTAAGTGCTCATGTTGATCTGTATGAAAAAATAAATTTTTATATTTTTAGCCTTACAAACCTCAGTGGAGTTCCTTTAAGAATTTTAAGATGATTTTTGGTTTTATTTTATAATTTGAATAGAATTTTTATGTGTGTGAATAATTCTTCAAAGTTTTGGTTGCTATAGGTTCATAATGTCAGTAAAGTGGCTATATCATTGTATTAACATTCAAGCACAAAGGTGTATTTGTTTGTCTATCAGAATAATTCTTCAAAGTTTTGGTTGTTATATATCAGTAAGGTGGTTATATCATTGTATTGATATACAAGTACAAGGAAAATTGTTTTTATCAACCATATTACAGGTGACACAAGAGCATTGTTGGTACAAACAGATGCTGGTGGAATCATGAGTGTACGACAACTTACAGTAGATCACACCATAGATTCTGAACAGGAACAAGTACGACTTCGTACACTAGGACTTGATGTTGACAAACTATTCCAGTTGAGGAAAATTGGAACCTCAGATTGTACAAGATGTATAGGAGACTTTCATACAAAGGGTGGATATAAAGATATTGATATACTTAGGTAGGAATATCATTTCATAATGAAAATACATTGTTTCAGAATAAATTAAATTGTTTGAATAATTTTTGTAATAAGATATCAGTTATTCCAGTGTTAAAAATTCTTGTTTTTTGAATAGACTACAATTAATGATTTATTAGTTAAAATAAGCTTACTGTTAGTTAAATAAGCTTACTGGCTAAAGATATTCCTCTATTATTATAAAATTTTATATTTTTACTGATATGATTCGAATGAAAATATAAAGAAAATGAGTACAATCCTGCACTTTGATTTATATACCATATTTTTTGAGCCATGAATTATTTAGAATATTATACAAAAGGTTTAACTCTGTATGTATTTTGTGTATTTTAGCCAAGCAGTGAGAGAACCTGTGATAGCAGAGCCCCATGTATCAGATGGTTACCCTATAGACAGTTGTAGCAGTTTCTTGTTGATCATGTCAGATGGTTTATATCATGCACTACAAGATGCTACAGAAACAGCCAGGGTGAATACTGAAGTTGCCCAGATGGTTGCAGTAGAGTTTAATGTTCAGTCCACGCTGAATGGTGTGGCACAAGCTTGTGTTGATAAAGTTGTTAGAATACATCATGATAGTTTCATGATGGGAACACCTGATGTGAAAGCAAGGTGTCATAAAAGAGGGGATATTACACTGCTGGTCAGGAACTTTAATTACATATTGCCAAATGCCATAGGTACACCAACTGGTGGTAGCCGGTTTTTACCTGTATCAGTGCCTTATTATCCATCTACACGCCCTGCTGTACCGCCATCTATCTCAATACCAGATTCAACTCCTTTGACATTTGGAAACGAAGGTATTCAAGATGAGGCTACTACTCCAGTTGCTTCAGATCCGAGTCCGTCTAGAAGTCCGGGAGAAAGTAGTCTCCTTGACACAAATCGTGAACAAACACGAGACTCTCAGGCCAGTACAGAGACATACAGTACAACAAACTCTACACAAAGTAGTGAGGAAACTAGATTTCCTAGTCGCTTTTATAAACGTGAAAAACTAATCCTAGATGAGAATGGACGTGTCGAAGCATACGTTGATTTCTCTGATTTTTATCGTGCAATTGAAGCAATGACAGAGTCACAGAGAGAAACTTTAAATAACGAGACTAAACCTAAATCTGGTTATGAAACAATAGTTGAGGAACCTACAGGTGCTGCTTCAAGTCCTACTGTTGCCTCACAACCATTGCCTGGAACATCTACTGATACTTGAACAGTCATTATGTCATCTTTAGTACCGATACTTGAACAGAAGTCATTATGTTATCTTTAGTTTACTCCGACTGCTTATTCATGCTTTACATATCTATGTAAAGGCAGATATATACTGGTACTGTGTACTGTACTGTTCTGTAAGGCAACTGGCAAAATGTTTAGTGACACATTGTCAGTGTCATTAAAGAACATAATACATGTATTATTTTGTGTTTTTATAACATAACTTTGTATTAGAATCAGTTGTTAAGCTTAAAAGCATTTTCAATATTAATTTTTTTAACTTTTTTAAGCTGTGAAATATTGCTTTTTTAAGCTGTTATAAGTTGTTTTTTTTATATGTAATTTATAAGCAATAGATTATATTCAAGAGAGTAAATAGTTCTGTAATATAAATGATATACTGAAACAAAAAAGAAACTTTCTCCAAGTTTGAATGTAGATATGTTAGTACAGTTTTTCAATCCTTTTGAAACTCGATTTTTACGTTGAATAAACATATTGGGCTTTTATACAGGGATTAGTTGACCGATTTTGCAAACAAAACGAGTTTTACAAGCTACTACATGTATATAAGTGTGTACATCTAAGTGGTACCCTTGAACAACTGGCACATACTTTGGGAAAGTTTTTTTGGTTCAGTATATATGCATTTGCAAAAGTAAGAGTGATTAATGGCTGAAACTTGTGATACATGAAAGAATTAATAAATTAATTTCAAACTTGAAAGAAGCAAGATCTTGTTATAAAAATATTTAACAGAAAATGTTCAGAAACTTTTTTTTCTCTAAAATTAAGTCTCTATTAAAATTACAAAAGATAAGTTGTTTCATTCACAGCAACTCTCAGGTTTTAAAAGGTTATAAGGATTTGAGAGGTCTAACTTTTGTTGCACCACAATACACGAGTAATTTAATGTCATTCATTTATAGTTATTATTGTTACAAAAGTACTTTGTTCCAACTTTTTTTTAATTACATATAATAATTTTCAATAGTGTGACGGGTGAAAATTAAAGAACTATTTTAACATTGTAATAAATCTGTTTTTAACAATGAGAGATATCGAGTGGCTAAATGAGTTGAAGTTGAATAAAATATAATGCAAGCCTTTGGGGAGCACAATATTGTTTTGTTCAACTCTTTCAGTATTGAATACATGAATATGATATTCTATTAATCACATACCTAAATAAAACAGTTTAGTTAAAAGAAAAATCTTTTTTACATCAACACACCGATAACGTAACCATAACATTAGCAAGCTTTTTGCTGTGTTTGTATGACGCTTATAAATATGTCCCATTGCGTTGTTATTGCACTATTATTGTGTGATTGTTTCATTGAATGGCTTATTAAACTCCTGCACCATAGTTTATGTGATATTAGTAGATAACCCCAGTGTTTTTCTTATGTTTTAATAATAAAGATATAAACTATGAATTAGACTTACATGTGAGAACGCGAGACGTTTTATAATAAATCTTATATAACAAAGAATATTAAACAAGCAATTAAGTCATTTCTTTGACAAGCATCTTGTTTTGAAATTTACCCAAATTGGTTATAAATCTTCAGATGAAATGTCTTGCATTGTTTTCAATAGAAAAACAAATTTTCAAACAAAAATTAAAGAACCATAAATTGTAAGGTTGTCTTGTGGTGGTGTGGCCCAGTTGTTAATATGTCAGACTAGAAATCCAAGGATTGCTGGCTGTGTGGGTTCAAATCCTGTCAGGAGCCAAGCGGTTGTTTCCTTGAGCAAGAAACTTCACACTCATTGCAAAGTACTGGTTAGTTCCAGGAATGGATTCGAGAGTGTTCATTAAGCTTATAGCTTTCAACACAAACTATAATATACTTATCCATATATAATCAATGAACACCAAAGGCATCAATGTCTAGGTCACCAAGATGTCAGAAGTGAAATTGGATTCAGCTCCAGTCTTTCATTTTGCAAGCACAAACTACACAATTGCATTTTTCTTCAAATATACATGCAACAACTTTTTAGGTCTTAAAAGGTTGTACTACCGTTTTTTAGCTCGACTTTTCTATGAAAAGGGGAGCTATCCTACTCGCCCCGGCGTCGGCGTTAGCGTTGGCGTCACACCTTGGTTAAGTTTTTCGTACCACCCCACTTTATTTCAGAAGTATTACAAGTATGGCTTTGAAACTTACCATACTTGTTCACCATCATAACCTCCATCTACAGACAAGAGTACATAACTCTGTCAAGGTTTTTGACAGAATTATGGCCCTTTTTTGACTTAGAAAGTGTATTGAGCTTGGTTAAGTTTTTTGTACCACCTCACTTTATTTCAAAAACCATTGGAGGTATTGCTTTGAAACTGACCATACTTGTTTACCATCACGACCTTCATCAACAGACAAGAGGACATAACTCTGTCAAGGTTTTTGACAGAATTATGCCCCTTTTTGACTTAGAAAATACATTGAATATGGGTAAAATCCACTTATTGCCTTAACCCTTTGAGATATTGCTTTGAAACTTTTAATGCTATTTCACATCATTACCCCCATCTGTACGCAAGAGAAGGTAACTCTGTCAAGGATTTGTTTTAAAAATTAAGGCCTTTTATCGACTTAGAATCTTGGTTAAGTTTTTAGTACCAGTCCACTTTTTGACTGAACTGTTTGAGATATTAATTTGAAAGTTGGAATACTTGTTTACAATCATGATTCCCAAACATGTCCAGGAGAAGGTAATTCTGTCAAAGATTTTATTTGAATTATGGCCCTTAACTGTCAATGTTTTGTATTATAGGCAAGCACTAAAAAACTTAAAAAATCTAAAAAAATTCATTCCTATCCACTTGTTCACTTTACCATAAATTATGTCATATAAACATTGCTGTAATATTCAAGGGTATCAAACAACTAGTTATTTTTCTCTTTTTGTACTTGAAATTAAAATCAGTAGTATAATACTATTAAATTTATTTAAGGCTCAACTCAGTTTTTTTTTCTTTCTTACCAGCCCTCTTTTGACTTAAACATTTCAAACTTTGCTGCAGTGTTCAAGGGTATCACACAATTCAGTAAAATAATTCTTCACTAAATATCTTAATGCTCATGGCCATTGTTCACTTTAAAAATACAGAGATTCTTGTATTGCCTTTTACTGCAAAAACTTTTTTTATTGGCAAGCAATAAACAAGAGGGCCATGATGGCCCTGAGGTCGCTCACCTGTATATAGGTCGCCCCAACCCCCCCCCAAAACATTGCAGGGCCAATTTAACCAAAGGGCTTTTATTTGCACAAACTTGGTAGACACCCATAAGAAAATGTTTCATGCTAAACATCTAAGCTCTAGCTCATTGGGCTATTTAAAAGAAGATTTTTTTAAAGTTTTTACTATACACATATAGTTAAAAACAATGACACGCCTGGGGCCGGGCCAGTTATGACCCCAGGGTTTTTATTTGAACAAACTTTGTAGACACTTACTAGAATATGTTTCATGCTTAATATCTAAACTCTAGCTATTTGGGTTTTTTCAAAGAAGATTTTAAGTTTTTGCTATACACATATAAGGAAAATCAATGACCCCGGGGAAGGGCCAATTTTCACCCCAGGTCTTTTATTTGAACAAACTTTGTAGACACTCACTAAAAGATGTTTCATGCTTAATATCTTAACTCTAGCTATTTGGGTTTTTTCAAAAAAGATTTTTTAAGTTTTTGCTATACACATATAAGGAAAATCTATGACCCCCGGGGCGGGGCCAATTTTGACCCCAGGGCTTTTATTTGAACAAACTTGGTAGACACCTATTAGAACATGTTTGATGCTAAATATCTTAACCATAGCTCTTTGAGTTCTTTAAAAGAAGATTTTTAAGTTTTTACTATATGCATATATAGGGAAAAATCAATGACCCCCCCGGGCGGGGTCAATTTTGACCCCAGGGCTTTTATTTGAACAAACTTGGTAGACACTTATTAGAACATGTTTCATGCTAAATATCTTAGCTCTAACTCTTTTGGTTCTTTAAAAGAAGATTTTTTAAGTTTTTACTATATGCATATAGGGAAAATCAATGACCCCCTGGGGCGGGGCCAATTTTGACCCCAGGGCTTTTCTTTGAACAATCTTGATAGACACCTATTAGAACATGTTTGATGCTCAATATCTTAGCCATAGCTCTTTGAGTTCTTTAAAAGAAGATTTTTTAAGTTTTCACTATATGCATATAGGGAAAATCAATGACCCCCCGGGGCGGGGCCAATTTTGACCCCAGGGCTTTTATTTGAACAAACTTGGTAGACACTCACTAGAAGATGTTTCATGCCAAATATCTAAGCTCTAGCTTTTAGGGTTTTGGAAAAGATAATATTTAAAGTTTTTTCTTTCGGTTGCCATGGCAACCAGAGTTCTGCATGGAATTGTATTCTTTGAACAATTTTTAATGGTGACCACCAAAGGAACATTCCTGTGAAGTTTGGATGAAATTGGCCTTGTGGTTTATGAGAAGATGTCATTTAAAGTAAAAGTTTACGGACGACGGACGGACGACGGACGGACGACGGACGGACGCCGGACGAAAAGCGATCACAAAAGCTCACCCTGTCACTTTGTGACAGGTGAGCTAAAAAGTCGAGCGCGCTGTCTTACGGACAGCTCTTGTCTTGCTTCCTGATCAGGCCATATCGTTTTTGGTCTGTCATAAAACTATACCTTTACCACAACATAGAAATACTTTCAGCAACTGCTTCCAAACTTCAAGTGCATACACCACAAGCTCTACCGGCCAGAACCACTTATATGTCATTGGGTCCAAGGATGCCATGACCACCTTTAGCTATATATACCCAGGTCATAAAATTTGTGATTTAACTGAGTATGCACCTTACAAGAACTTCTGTCTGCCAGACCAACTATATGCACCTTCATGCTTTCTACCCTTAATATCTACTTAGAGGTCACAGGGTTAAAGGACACTATGACCTACGTATCAAATAATAACCCTGTTCATATACAAAGTCTTTCTATCCAGCCAAAAATCTTAATATATGTTAAACAGTATGCACCTTGATGGGCCTAACCTATCTAATGTTAAGGTGACCTCCACATATGAACTATTGTCATACAACAAGTCCTTCAAACTTCACAGATGTGTAAGTGCCTTGATGTCCCCTACTTGTAAAAAACCCAACTCGAGATCATGGGGACCAAAGTTAGTGGCCCAAAATATCAACATGCTTCCAAACTTCATAGGTGTAACCATACTCTATGGTCGGTCATGTCTGGGAACATGGCATTCATTGGAATATTGCACCTGTGCTTGCAACACAGGTAACTGCTGAAGGTAAGAAATGAAACGCTTTGTCACTTAAGTTTTCTCAAGTTCTGCAAAAAATTCAGTATTCACAGTTATTAACCCATTACTTCATGAGCATTTTGTGAAAAATGGCTGTTTTCATTGAAAAGTCTCCCGTTACAAGTTCAAATTGCTATAATACTATAAAAACTGCTTCAACACTAATCAAACTTGGCACAAATGTTGACTGGACCATTGCCCTTGCAACAACATGCTCAGGCTTAAATTTTCTGTTACCATGGCAATGAGGGGACATCTCAAAATTGCCAAAAATCACTATTTTGCGTTGATTTTTTCCATCATAATTGATTTCAAAGTGCTGCAACTTCTCAATGGATTGAGATAGTCAAATGCTTTTCAGCGTTGGTTACACGTTACCTTATGATCAATCTGAGGTCATTTATAGCCTCTCACAAGTCCAAAATTTTCTTGGCGATGAGGGGGACTCCGTCCCCCTTCAAACCCCCCAAAGGGGGCACATCCCCCTTCTGGCAACCCCCTGATGTATCTTTTGGTTGGGGGGGCCGCGCCGAAAAAATGGTCACTTTTTTTAACAACATTTCTCAAACAAAAACAAGTGTTGGGGGTTTAAATAAGGCATTTTTTCACCATTTGAGACAACAAAAAGGGGGGGGGGGTGAAAAGGGCGTTAAAAGGCGTGTATATGAAGTAATGGGTTAACAGAAAATGATGAAAATACTTGAAATTACCCTAAATTGCGTTTTTCCATGTTTAAACATGGCCTGTCATATAAATTTGAAGAAAAATTGTTGTTTTGTAGATTTTATTTATTTTTTTTCATTAACCCATTACTTCATGAGCATTTTGTGAAAAATGGCTGTTTTCATTGAAAAGTTTCCCGTTACAAGTTCAAATTGCTATAATACTATAAAAACTGCTTCAACACTAATCAAACTTGGCACAAATGTTGACTGGACCATTGCCCTTGCAACAACATGCTCAGGCTTAAATTTTCTGTTACCATGGCAACGAGGGGACATCTCAAAATTGCCAAAAATCACTATTTTGCGTTGATTTTTTCCATCATAATTGATTTCAAAGTGCTGCAACTTCTCAATGGATTGAGATAGTCAAATGCTTTTCAGCGTTGGTTACACGTTACCTTATGATCAATCTGAGGTCATTTATAGCCTCTCACAAGTCCAAAATTTTCTTGGCGATGAGGGGGACTCCGCCCCCCTTCAAACCCCTCAAACAGAAGGGGGCACATCCCCCTTCTGGCAACCCCCTGATGTATCTTTTGGTTTGGGGGCCGCGCCGAAAAAATGGTCACTTTTTTTAACAACATTTCTCAAACAAAAACAAGTGTTGGGGGTTTAAATAAGGCTTTTTTTCACCATTTGAGACAACAAAAAGGGGGGGCGTGAAAAGGGCGTTAAAAGGCGTGTATATGAAGTAATGGGTTAAATGGGAAATGTGACAATCACATAAAAAGTAACCTTTGCTTCCAGTTTTGACAATTGCTTGGGCCAGGAATGTTATTAAAACAAGCAAGTTAAATAAAGACCACTTTATATAGTCAGGTTTCATAAATAATATATAGACCATTAAAATGATACCATTACAGCTGTATTTCAGGACACAACTGCTGTTCTCAATATTGTATTATTTCAATTTTTTATGATAACCTTGCCAACATTTCAAAGGTAACAGAGAGTAACAGGTTTAACATCCAATTGACATTTCATTATTGTTGTGATTATTATGGATACCCCAGAACCAAGTTTTTCATAACTATTTATTATCCCCCGCCAAAAATTTTCGGCGGAGGATTTAGAAATAGTCTCCGTCCGACATTGTTGTCCGGAGCATATCTCTAAAAGTATTTGAGTTATCAACTTAAAACTTCATAGGTGGATAGACCTCATTGAGGAGGAGTGCAGTGCACAAGAATGATAACTCTACCTTGCATGATATTTGAGTTATTGCCCTTTATTTTTCAAAATTGATTTTTGTCCAGAGCATAACTCCAAAAGCCTATGAGATATTAACATGAAACTTCATAGGTGCATAGATCTCACTCAGGAGGTGTGCAGTGCACAAGAATGATAACTCTACCTTTCATAATTTTTGAGTTATTGCCCTTTGTTATTTTTCATACCTAATTTTTCACCTGAGTGGAGCATAACTCAAAAAGTGTTTGAGATATCAACATGAAATGTCATAGGTGGATAGATCTTATTGAGGAGGAATGTTGTGCGCAAGAATGATAACTCTTCCCTATACAATTTTTGAGTTATTGCCCTTTTTTTTTTTTAATGCTATTTTGTCCAGAGCTTATCTCAAAAAGTATTTGAGGTATCAACTTGAAACTTCAAAGGTGGATGGATCTCATTGAGGAGGAGTGCAGTGCTTAAGAATGATAACTCTACCCTGCATTATTTTTGAGTTATTGTTCAAAATTAATTTTTGTCCAGAGCATAACTCAAAAAGCCTTCGAGACATCAAAATGAAACTTCATAGGTGCATAGATCTCACTCAGGAGGTGTGCACAGCACAAGAATGATAACTCTACCTTTTATAATTTTTGAGTTATTGCCCTTTGTTCTTTTTCATACTTAATTTTTCAATTCAATTTTTTTCTCAAAAAAGTATTTGAGGTATCAACTTGAAACTTCATAGGTGGATAGATTTTACTGAGGAGGGATGCAGCACACAAGAATGATAACCTACCCTGCATTATTTTTCAGTAATTGCCCTTTGTTATTTTCAGCCATCAGTATTCACATAGGTTTCAGACCTGTAATCACTATAGCCATCAGTTTTCATTACCAAAAGACCTCTTAAAATGGAATTATTCCGCTCTACTACATATACATTCTTCCAATGAGCAAACACATTCGGCGGGGGATGGCCATGTTGACATGGCTCTTGTATAAAATAGCTGTAGTTGGCATAAAATGCATCACAAGGGAATCCTTAAAATACAAAACCAGGTAAACCGAGTAATTTTACTTTTTTCCTATAGGAACTTATCTGGCAAACTAGTCTTCATAAATTTCTTAAAATATTGTTAGTGTTTACTTTTTCAGATTAGATGAAATCATATCCAATGAATGGTTAACATTCACGAATGCCATATTTCTGAATCAAAATAAAAACAAACACAATTGTTTAGATGACCTTTTATTAATTGCCTATAATTCAAGCCAAAATAAATACCACACAAATACCTAACATAGTTACTACATAATCTGAAAGGAGAAGGAAAAAGCCCACAAAAATGTGGAATATACTTGCACCTAGGAGGGGGTGGATACATGGTTGTAATTAGCACTGTATATAACATTCCATTCAAAATATTTGATTCTGGTGACTTTGATTTCCACATAATGTCATTCAGGTATATGGCCACACAAATAAACACAATAAGCACTTAAATAATATTTATAAAATTAATTACCTCCAAAAATGCTATTTTTAACAATAAAAAAAATTTTCCCAAACTACCAAAAAAAAAATTTTTAATCCCAATAAATCTGTAAAAATACAAACTCTTTGCAATTTTTAAAGAGGGCTGATTTTGGATAGAAGATTGATTTACCAAAAGAGTTTAATATTTAAAAGGCAACATGCAAGGGGAAAAGGAAATTTATTTCCTTCCTTTTCAGAAACCGTATGTTTATGTCCCCTACTCCCCGTCCAAGATGATTTCTTCAACTTTAAGCAGGAATTCAACAACTTCTTCATCATATTCATCCTCGGCCAGATTGTCCAGCTCGTCAGTATCAATACCTGCAACAAAAATCAGTCAACTTTCTTTATAAAATTTAACACAAACTTAGTTTTAAATGCCTGAACAAACAGTAACTATACTTCTTACACAAAATGGTATTTAATAATTTGTTGCCTGCATGAATGGGCACCTGAGTAGAACCACAGATGTTAACTAGATAGCTTTATAAAAGAATCAAAAATCCACAGCCAAATAATAAACCATACAAATCGTGACTCTATTAGAATCCACAACTTGTACCTCAGTTTATCCTCCTAATCTATATTTTTTAAAACAGTGTTCAGAATAATAATGAACAGTTTGTCTCATCCAGTAAAACATTGCCTGTTTAACTGTCAGAAACTCTAGCCTAAGATTTACATCATCACACTGTAATATTGTTGTTGACTTTAATTGATGATAACTAACCGATTAAGACATGTTTGAAAGATTCTTTATTCAATATCTTGTAAAACATTTAAGAATTTGTCTTTTCTTTCATAATCATCTTAACATCTTTTTGAGGCTAAAATTTAATAAATCAGCAAGATTATAATATACCAGTGTTCAGAATAGTAATGAACAGTTTGTCTCATCCAGTAAAACATTGCCTATTAAACTGTCAGAAACTCTAGCCTAAGATTTACATCATCACACTGTAATATTGTTGGAGCTTTCAAAACTGATAGCTTTTGTTTGCTGGATAGCTCTCTTACATGAAAGATTACTAATTACTTGCTTGGATTGAACCAACAGTAGTGAGGGGCAAAAAATTTGAAGTCGCCTAACTTATGAAGCCTTTGTTAAAAATCTTGCAGTTTTTCCCCTACATTTTCTGTTTCTTTTTATACCCATGTTTTAAAGATCATTCAATATAATTTAGTTAAAATCATTTTTGTGTTAAAAAATTAATAAATCAGCAAGATAAAAATATGATGTCAGTGTTCAGAATAGTAATGAACAGTTTGTCTCATTCAGTAAACATTGCCTGTTAAACTGTCAGAAACTCTAGCCTAAGATTTACATCATTATACTGTTGATTTACATCATTATACTGTTAACTATAAACAAGTGAAAGGAATGACTTGGAATCCCCCCACCACATTTTCATCAATATTTTTTTTTGTTCTTAGAAACAGCTTATCCCCACACTGAAATTTTGTTCAGCAAAAACTTTTAATTAAGAACTGAGATGAAAAAGGAATTTGATCCATTCTTTCAGCATTGTCACTAATATTTTGTGTTCTCAGAAACAGTGTATCCCCATTTAGAACTGTTATTATGTTCTGTCAGAGACTCTAGTTTGTTTAAACATCATTACACAAAATAAGTTTGACAGCTTTTTATATATTATTTTGTAAACATAATTATGTGAACTTAAAAACATAACAGTAACATAACACAATTTGAAGAGCACTGCATGCAAATTTAAAACTCTTTAAAATTGTAAGTGAAAAAGGGTCATAATTCAAAAAATATTGGTCCTAGAATAATGTCCCTTGCTCCTGCACCTGGACATGATAAGCAAGTATTCTGAAGTTCATTTTAATTTGTAGACTAACTTTTGTTACTTTCACTGTGTTAATCTTATTTAGACTGACTTATTGAGATGTAGTCCTTTGTACCATGTCTTTGATATCATTTTGATTAAAAGAAAAGACAACAACAAAACAACAACATTTGTGTTCTCAGAAACAGTTTATCCCCATTTAGAACTGTCATGTTCTGTCAGTGACTCTAGTTTGTTTGAACATCATTTACACAAAATTTGGTCTGATCGTACCGGAGTTCATCTTCTATGATGTTTTCATAAACAATTTCCTTTTTTAAAGTGTTTTGTTCACAAAAAGTTTCAAAATTATATAACAAAATGTTTTGAAGGAAAAAGCAGAATTTTCTTATAATTTTTATTGTGAGAGCATTGCAAAAGCTTTCCTCAAATAGTGTCAAGGGTGTTTATCTTATAACAATGACTATGTAAAGTTACACTGTAAATGGCAGAGAAGATTTGGTCCAAAAATTAAGTTCATTAAAGTTTCATTTTTAAAAAAAACTATTAGTTTTAAATGTCAGTGAAACATATAATTTTATATCTGGAGTTATTATTTTAAAACATCTTTAAAATGTATCAATATAGCTGCAGTACAATGCCAGTGTTCAGAATAGTAATGAACAGTTTGTCTCATCCAGTAAAACATTGCCTGTTAAACTGTCAGAAACTCTAGCCTAAGATTTACATCATCACACTGTCATATTGTTGAGCTAAAACTGGTAACAAGGAAAAGGAATGAAATAGAAATATCATATTTTTCTTCTTCAAGATTTCTATTAACTTTTTTGTGTTCTCAGAAACAGTTTATCCCCATTAAGAACATTTCTGTTCTGTCAGAGACTCTAGTTTGTTTAAACATCATTTCACAAAGTCTGGTCTGATAAAACAAGAATTAATATGACAACTTCTATGATATTGTCTGTGGTTTTCTCACAATAGCTTTCAAGATGCTTATATTCTAATGATGCACATACAATGACATTTTTATAGATCATAACTCAGAAATTAGGTTCATATTTTGATTTCATTTTGTTTAAGGAACAGTTTTCAGAAATACTGCCGAAGCAAAAACCTTCAATTTGAAATCTGGAAGATGTCAGATAATTAAACAAGGTAAAAATATGATACCAGTGTTCAGTATAGTAATGAACAGTTTGTCTCATCCAGTAAAACATTGCCTGTTAAACTGTCAGAAACTCTAGCCTAAGATTTACATCATCACACAGTAATATGGTTAAGCCTCGGTAACAAGCAAAACGAATGAATTAGAAATATTATATTTTTCTTCTTCAAGATTTCTATTATCTTTTTTTTGTGTTCTCAGAAACAGTTTATCCCCATTTAGAACTTTTCTGTTCTGTCAGAGACTCTAGTTTGTTTAAACATCATTATACAAAATCAGGTCTGATAAAACAAGAATTAATGTGACAATGTAATATTATTGAGCTTAAACTATTTACAAGTAAAAGAAATCAAGAAATTTATTTTAATCTCTCAACCTTGTTACTTATGTTTGTGTTCTCAGAAACAGTGTATCCCCATTTAGAACTTAAAGTTCTGTCAGAGACTCTAGTTTGTTAAACATCATTTACACAAAATATGTTAAACAGCTTTTTATAGATTATTTTTGTTTGGTAAGAAACAAAACAGATCACACCAATCTGTTCCATATATCTACACAATAAAATATTTATTTTATATATTTATAGCATTTTTATTTCTAGACTTACATTTAGATTTGGCTTACTTTTGTCACTTTCATAATATAAAACTTAAATTGAGAAGCTTAATGCAATGCACAACATGTTACTTGATACTTGAATTTTTCAAGAAAATGGTTTTGTATTCTCAGAAACATTGTATCCCCACTTAGAACTTTTAATGTTCTGTCAGAGACTCTAGTTTGTTTAAACATCATTTACACAAATTGTGGTCTGATAGTACAAGAATTAATGCTACTTTCATGTGCTCATCAACAATGTATCTCTACTGTTGTGTTCTCAAAAAGAATTATTTAAAACTGACATAAGAAGTTGTATTTTTTTCTGACATTATTCAATATTTTATACAAAAGTCTATTAAGGTTTTTTTTTTTTTTTTATTTTATTTTCATTTTTTAAATGTTCGCTATTTTGCAAAGGAACATACATGTATCTCAAGTAATTCTCAATTAAGTTTCTTTAAAATGTATCAACAAGGTTGCAGTAAAATGCCAGTGCTCAGAATAGTAATGAACAGTTTGTCTCATCCAGTAAAACATTGCCTGTTAAACTGTCAGAAACTCTAGCCTAAGATTTACATCACCACACTAGAAATTACTGCAAATTTTCTGAATGCAAATTACTTCATTAATAGAATAGGCCAAGTCATGTCATTTGTGGAATATTTATCAGTATTTTTAAACAACATTTGTTGTTCATAATTTAAATGTACCCCCAAAAATTTTTTAAAAAATAAAAAACCGTCTCTTTTGATAATCCGCCTGTTTTTAAAACCCTAGAACTCATCCTCCCCTTTTGGGTTTAAAAAGGACCTCCATTTAATAGCCTTTAACTGAACCGTCCCCTTTTTAAAAATATTTCCATGAAAAACAATTTTGTTTATTAAAAACAAGCCCTTTTCCCTTTTAAAATTCACAGGAAAGTTTAAAATAAATTTTGCATTTTTATGGGATTTCCAGATTAAAAAACTTTTTCCAAAAAACACTTTTAATTTTTAAAAAAATTTAAAGGGAATGACTCAATTATTTATCTCTTAGTGTTAAAGTAAAGAAGAATTGGAAAAAGCATTAAAAAACCTTTTTTAATGTTCCCTCGTGGGAAAAATACCCTTTACATAAAAATGAAACCCCCTTTTCATATTGACTGCAGTCACTGTATATTTATGTTCTCAATGACGGCTGTACAGTGACCAACTTTTAGATCAAAATTTTAATCTTTGGTTAATTGCATAGAGGTAAATTATCACCACTTAGTGCTCAAAATTAAGCCTTTTAGTCTCTACCCGACGGGTAATGCTGCATTTAGTGTCTAATCAGATGGCTGGACCCTCATAAAACATAGTATACATTCATGATATCTATATATACTTACAGTAGATACAGTAGACTGTCTCAGCCTGTCCTGGGCCTCAAATCTTTGAGAATATTTCTTCAGATTCTTCTTTATCTCCTGAAAGGTACAGATATAGCCACTTTACCATTTAGAAATTTTGGATCATCTTTCACTTTATTTACACAACATTGTAATTTCTATATTTTGTATAAAGAAATTCTTTCACCATTAGCATGTTGAATTTTAGACATTCCTTGAAGAACTTTAAAGGATAACATGTTATATCAAGAAATTTGAACTGCTTATGGTAGTCAGACCTCATGGATGATCAGTGGCATAAGGAAGCAAGTAGTTTCTATTTTAAGAAATTGTTAATGAACTCTGTAGACAGTCAGATGAAACAGAATATAGTTTTGCATCATATAGCAGTAAAACATTACTGTCATACAAAAGTGCATCATCACAGTGCTACAGACAACATACTTTACATAAAAATTCATGTTTCACTTTGTAATTCCACATGAAAGACAAAACCATTTCAAAATACTTAAGCTTTTTCTTTCTTTAATGTTGAACTCCAGTAGCAATTACACTGTTTATGTCAAATCTATTACTACTGACTCATAATGAACTTGGGAGCCCACTTCCTATATTACTATTCCAGGTTAGAAAAAACATCGATTTTTCTGTAACATGGGTTGATTTCTTATACACCAATTAAATCAATGCTTCAAAATTAGATTTTTAACCTTCTATTATCAAAATGATCAAAACACAAACCTTAATTTCTTCTATGGGTAGAAGTGTTGGTGGTCTTGGTCTCCATAGTAACTGACAAAACCTGTCCAGCTGTTGTTTCTGTAACAGACGTCCTTGGAAAGACCATAACCAGTATCCATTGTCAACCTGTAAGTAAATATGTTTCTTGTTACATCTTATTTTAACATTCATTTATATTTCCTGTCAAGGGAGAAAATAATATTCTCAGAAACATTGTATCCACATTTAGAACTTTTATGTTCAATCATCGGAGACTCTAGTTTGTTTAAACATCATTAAACAATATTTGGCCAATTTGTAAACAATTTCAGACAGGATTCATATTACATTGTGCTCCAAGAAACGGTGAATACTGACAAGGAAGTTTTGTCTGTAAAAAAAATTGTAGTCTCAAGTAGGGCTGTGCATTGCCATTTTTTTCTGTCACGATACATATCACGATACTTGCATTTCCAAACGATGCGATTCACGATATGTATTGCATACTTTGATAAAATACGATGCATATTGCGATTCTTATGTTTCGATGCAATACGTATCACAATACTGACTTTCAGACTTTATCTATATAAAAAACTTGGTCATTTGTTCACAGCATAATTACGAATGTAATATAAAACTATTACAATAACAAAACAATAAACTCTTCAACTTGTTATTATAACTTATTTTCAAGTTTTGATCTTTCAACATTTTACATTACTTAAGGATTTTTACTTTTTACTTAAGGATTAAAGGTATTTCTCATTATACCATAACTATTAGTGTATTGCGATACTTTTCCGCTATATCGATGCATCGGGTGGTGAAATATGTATTGCATCCTGATATATTGGAATTTATAAATTCATAACGATGCATACATCGAGGACAGGGCAGATCGCGATGTTTCGATACATCGATGAATCGTTACACCTCTAGTCTCAAGTTTATAAATACTTCATCTAACAATATTTGGCCACTTTAGAAATGATCTAGAGAACTGTTCTTTATTTAAAAGTAATTTTTGTGTTCTCATAAACAGTGTATCCCCATGTAGAGACTCTAGTTTGTTTAAACATCATTACACAAAATAAAAACTTACATGTTTATAATTTTAGAACTTCATTTCCATGTTGTATAAATGAAATTTGTTACTATTTCCACTCCTTAATAAAATCATTTTAATTAAGTAAACACAAACAGTGAAACAAATGCATAAAGAAATTAGAAATTTCTTTATTGAATATTTTGTGTTCTCAGAAACATTGTATCCCCATTAAGAACTTTTCTGTTCTGTCAGAGACTCTAGTTTGTTGAAACATCATATCACAAAATAATACTTGATTTTAAAATACCCTTCAAAGCAGAAATTGTTTTATTCAAAAGAAATATGATACCAGTGTTCAGATAAGTATTGAACAGTTTGTCTCATCCAGTAAAACATTGCCTATTAAACTGTCAGAAACTCTAGCCTAAGATTTACATCATCACACTGTAATATTGTTGAGCTCAAATTATTAACAAGCAAATGAAATATATTAGAAATATTGTATTTTATATTTATCTTATTAATATTTTCATTTACTTTTTAGTGTTTTCAGAAACATTGTATCCCCATTAAGAACTTTTCTGTTCTGTCAGAGACTCTAGTTTGTTGAACATCATTACACAATATCAGGCTGATAAAACAAGAATTAATAAAATAACTCCTATATTTTCTGTAATTTTCTCAAAATAGCTTTCAAGATGCTTATATTCTAATGATGCACATACAATGACATTTGAGAGATCATAATTCAGATATTAGGTTCATATTTTGATTTCATTTTGTTTAAGAAAGTTTTCAGAAATATTGCAAAAGCAAAAACCTGTAATCTGTAACATGTCAGCAGAGCTCCAGATAGCGTGCGTATAAGCGTAAAATACGCATAGAAAATCTAAAATACGCATCACTTTCAAAATTCGTGCGTCACAGTTACGCACAACAAAATGAAAATACGCTCGTATGTCAAAATTTATGCGTGAAAGAATAGAAGTGTAAACATTTGATATGTAGAAAGAAAATGTTTTGAGCATAAAAATGCAATATATTTCCATTTTATTGCATTGAAAACTAAAAATTCTGTTGTCAACAACGCATGTTAAAAACGAAAGTAGCAGGAAATACAGAAGGGAGGTAACTCCCGTAGATCAACCTGTGAAATTATTGATGAACTTTGTGCCAGATAATCATCGTAATAGTTAACACAGTATTAAGTTTGTTTAGTCATCTATTGACATGCTTATGCTTCAATATAAACAAAAATATATTTTAATATCTTTTACTTTTGTTGTTGGAACAAAATAACATGTTTTTCACCTGCAGTTTTGTACTCAATATTTTCGTACCCAGTCTACTGTTACGGACAATTTTCTCTCAGACCAATACTTTTTTTTAAGGAAAGATATAAAAAATCTTGTTTATGTTTCTTTAATTCTAATTTCAACTATAATTGTTCAAACTGGAGTACATGATAAGGTACACGCCAACAGAAATAAAGAAAGAAAAATATTGACTCCAAGAAAATAAAATAATTTCAGGGCTTCCACTAGCGGAAGTTTGGGAGTCATTTACTCCTTCATTTTGGCCTTTGACTTCTGAAAATCAATACTTTCCCTTCTTTACCTATATAATGTGACTTCCAATATCAGAGATTTTGAAGTCTGACTTCCAAATTTTGAAAATGGAAGCCCTGATAATTTTGCTGTGTATCCTGAACTTGAGTTCCAGTAAACTCTGGAAGTCTGACTTTACATGGCATGTTTTGTATTGTTTCACATTAAATCAGTATTTAATTTGTAAAGGTTTTTCTAAAAAAAGAAAATAAACAAACAAACAAAACAATAAGTTAAATTTGTTTATAAAAATTGCAAAATGCTTTTTTGACAGATTTTACCCCTTAAGTTTTTCAGAATTTGCATTTTACCCCTCACTCTAAATTTTGAGAGGTAAAAACCCCTTGGCCAAAAAAATTATCTGGAGCTCTGCATGTCAGATAAATAAACAAGGTTAAAATATGATGCCAGTGTTCAGAATAGTAATGAACAGTTTGTCTCATCCAGTAAAACATTGCCTATTAAACTGTCAGAAACTCTAGCCTAAGATTTACATCATCACACTGTAATATTGTTGAGCTAAAACTGGTAACAAGCAAGTCGTGAATTTGAAATATTTTAATTTTATATTTATCTTTTTTATTATTTTCATTTACTTTTTGTGTGTTCTCAGAAACAGTTTATCCCCATTTAGAACTTTTTAAGTTCTGTCAGAGACTCTAGTTTGTTTAAACATCATTACACAAAATCAGGCTGATAAAACAAGAATTAATAAAATAACTTCTATGATATTTTCTGTGGTTTTCTCACATTAGCTATCAAGATGCTTATATTCTAATGATGCACATACAATGTCATTTGAGAGATCATAACTCAGATATTAGGTTCATTGTTTGGTTTCATTTTGTTTAAGAAAGTTTTCAGAAATATTGCAAAAGCAAAATCCTTCAATTTGAAATCTGTAAGATAAACAAACGAGGCTAATATATGTCAGTGTTCAGAATAGTAATGAACAGTTTGTCTCATCCAGTAAAACATTGCCTATTAAACTGTCAGAAACTCTAGCCTAAGATTTAAATCACCACACTGTAATACTGTTAAAACTTCAACTTTACAAGCAAAAGGAATGTATAAGAAATATTTTATATTTTTCTTTAGTATCTTTATTTACTTTTTTGTGTTCTCAGAAACAATTTATCCCCATTTAGAACTTTTCTGTTCTATCGGAGACTCTAGTTTGTTTGAACATCATTACACAAAATCAGGTCTATTAGAACAAGAATTAATTAGACAACTTCTATGATATTTTCATGTGCTCAAAAACAATATATTCTTATATTTTGTTCAAAGAATAATATCGGTTTAATGTTTAGGTGTATGAAATTGTTTACAAAGTGCTGACAAATTATCTATTTCATATAAAATAGTAATATATTTCTTTTCACCAAAACACTAATCAGGCTACCTTTCAAAATTCTTGGGGAAAAGATAAGTCCTTGCTTAAATAAACAACATTTGTTTAATGTTATGCAATTACTGCACTTTATATTGGCACCCTTCGTTTTTGAAAATCCCCCTTATTTTTCAGAATGAGGGGTAAAATTCAACTCTTATTTTTTAAATTTCTACACTAAACACTGAAAATGTATCAATGCTGCTGCAGTATAATGCCAGTGTTCAGTATAGGAATGAACAGTTTGTCTCATGTAGTTAAACATTGCCAGTTTAACTGTCAGAAACTCTAGCCTAAGAATTACATCATCACACAAGACATTACTGAACATTTACTGAAATTTTATATATTATTAAGCTATATATGCGTGTGTGTACGCGCTCAGAAACACAACTGCTTATCCTCATTTGTTCAACATATAAACACACATCTTTTACAATACTCCATATAGATTTAGCTGACTTAGTCACTTCCATAAATTACAATCTTATTTTTGTTTTTAAAATCTTGTTAAACATTTCAAAATTTATCTTTTCTTTCATAATTATCTCCGAGTTTTATAACATCTTTTTTGTAGCTAAAATTTAATAAATCAGCAAGATTAAAATATGATGCCAGTGTTCAGAATAGTAATGAACAGTTTGTCTCATCCAATAAAATATTGCCTATTAAACTGTCAGAAACTCTAGCCTAAGATTTACATCACCACACTGTAATTTTGTTAAGCTTCAAATGGTAACAAGCAAAAGGAATGAATTAGAAATATTATATTTTTCTTCTACAAGATTTCTATTAACTTCTTTTGTGTTTTCAGAAACATTGTATCCCCATTAAGAACTTTTCTGTTCTGTCAGAGACTCTAGTTTGTTTGAACATCATTACACAAAATCAGGCTGATAAAACAAGAATTAATGTGACAACTTTTGATATGTTCATGTGCTAATACAATACTTTTTTTCCACCCTAGTATTTAGTTCTCCAAAATTAAACATAAGGAATTAGCAGTATTTTCTTTTAAATATTTTTGTTAAAAAAATTTAGGGGGCCAACACTTATCGCAATTAGTAAATATTTTCGTTCAAAGAATATCATCTGTTGAACGTTTTGGTGTATCAAATCGTAAATCAAAGTGCTGACAAATTATTTCATATAAAAAATAATATATTTCTTCCGTAAGCACAACACTGATGGGGAATGCACAGTCCAATAGCTTTTATATGTAGCTCCAAAACACACTTGAAAATGAGGCCACTGACAGCGATTTTGGATCTTTTTTCACCAAAGTACCAATCTGGCTACCTTTCAAAATTCTTGGAAAAAGACCAGTCCTAGCTTAAATAAACAACATTTGTTTGATGTTATGCAATTACTGCACTTTTTATTGGCACCCCTCGTTTTTGAAAATCCCCCTTATTTTTCAAACGTGGGTGGGGTAAAATTCAACTCAATTTTGAATTTCTACACTAGACACTGAAAATGTATCAATGATGTTGCAGTATAATGCCAGTGTTCAGTATAGGAATGAACAGTTTGTCTCATGTAGTTAAACATTGCCTGTTTAACTGTCAGAAACTCTAGCCTAAGAATTACATCATCACACAAAGCATTACTGAACATTTTTAAATGATTCATGATTTTAAAAAAACTCCACTGAAAACATAAAGCTGAACATTCCTACATAGACCAAGTGAACACATAACATGGAAAAATCTGCACAGGATAATAAAGACGTAAGCTAACAATAAATTGAAAATTGATTTTCCATCCTGATTTGAGTGAAGTGTTCTTTATTTCAAGGTTATTTTGAACAATGAATATGATCGATTATGGAAAAAACAGAGTGAATGACAACTTATCAGACCAGACCTACATCAAATGGTAGACAAATCTTGAAAAAAAAATTTCTAGTCCTAGTATGTCAAAAATCCTCAGTAGAGTACCCTTTAAGCATAATATTGTGTTCTCAGAAACAGTGTATCCCCATTTAGAACTTTCATGTTCTGTCAGAGACTCTAGTTTGTTTAAACATCATTACACAAAATCACTCATATTTTTCAAAACTGAGGGTAAAATTCAACTCTATTTTTGAATTTCTAAAAAGACCTATGATGCTGCAGTATAATGCCAGTGTTCAGTATAGGAATGAACAGTTTGTCTCATGTAATTAAACATTGCCAGTTTAACTGTCAGAAACTCTAGCCTAAGATTTACATCATCACACAAAGCATTACTGAACATTTTTAAATGATTTATGATTTTAAAGGAATTCTCCTGTGGTGAAAGAGCCTTAAAACATAAAGCTGAAAATTCCTACATAGACCAAGAGAACACATAACATGAAAAAATTTGCAAAGGATAATAAAAAAATATGCTAACAATTGAATTGAAAATCGATATTTGATTTTGTGTGTGGGATTTTTAGCCCAATGTGAGTGAAGTGTTTTTTTTATTTTAAGGTAAATTTTGCAAAATTAATATGATGATCATGGAAAAACAGAGTGATGGATTGCTCTGAAAATTTATACACTAGTTATTGGTCCAGACATACATCAAATGGTACACATATCTTGTAAAAATATTTCTAGTCCTATTATCTCAAAAAACCTCAGTAGAGTCTTAAGCATAATATTGTGTTCTCAGAAACAGTTTATCCCCATGTAGAACTTTCATGTTCTGTAGGAGACTCTAGTTTGTTTAAACATCATTTCACAAATTTCATCTGACAGCACAAAATCAACAAGAGCTGTCCGTAAGACAGCGCGCTCGACTTTTTTATTGCTTGCCAATAAAAAAAGTTTTTGCAGTAAAAGGCAATACAAGAATCTCTGTATTTTTAAAGTGAACAATGGCCATGAGCATTAAGATATTTAGTGAAGAATTATTTTACTGAATTGTGTGATACCCTTGAACACTGCAGCAAAGTTTGAAATGTTTAAGTCAAAAGAGGGCTGGTAAGAAAGAAAAAAAAACTGAGTTGAGCCTTAAATAAATTTAATTCTAAGTCGATAAAAGGCCTTAATTTTTAAAACAAATCCTTGACAGAGTTACCTTCTCTTGCGTACAGATGGGGTAATGATGTGAAATAGCATTAAAGTTTCAAAGCAATATCTCAAAGGGTTAAGGCAATAAGTGGATTTTTACCCATATTCAATGTATTTTCTAAGTCAAAAAGGGGCATAATTCTGTCAAAAACCTTGACAGAGTTATGTCCTCTTGTCTGTTGATGAAGGTCGTGATGGTAAACAAGTATGGTCAGTTTCAAAGCAATACCTCCAATGGTTTTGAAATAAAGTGAGGTGGTACAAAAAACTTAACCAAGCTCAATACACTTTCTAAGTCAAAAAAGGGCCATAATTCTGTCAAAAACCTTGACAGAGTTATGTACTCTTGTCTGTAGATGGAGGTTATGATGGTGAACAAGTATGGTAAGTTTCAAAGCCATACTTGTAATACTTCTGAAATAAAGTGGGGTGGTACGAAAAACTTAACCAAGGTGTGACGCCAACGCCGACGCCGGGGCGAGTAGGATAGCTCCCCTTTTCATAGAAAAGTCGAGCTAAAAACTATATAGTTTTGATCAATTCATCCCCATGAATTTCAAAACATTAAGACACCTTGGTGTGATGACTCTTAACAAAAACATTTGGCATGATCTTTGGTGCATGTGCTCAGAAACAGTGTATCCCCATGCAGAACTTTCATATTCTTTCGGAGACTCTAGTTTGTTAAAGCATCATAACACAATGCAACTTTATACCAATACATATATCAAACTGATTCAAAATGCTTGCTGATCTTTAAAACAAATTATTTTTTTGTCGGTCGGCAGTAAATATAAACTTTTTAAAATATCTTTTTCACAAAGATATTCTACTTCAAATCATACTTCAAATCAAGTTAAAGATAATTTAAGACAAGTTTTGACTGGCATATCTGTATCACAAAACTGACCTTATGTCCCCACCAGCTGACCCCAGTAATAACATATCTTCCTGTAGGATCCCATTCTACATCTGTAGCCATAAAGTGCTCAGTCTGTGCCATCACTGTCATGTCAGCTGTATCAATAAACTCTAGCACACCATTCATACTGCAAATATACAACAATATACAGTCCTTTCTTCACAGTATATAAACTAATATAAACCATTCTACTTCCTGTACTCGCAAGAAAGATGCAAGTTAAAATATATAGGCTCCCAAGACAGGTACAGTGATCAGAAATTGCATGTGCTTGTACTCTCAAGACAGGGTACATAATTATTGAATTGTATTGGCTTACAAGAGAGGGTACAGTGATTCTTTTAAATACTGTGCTCCTTTTAATAATCAATTGCACCATCCATGTTTGGCTGACAATTTTTATATACTATTCACTAAGGACCGAAGCTGACATCAGGAATTATTACTTGGGGAATCTAGGTATCATTTAATTTGTTAAATTAAAAGAACTTTAATTAAGTCACCTACAATTAGTCTATACTGGCATATGCACTTGTTTATATTGCATGAGCTTTGAATTCAAAAAGAAAATCAATACATAAAAGAAAGATAAATGTACACAGAATTATATATATATTACAGGGAATAGATAACACAACATCAAAATATATTAACTTACTTTCGAAGACCAGCTAGGACAATGAATTGACCAGTGGGACTCCAGAACAAATGATTGGCTGTACGGCGTTCAAATGTTTCTGAAAAACAACATCAATGTGCCATAAACAAATAGAAAAATCTTAACTGATTTATGATGATAAAGTCATTAAAGCAACATACTCCTCATTAATTCTTGACTCTATCAATAAGTAACAACATAATACAGCAAAACATAATAACAGAACTTGTTTTATATGAATAAATTTTCAGCCAATCATAATAAGGTAATACAGTAAAGACTCATATCTGTATGTAGCAGTAATAACAGGAAGAAACTTACTTAGACTGTCAACTTTCCCCTGTGGTCTGACAATATAGAAGGACACATTAATCCTTGGACTCTCTCCATGAATGAAGGCAAACTTGTTACCTGTCGGCTCCCATGCAAATGCCAAAACATTTTCTGCTGTAAAAATATTTAAGTATACATTTTATTATCCCTATATATAATTTGTTTACATAATCTTTTCTATGATTTTAAATGAATTCATTAAGTCTACAGTAAAGGTGATGAATTCATTAAGTCTACAGTAAAGGTGTAACAGTATACCGTACTCGCGGTATACTGTACCGTTTTCACTCGGTACAGTTAATGGTACGACAAATCACCTGTACGGTACGGGACAGTACGCATTTTAAACCAATTTCAAGGGGAGTAATTATTTCAGTAAAAATTATAGAAGATGAATTTAAATCAGGGTCAGTGTCTTTTTAGTCAAAATATAGAAGCATTTTGAATTTAAGGTGTAAAAATAATTGGGGAAAATGTCTTCTTTGACTGCTATTTCAATGTACTGAATTTATTTTTCTGACATTGTTATTTTTGTAAGAACTGACCATCGGCTGAAACTGCCTTTTTGGAAACACCTTTGGCAAGTTGAAATTTGTGAATAAATGATAATACGATATCTTGACACATTTGCAAATAAACCCCACATTGTTGAATCCAAAATATTGACAAAACACTGCAATAGACAGCTAGTTGTGTAGAGTTATGGCTACGCTATTTTGTTGGATATTTTCCATACAGTTCCATATTCATATTGTCAACGGATATATGTTACTGTTAGTAAACACGTTATAACCGTTATGAATGTGTTATAAGTGAGTAAAGTAAAATAACTTTTTGTGTTCAGCTTATGCTCATTATTACACATAGTCCGCAAATTGTCTCATCCAGTACATCTAAATGTTGAACTTTTTAAATTTTTCTATTAAACTTGAGTAATTTATCCAAAATAGTTATCACCTTACATATGACAATACAAATGTGATGTTTCCATCACCTGTGCTTCTATATTGAATGATATTTTTATTGTAGGTATTTTCCATCACCTGTGCTTCTATATTGAATGATATTTTTATTGTAGGTATTTTACTTCTCAAAGCTTCATAAAATATGAATTTAAATCTTTTAACCTTTTACTTGAAGTTTAACTATCAAAATGTCAAAAGAAAACAAAGTTGTTACATTAAATTAATTTTGCATAATACATCTGTGTGAAAATATAAAGTTTAAATGGATTACAGACAATTTTCATTAGTCAAGCCATATCGTGATACGTATTGTATCATGGACCCTGTACCATGATACGTGTTGTATCGTGAGGTGAGCGTATGGTTACACCCTTAGTCTACAGAGATTGACATTTTACACTTAGAGATAAGTAATTTCTTTATTGATCAAAAAAGAAACTGATAAAGGAATATTTGCAATTTGCTATTAATCTAAATTTCCAAAATAAACTTTTCACATTTTAAATAAAACAAGAATTCAATCAGATTGTTATATTAACAATGGATAATTACTTTTGTGATCATCAAATTATTTACTAAGCAACAAATACAAGTAATTAACAATTAATAAATAACTTGGTTACAGACACAAAGGTAAAAGAAACAAACAGACAACTGTTGAACCGCATAGACAAGAAGGAATACCTCTCGTTTTCTCCATACTTTATTAAATGAACCGCATAGACAAGAAGGAATACCTCTCGTTTTCTCCATACTTTATCTTCATGGGTGCAAGTTAAAAATTTGGAAAAACCTGAACTTTTTGTGGGGGGCCAGGGGGCCGCAAGGGCCCCCGGTGGGTCCAGGGCAACGCCCGGCCAGGGGTCCAGGGGGCCGGAGGCCCCCGGAAGCTCCTGCATAATAGCACATTTGAAGGCCTAAAATGCAATTCCCTGAATATCAGAAGTAGATCTATATAAGTTTATTCTTATAGCTGACATGACACAAAGAAAAATTATAAAGTACAACTTTATTTCCTATCTTGAAAAAAAAAGGAAATTAAATAAATAAAAAACAACTTAGTAAAGGATGAAGAATATACAAAAAAAATAGGCTGAGTGACTACATGTAGGCCTATTATCTACCAATAAAAATATTAGCTTAACCATCAAAGTCATTTCAAACCTGAAGACATTAACTTTCTACAAAGAAAGCAATGCACACAAAATCAAACATAGTGACATTTGATAATGAATATGAATAAAACAACACATTCAATTTTAAGTCTACAATGGCAACTAAATAATCAAAACCATTAAGGGAGAGCATACATTGTTTATCTTATACACACATAATAGCACTAAATAGTAAACTATTTACAAACATCAATGTTTTTTTTACACTTTTTGACTTAAGTCACTTTGTGTTGTTTTTATTGTTACTTAATCTACATAGACTTTAGCCTTTTTCTGTTTACTTCCACCTTCCAGATTAGAATGGGAAAGCTTTCTTTTTGGAGCCTCTTTTTGTTTTTTAAGCAACATTTTGTTTTTAAGCCTCAAAAGCTTTGAAACTCTTTTAGCCTTTTCTTGCTTCAGCAACTGTACAGATGCTTTTAGATTTTCTTCATGTTTCCTCTGCTTTTCCTCTTTTATTTGTTTTACATATTCCTTGTATGTTTGATAGGCAGAAATGCAGGCCTTCTTCATATTTGCAGACACTTTCATGTTTGTACTTTTGACATTTTTCTTTCTTAAGGCAGTTTTTACAATTGCCACAGCTTCATAATTTATTACTGTCATTTTTGTTCGATCTTTCTCAACAATGTCATCCATTATGTTGAACGTTGATTCAATCAACGGGCCACTGAAAATAGTCAAAACAGAAGTAACAAGTTTTTTCAATGCCGGGTATTTGACTTGGTTAAAGCTCTGTAATGAAAACACCCTTTTCCAGAAACCTGTGTCAATAGGATCTTCCTCTTTGTAGTCTGAAGCAAACTGCTTTACTTGCTGATCTACATTATATCTTGCTACATCGACTGACAGCTGACCTAGTTCATCAGCTGTAAACACTTGGGGCAATTTCTTAGCAATTATCTTAAAAGAATTCTCTGTCTGACTATGGCCAACAAAATGTGGGTCAAGAACAGATAATATTCTGATTGTTTTGTTGGCAATAGGCATCTGTAAAATCTTTTTTGCTGCCATGACATAACCAGTTCTAAGGTTTTCATATAGCTTGCTCACCCAGTGATGACATGCTTTGTCAAGTCTTGCTTTGCTCAGTTCAGTGTAGGCATATTTACCTACACCCAAGTTTTTGTCAGCCTTCTGAATACTTAAGTCAGTGACATTTAGTTTAAGTAACTGTCCAACTTTATCAGGAATATATTCAGGCTTGATAAACATACCTAACAAATCTTCAATAATTTCTACCATTCTGCTATGAAGGGTATGAATCAATGGTTTCTCTGCCTGAAAAGATTTCACATAGCCTTGAAACATACCTAACAGGCCACGGAACACATTTAAAGTAACAACAGTTTGCAATCTATTGAGAAACAAACTGTCGATTATTCTGTCTTTCCTTTCAGAACTTGTTGTTGACTTCTGCTGTTTCTCTTGGGACATCTGCATTAAAGTTATAGCAGATTGTGCTTCATTAGATACCTTGTGTTCTTGAAAGATATGACTGACAAGAGATCTGGAATAATAAATAAGTGCTGTAAAGTTCTAGTCATTACCTACAAAATACATGAGAAACTAAATGATATGCAAATATCATTTTTTAACTTAATAAATTTGTAAAGCTTTACCAAGTGGTTTACAATTTCCATCAATAAAATCCAATCAGTTCATTTAAATCTGTTATATGTTCATCACTTGAATATTATTTTAACTATAGTAATATCTATTAAGTATATTTATTTTTGACACTCGCTAAAAAAATTGATTTGGTTATTAATTTCAAAAACATATATACTTTATACACAACAGAGAGGCACATATACAATATAAATAAGCACAAGATATAAAGCTATCTATAACAACTAAAAAGGGCTACAATTATGTGAATACAGGATCACAATGACAACTAATATAATAATTAATATATATCCAAACACCAAAGTTGAAAAACTGATCCATTAACATCTAGTTAGTGTACATATATTCATTTGATATAATAAATGAATATTGACTATCCTAAAGTCTATTTTAATTTATCTAATTTTTAGGGTAATTTCCCTGATTTCTCACATAAATGTCACTAAAATCGCATTGAAATTTGTAAAATGAGAAAACATATAAAAAATTATTACAAAATCAGCCTGTCATACTTAGTATGTAAAAAGTCTGTTAAATGATCAGTTATTCAAACAGAGCTAATATGGTACACAAAGCAAAGCTGTTTTTCTTACCAAACAGAACCGTTCAACTGTGTATGAATAAAAAGAAACATAACAATAAAATGACATTTCTACACTATTCCAAAAAAAAAAATCTACAAAAATTTATATCCCGTTTTACTTAATTTACTGTAATTATAGTGTTTTTAATCATTACACAATTATTTAATATTGGTACAAATATAATCATTAATGTATACCAGTTTATTTACCTGTATTTCACTTTCTCTTCATCAGACAAGAAACTGTAATAGTATACTGTCAAAGGATCCATCAGTTCCACAGTTCTGGCACAAACGTCTTGCATCTGTAGAAACCTACTCGAAATAGGCCGGATAAGATGTTTTGGACATTGAATGTTCATTAGAGTTTGAAGCTCATGGAATATCTGCTTAACCTTTGGTGATTCCTCAATATCATAGTATATATCGGAACACATTGGTTGAGTGCTGTCATTTACCGTACTTAGCAAAGTTTTAGCCACATTATTTACCATGTGAACACTGTCACCACTAACATCCAACAAATTGGGATTTTTTTCTCTGGCTAGAGTTTCAACACCTCCTCTAACTCCTCTCATGGTGCTGCAATTGTCCATCAACATGCTCACAACTTGTGACCAATTTATATCATATTCATCCAGTACACTCTCAATGGAACCAATGATGTCTTTAGCAGATGCCCTGTTTTGTATACGAGAACCCAAATGTCTTAAAACCACTTTCTCCTCTTCCTCATCATAATATTAAATTAGTATGTTCACAATTTTGTCATTGTTGTTGTTTGTGGCTTCATCAAGGTTTAATGACACCATTTTACCTCTTACCTTTTCTCGAACCTCATCCTTAAAAGTTCTAGCAACACCATGAGTGTTTATGTATGTCACACTGAATCGAGAGAGAGTGGTCTTGTCCAGAGCAGGTTTGTCTTCTGCAAGTCTTTGCGCAAATTTAACCAAGTCATCTGCAATACTAAATGGCAAACAATGCTCACTTATAAAAGCAGCAGTAATGGCTCATTGATTGGCAACTCTGTCTTGCATGGATTCAATCCCAGGTTTTGCTTTGGAGGAACCAGGAAGGACCTGTTACAAAATTAAATCATAAAATTAAACATCCTGTATTTTAAAATTAAGGTTGCTATCATACTTAAGTGAAATTTTATACATGTATATAGTTATGCTCTAAAACAATTTTCAAACATCCAAGAATATGTAATATATGTATTATTAGCAACCCCAGGTTATCACTGATAAGTCTACTAATTATAAATTAGCCTGGAAATACACAAGAATCTGGTACCAGTTGGATACTTTTTCTCACTAATAAATAACTAATTATCTGATCCAGATGGAATAAAAACAATTTGAAAGCTAATAAAATTGTTTTAATTTGCATATTTTTGTTGTTGTTTTAATCCCATGTTATCTGATTTATGATCTTGTTTATCAGCAGTGCGCTGTTTATTGGGGGCAGATTGGAATAAACAATAAACATGCCACTGTCATGTGATAGGCATCTGCTTTGATAGCTTTAAAAATACTATTTTCACTTAAATATTGCTCACATAATTATTTTCTTCTTTTCTCTCTCTTTTTCTTAATTGTATAAACAAAAACATTTCAACACAAAAAGAAATGTGCATTCATATATTGTTTCAACTATTTAATTTTGTAGTTCCTACAGTAAAGAGTGATAAAACAAACCAATATATAAATAAATTGAAAATTGAGTTGACTGTTACCGAGTTTACGTTTTAATTAAGGCTGAGCTGACCCCGATTCCATAAAAACAATAAATTGTTTTCAAAAAAGATAATTAAAACAAACCTGGTTATGTTTCACAGTAAGTTTGTTTTTCATATGGTTTGGATCGTCTGCGTGCGTTTTAATTCTTTTTTTCCCGCTGGATCCATACTTGATGGTTTTTCTACATACAGTGCAGAAAGCTACGCCGGGAACGTCTGGCTTTTTCAGCCATTTTCCGTAGTTATCCCCGTTTCGATCACATTCAGACAACCATTCCCATCTCCATTTATTTTTTGTGGTCTTCTCGATATCTTTTGTATTAAATCCTTCGTGTAGAAACTTCATTTTCACAATCACTTTCTGTTTACTAACAAATTGTACAATCACTTTCGGTTTACATATTACTCAATAGCCGAATCGATAAGGAAGCCGCCTTTTCATTGGATAGTTATAATTAGCGCGCCAATCTAAATCGTTGTAATAAATTCACGGATAAAATTGCATGCCGGGATTAATAATACATGTTTTCGTAAACATCTCGTGTATCTTCGGAAACTATCGGCAGTTTCCGCGAAAGTTTACTATTAACGCTTCGAGAACAACCGTGAGCGTCCGTATGTTATAAAGCGTTCTCGATTATGAACTTCTAATCGGTGGTACTTCTCAGTTTGAAAGAGTAGACCCCCACCATACCCCTCCAAATATCTCAACGGATTTACGTGATTTGCAAAAATGATCCCTCCGGCACGTGAAAAACCGGAACTTCCGGCACATGCCGGAAAACTTGCACCCATGTATCTTTAATATTTGAATTATTTAAAAATGTTATAATAACTACTATTGTGTAATACCTTTACATTCCACTTTGTCAACAGGGATCTGTTTCTCACGAATTCTGAACAACTCAAAATTGAAGTAAATACCCTGAAAATATTAAAGTTACAAAATTCATACCAATAATAATGATACACAAGCTTCATCAGTTAGATTGACCAATAAAAAGAGCCGTTTTTGGTCACACATTAATATTAACTGTAAACAATATACAATGACTTTAATATGCATCATCAACAAAAAGTTGAATAATTAAACAGATTCTCTGCAGAAGAATAGAGAAATCTTACTGACAACAGCATCACAGCTGTTTTTACTCAATGAAAGATGCAGACATGTCAATATCTATTGGCAAATTGAACAAAATCAAATAAATGCAAAGACATAAATTTTTCAGACTATGAAAAAGAAAATGGTGCAGGTTTACAGGAAAACATCTGCCAATCTAATCTGTAAAATGGTCTTTTTCTTCAATTACTTAACAAAAATATCAAGACACATATTTAGATGTATATCTTAAATGAAGTTTGACACCCTAATAAGCATACACACATATACACACACACAATTACAAAATTGTGACACTTCATTAAGGGCTCCAAATCAGTCAAATCTCTGTATGCTTAATTCTGTCAGCTATTAAACAATTAGTTAGCAATTCATTTCTGTTATATAAAAGACATACACTGTATTTCCACTGTCCTGTATCTTCTGCCTTCTTTGCCTTGGAGTACCTGTCTACTTTGACACAAAGGAAGTCTCCATTCTTCTGCCAATGCATACGGCAGTCCGCAACATTAAACAAATTACGTACACACATCTCTGTACGTGCAGGCATGGAGATTATAGTTACACGAGCTGGGATGTTATTTTGCTCAGGTACCCAGTAAGCTAAATAATTATCCGACGGACTCCATGAAAAATCTCTACAAAAAGACAAAACAAAATATTATTGCCTGTTATGAAAAAATATTTAACAAGAATTATAAGGATATAGTATTCAGATTTAAGAACAGGTTTTGTCTCATGTAGTCATGATTTTAGCTATCTGACTTTCAGAAACTCTAGCCAGTTAATTACATCATAATACTGTTACCCAAATATAATTAACAGTGCACATTTTTTAATGAAATTCAATACATATCTTAAATAAGTAAGACAAATGTTTATTTTCAGATGTGTTTCAATTCTTACATTTCTTATATTTCCAAAAAAGGTACCTCAATAAAGAACCTCATTTTTTTTTAATTGCAAGTCTGTCGACTAAGGTGTAATACTAAAATCATTTTATAAAGTATATGTATCATTTGAAATTCACATTCACTTAGGTGTTCAGACAAATGAACAGGTTTTGTCTCATACAGCTGAGATTTTTGGACTCAACTTTCAGAAACTCTAGCCATTTATTGACATCATTACACAGTTTTGTTAACCCTTTAGTCTGGTAGTTAACATCATATCATCAAGCTTTTCAATTTAAAATACTTAAGTACTGAACAAAAAATAAAATAAAACTGCAATAGCAGACAATATCTTACCGTATTCCATCAATTTTCAAGCTTTTATTGTCCAACAATCTAAATGTCTGCAAATATACAAATATTCTCAATATATTGACAGTGATTTTCCTACTTATATAACAGACTCCGAATAAAGGCCTCTTCCCAATCGAAATTTTCTTTAAAATCATGCAGTTTTTTCCAAAAATCTGAACTTAAACCAGCTTTTTCATTTCCCAAATCAGCAATTTTAGTGATAATTTTTCCCAAAATCAAGAGGCTTAGGCCTCATCCCAATTAAGAGAGAAAAATCACTGATTGAATACTGACAAACAAACTTAGCTTATAATATAATATATATTATACTAAACAATCAAAACATGCCTAAAGTAAGTTATTTACAGACAGACCTAGGAGAAAATACTTTTAGAGCAAAGTTCTCAGATAACACAAATAATTGCTCTTGCATAACAAGTAATAAATCTATTTCTCTCCACAAATGTGGATTTAATTAAATTCACTACCCCCCCCCCCCCAATAAATTTGTTTAGGTGAAAAATAGAAGAATTATTTTCATTACTCACAGCTGTTTCATATACACTAAGGGTATCTGGTGCTAATCTGGCAAAGAATTTTCCATCATTACTCCATCTGAAATAACAAACAATTCAGAATTATCTTAATGTTCATTTAACTCAACATCTGATAGATCTATTACATTTTCATAAATTCAACCTTTTAGAAATCAAACTTAAATAATAATCGTTGTCTTTTCAAATCAATTATTGAACTAAAATACCTCACTTCAATCAACTGCAAAGTCACTGCCCCCACCCTCCCGCAGAACAGTCATCAAATAATTTGTACAGTTTTTCAAAAATAATTAGTATATAAACTAAAATGTTAATCTACTTACTTAAATATAGGCCAAGTAGCCTGAGCATGAGTTTCACAATTGAAGCCTCGTTTTCGCTGTCCCGTCCTTATATCAAATATAACTATACTCTGAGGTTCATCTGACTTTACTTGTACAGGACTAAAAGTTATCAAAAACCTGAAAAGAAAAATACAAATAGAACATATTTAGGATTTTCACATTATATTCAATATTTTATTTCACAATTTTAAAGCATGTTTCAGGTTCTTCTCATTTTCTTCTTCAAACAAACATAAGATGACAAGTGTGTTACTGTCTTATAAAAGTAAATCGTAAAACACAATCAAATACAAACAGTTTCTCTTTTAAGCAGTCAATCGAGCATAACATGTCATCTTAGAAAAGAAATGGAACATTGACAGCACTGATTTAATGTAGCATACCTTTCACATGGTGAGAAATCTATAAGCTGTACACCAGGATGACTAAATCTCATAATCTGATCAAACTTGGGCCCTCCCCACAGAGCTATACCTTTCTGATGAAGAGTAGCCAAATATGTACCTTGTGGTGACCATCGTACATAAGTTTCTGTCCAACGCTAAAAACAAATCATGAGCACATTTCAATCTATTGTGCAATAAAAGTCTGAAATCCAAGAATTTCTTTTACAAATTTTTAAGATGTTAAACATTTTAAGATGTTAAACAAAGTATACCTGAAGACGACTTTTGAGTCGAAACGTTATAAAATAAATTAATAAATAATAAATAAAATGATTACATTTTTAAATTGAAACTGGAATTGATTTCTATATTCAAACTTTCATTAAGATCTTACTCGACATTTATCTTTGGAAAACCACCTTTTTATTTAAATTAGCAGATGTCTAATTTCTTTTCTATAAACTTTTTGAAAACCTTTTTAAATGCGTGTGGTTAAGATCACACATAACACAGGCTTCGCGAAAGTTGCCGGACCGTCGGACATGTCCGGCAAAAATCAGGCCGGTCCGATATTTTTTTTCGGACTTCCGGACCTTATGTCCGGTACGAATACCGGGATATATCCAAGACCGAGTTTTCTCCCTTGAATAAAAAAATGTAAAACGAGTTTTGATTCGCCGTTTCATTATAAGTGTCCGATACATACGACTGTCAATAACCAAAATGTCGGTGTTACTACATTATTACGCTGGCGCTACGCCCGGCAAAAATCGTAAACTATCCAATGAAGAAAAAAAAGCGAAACAAAAGGAATACGAGTCCAGGCGCCCGCCGAGAAAATTTGTGGGTAAATGGAAAAATGGCCGCTTTGATCATGAATGTTTTGATTTCCAAACAGAGTCCATCCACAGGTGCTTGAAACAAACTTTTTAAAGTTTTATATGGGCTATATACTATATATCTTTATATACATATATAGACTGGTTATGTAAAATATTTGAATATATGTGACTAGCGCCTGTGAGTCCATCAATCTGGATAAACTAATGTTTTATTTAAGGGAATAAAATTGTGTTGCAAATCTTTAAAAGTTGTTATGTCTTTAAAAAAAACACCAAGGTATTACCATATACATATATTTGGGGGAAAAAATTCGGTCAGACAAAAGTTCTTTCGGTCAGACAAGAATTGAAAGTTTGTCTGACCGAATGTCAGGCAAATTTTTCAGCAGTTTCGCGAAGCCTGCATAACATGTATGTTGCTTTAAATTGATAAAGTTTACAAAAGGATAGTATTTATCTTACCGCCCTCTCCTCCACTTTAGTTGGTTCTCTTACAGAACTAAGATGCACTGTATTCTGAAAGATGGCGGTCTTTTCTCCACCCTCGTATATAACACTGTAATTATCAAAACAATCTGGATCTTGTAGCCAATATCGAAGATTTCCCTGAAAAATAATGTTACAAGAATACAAGGTTTATTCACTATGAATTAAATTTATATGTCCCCAATGCTTTAATATTGAAAGAAAACCTCACCTTATAAAATTAAATGCTTGAAATAAAGGATTACTATAATGTACTTACCATTATATGAACAAACAAACACATATTAAATATGTTTGTTTTAAAGCAATGAATTAATAGTCGACTCACCAGATCTTTATATGGTTTGGCTTGTGGAGGCTCCCAGTCATCGGGTACATGTTCAAACCTAAAATGCATGTCATAAGCTTTTGTTTACTCTCAGATCATTATGTTTTCAATAGTTTCTGTGATAAACACAATGTTTTATTTTTAAACTCAGGGCTTTTTTTCTTCTATAGCAGGGGCCGTTATTGGGCTGCTTCCCAAAAGAAAAATTCTTTAAAATCATGCAGTTTTCCCAAAAAATTGAATTTACATCAAGTTTTTTCTTCCCCTTTTGTAAATATACTGTGTAATTTTTCCCCAAATTTAAGGGGAGGGCTTCTTCCCCAACCTGTGCAAAAAAAGCCTTGAAAAAACGATATATTTCCCTTAAAATTTGTTTAGAAAAATATCAAGCACCCAGAATTTATTAAGGTTATGTCCCAATTATCTAAAATGTATTTAAAAAGAGATGCTTTCATTTAAATATAAATGCTCCTATCCTAAATATGATAAAAGTTACAAATTATGATATTTTCGGAATTTAGAAAATTTGACACACATTTTAATTGATAACATGCTTACAACTTCGTTAATCATGAAATTATTCAGGGTGAAATGAAGGTAATTTCCTTTAATTTTTTTTTTAAATGTTATATTTGGTAAAATTAAATCTTCTTGTGCCTTCTTGTATTACCACACAATTATGATGCATTACAATGAAGATGATAAAGGAAAAAAAATTACTTGTCATAATCAGAGAAAAGGTTGACAGCAAAAGTATGAGCCTTGTCCAACTTGTAACCATTTGTACTCTTTACAGCATCCACTGCACTTTGTGGATTAGAGTATTCAATGAACAGATACCTAAAAGATGAAAATACATGTATGACAACTTCTGTTGATATATGAAAATTAGGAATTTCTTTTTATTATTCATTTTACTTCATAATAATAGAAATACATTTTCAATGTTTAATTGCTAAGGCAAGGTATATTTTCTAATCAATGTTTCAAAATACTAAGTGGAACTCATTTTGAAGCTTGATATTTATTATCATTATTGCATCAAGGCCACGCGATTGGCACATATTTTTTTGAAGATCCCGTATTTTAATTTAGTCAATGCACCCAGTCGCGCATCAATGCACGCAGTCGCGCATCAGACATTCTTTTCAACTTAATTCAGTTAATCTTCTATCTTGAATGCTTCTGCCATGTTTGTTTTCACTCGCAGAAATGACTAAAATTCGTACTTAATCACTAAAAGCAGCCAGCCAGGTCATTTCGAGTGTGTATTGACGGCTTGATCTATCACTTTATTAATATTTGTCAATGTTTTATTGTTATAATTTTTTTTATTATTTTCCGTTGTTGAGCAGACAATGTTCGGTAAATGAATGTCCCCCACATTTTTTCAAATTCCCTACATTTTTTAGTAGTGTGGGACAACTTACATTAATTAACATCAAATCGTATTAAAGTATGATCTTACCCTTTAGTTTTCTCATCTGGTCCCATAGGATAGAAGTCATTGACAATTTTACCAAACTTTTCATAAATTTTTTTAACAACATTCTGTAATTTTGGCAGACGTTCTTGTCCAACTACTGGAATATTATCAACAATTATCACATTGTCAATACTGTCTGTATCCTTTGGCTTATTCTTCAATAAATCTCCAAGAAGCTCTGTAAATTAAAATAGGTATAACAATAATTCTTGACAGTCAAAGTAAAGCATAATGATTAAAACTATATGGGAGTATAGCAGGGGATATACTTCCCTGCAATGAGATAACCAATTTTATTTTATATATTGACCAGTCAATTTTGTAAATCTCTCAAATAATTTATAAGGAAAAAAAAGTAATGATGCAGACACGAATATTTTCATTTCCTACTTGGTAATGTGTTAGCCACTGCTGACAACACAAGGTGGTTTTAGGAAAACAAATATCCAAATTTCATACATTTTCCCACAAAATTGTTTCGAAAATATTCCTACAGTACTTTAAAAATTAATGTTTATCTTTTTTGTGTGGATTTTAGGGTTTCTTAATCGGACAAAAATCATAATCGATCATCGAAAATAATCGAACAACCCTTTTCGATCAATCATCGATTATATAATCGAAACATTAACAATAACAAAGTAAATATGTACAATGTTCATATCATGCTTTAATATTTATAAGAATTCCATTTCCATGCATGTAACCACCACTTTATCAACTGAAATAAATAAGTTTAAAGATATACTATGCTCATCCTTGAATAAAATATTTTTATCAAATAAATTCATTAAAATCTATGAAATTATTATGTGTCACTTTTCAAAAAAGCAATGAATAAACTATGTATGGGAACAAGTTAAGTTGGTCCTTTCTTTACAAAACTGCCATTTTTTTAATGACACTAAATATTGATATTGCAACCACCTTTAGTGTGTAGAATAATTTTATAACATATCTTCTTTGTGTGACAGTGAGGTCAAAACATATTTACTTTATATTTACAAAAGACTGTGTAGTATTCTTTGTGTGACAGTGAGGTCAAAACATATTTACTTTATATAAATTTACAAAAGACTGTGTAGCAATTTTAAATGTTTTCTAATGTCAAATTTGAGCAAAGTATACCTTTAAACTGGCATGCCTCACTGTCAACTATTAACTCCATGGTCACCAGTATACTTTCATATTCAATTGAATGAAAATTATTGTTTCAACCAAAACTGGCTTTAATTTAGTGTTTTTATAATACAGTGAGTCACATAAGTAACAGCAAGAAAATAAATTACCGATAATCGATTATTAAACTTTGCAATCGATCATCGCTGATCGGTTCTATTAACAATCAATTTTCGATTATACTCGATCATCGTTTAATCCCTAGTGGATTTTATAACAATTATGGTCATATCTTGACAGTCAGTCCAGCTGATACCTCCTAATCAGCAAGGAATTTAAGATTTTGAATTTACTATCCCAAATTCCAGTTTTGAATTTATTTTACTATATATTTAACTTAATTTTCTTAAAATTTTCACTGGCCCGAACTAATTTTCACTGGCAATGGGCCACCGGGCCAGTGCTAAATTCGATGACAGAAACAGTTTTCCTGGATAAAAGTAACTGCCAACTTCAGAAGACAAAGACCGTAAGACTCAATGTCTGCAAACAATTGAAACAGAGAAGTTTTTCCTCTACCAAGGATCGAACAAACGACCCCTGGATTACATCAGAACTAAACAATAGGGACAATACATAATATAGCATATAAACCCCCTCCCCCCAAACACATCCTAGCTATGGTTTTATATTCACTGTGGGATAAAAAACACACCCAACCCAGTCTATTATATCAGACGCTATGTGCTTGTTACAGTTTATGATGGTCAAGCCAGATGTCTTATAGATATTGCTCATAAACACATTTAGCAATATAACAATTTTAAAAACGTTTAATAACTTGCCTTTCAAGCTTCAATCAAAAGTTTACCAAATATTCTTTCAATTTCATGCTCAATCATCAATAGTTTGTTTCATTTTTTTAATAAAGTCCTCTATTAAATGCTTGCAGTCAATTAACCTACCTGATTTTGCATACTTTTATCAGCTGTATAATTAATTTGATGGAATATGGTTGTGTTATATTGTTCTGTAAATTTCTTTAGTGGAACAGGCTACAAGTTACGAGCATTTTCAATATAACAATGCTTTTCCAAGAAGTAACAAGAGCGATCAGTAATCACATGTGTCGCCTCATGATGCCAATTTCATGTTGGGACAAGTTTTGTGACAGACGGACAGACAGTGCACAACTAGACTTGGTACTGATCATTCCTGTAAAGTTTGGATAAAATTGCACCAGTTGTTTCTGAGGAGTAGTCCGGACAAGCTTTTGTGTATCTGGCAACACACAGAAAAAAAACACCTTTTTATCAAAGGGCCATAACTCGGCCAAAAATCATTCAACCGGAAAACCCGTGCAATATGCGCAAGGACTTGAGCTACAGATCAATCCTTTAAAGTTTCATTGAAATTGCATTAGTGGTATAAGAGAAGTAGTCCGGACAAACTTTAAAAATAAAAATTATTAAAGGGCCATAACTCTTACAAAAATCATTGAACCGGAAAATGCTGACAATATGCACAACTAGACTTAGCACTGATCATTCCTGTAAAGTTTGGATGAAATTGCACCAGTAGTTTATGAGGAGTAGTGTGGACAAGTTTTGTGACGGACGGACGGACAGACAGACGACGGAGAAGTGATCCCTATATGTCGCCACTAGGCCGTAGAGGCGACACAAAAATCCCAAAGCAACATCATAGTAGGACTACTCCCCACCTACACTCAAAAATGATAAAGAAAACGAGTAATACCAATTATAATAACTACCACTCGTTAAACATTTGTTCAACCATTTAAATTTCAAGGGCCAAGCTTATTTAAGAAAAGAAGGATATAAAGCTTTGAAAATTTCAGAATATCAACTAAATTGATTTGCACTTGCAGCATGCCCAGCGAAGCCGGCAAATCATTCAGCCATATTGGGGCGGCAAAATGTACTTTAAAGATAGACCTTCGTCGGAAATATCATCAACAAAGTCTTCTGGATCACTGAAGTCTGGTTCATCCTCATCATCATAGTCTATGTGATTTTCTACCGAAGATTCTGATCTTTTTTGTCTACGGGATTCTCTTTCCCCCTTTTCAGCCGCCATCTTGAAAACCTCGTGGACGTTTTATGGTACGGTGAGTAAGTCATTTTCGTCGTGGATAATTTATCCCGCTAAAGAGGCCCGACAATGAATCTCACAATAACCTGTGACTGACAAATATTTTTTCCTATTATGTTATGTTTTTATAATATGATCAGACACATTTTTTCTTAATCTGAACTAAAGCAAAATATTATGTTATAGAACTGACACCGGGTCAAACATAATAGTTTTAGAATTTATATTACCACCCGCTGAGCCGATACCCTGTGCCTTCTCAACGACGTGCACGTACCGAGAGAAAGTAAAGGCATTTCTAGTACAATTGAGCAGCGAAATAATACTATTTATTTTACAAAACAATCCAGTGTATCAATATTTTATGAACTATGAATAAAACATTGACAGTAAAGAATGAAAACCATGAATAGATTTTGAAGATATATATTTTTTTACCTGAAATTAGAACAAATCCAGCACGCAGCATGCCTCCAGATTCATGCCAATTTTCATGAAAAATTTGAAAATGTATTTGAATGTGTAATATTGTGAAGTAACCAATAGGAAGCAATTTACACATTATTAATGGCCCTTACAAACCACTTAAATTACCAAAAAGTGGTCAAAATATGCATAAATAGCCTTACTGCGTTAGTATAAACGCAGTAGAAATATAGTTGTAAATACTGAAAAATCAGTCATTAATCGCACATAATATATAAAATATTACTTGAATCTTGAAACTTTTTACTTTTCCTTACATTTTAGTACATTTTTCTCAAGTTTGTTTTTATTGAAATAGTTTGACTCATCTGGAGGCATGTACAGAAAGATGAAAAAAGTATTCGTGATTTGGCGGCCATATTGGATTTTTTGTCTTTTACATACATGACTTCAAACTTGATTTTAACATTAACTGAAAGAGTAAACTAACTTTCTTTAAATCTGCTGATTGCAGGCTGCGGATTATATATATTTTTTGTTATGCCTAATTTGAAAGGCTTCATGCAATGCTTAACCACTGGCCCAAATCAACTTAGTTTGATTCATGTGGAATGTTTTGTATGTGTTAGCTTGTTAAGTTTAAGATAGGGGTATTATTACTAAGTGGGAAATTGTTGAAGCTTAATTATAACAAAATACAGGTGTAAGGGTATGTCACACTGACACAGGGTAGATAATGACTACAACTTCTGGCCTACATTGTAGGTTTCTCAAATTTATTGGAAATATAGAAAAAGCATAATTTTACATAAATACATAATTAGAATACAAGTTGAATTAAAAAAAAATACATAAAATACAACAATACAACAACTGAGCAATGTAAATAAGAATTATTCCGAGTAAATGAATGAAATGAAAAGAATCTTACCAAACTTACTCTCAATCAAGAATGAAATAACTTAATAATAATATATTTCCTCCAAAAAAATCTATTGAATAAACAAATAGAATTAATATATTAAGTAGAATTTAGAATATCTATACTCGTAAGAGAACAAGAGCCATGTTAACATGGCCATCCCACAGACACTTGGGGTTTGGAGCTCAAAACGCCTTTAAAATCCAAATAAAATGCATATTTGTCAATGCCAGCACATGTACTGATCATATATATCAAAAAAACTTAATATAAGCCGTTTTGAAAAAAAAATATCATATTTCAACGTCTATAATGTATCCCCCGGCGGGGGATAATAAGACGAGGTGATCCAGAGAAAAATATTCGGAGAAATTTGGAAGAAAAGAAATGTTAATAACTAATGTAAAACCTCTTAAATCCCTTTCATTCAACGTACAACGATTGGACATACAAAAAACAGTTCACAAAATTGCACGTTATACGAACATAGTTGAATTGTCTCGGACGTATCCGTGAGTTTTTGCTAATAAGCGTACGTTACAGAACCATCCGCTACAATACAATTATAGCAGACGATAACAGGCGCCACGGAAACAAACGACAATCAACGCATGCGCGGACACTAAGTATAATTTTTCCCGCGTCTAATTAAACAAACAGTGCACGGCAAAATGAACACTGGCCACATAACGTAACAAATAAATAGATCCGTAACAAGTATATATCATTTTGGTAGGCGGCAAATATTTTATTATAGAAATAATATTCTAATAAATTCTAATAAAAAAAAAACTGCTAGGAAATATTTCGTAACTATGCTTTACATACATATTACATTCGTTTTAAATAAAATTATCAGTTTTACCACGGATTTATATTGTAATATAAATCCGTGGTTTTACATACATCTACATCGTACGTCTGCGCAATCATGGCAATCACACTTGATTATAACTCGACGGGATTACATACAATTACGTAATAATATATACATTAAGTTATATACTTAATGCATTGTATGCAGTTGTATCAATATATACATTACCGTCTACCACGGATCCACATCCGTGTGCATACCTAAAAGGGCGATAAAAATGGTTTTCTAGTAACAAGATCGTAATATTTCAATTATCCCTGGAGGGCCTCAAAAGCTTAAGTCATTGATAAAAATCAATTTTATTCTAAATGATTCATATTATATACATCATCTATTTTTTCTCTGCTTGGGTACTGTAGTATTAACGTGTATGATTTAATGATAAAAGAAATAAAACAACAATAAGAAAAGTCACGATTTTAAAACTTCGGATATTTCCGTTTTATTCCGTAAATTTATTTATTTTTGTATTGATGCAAGCGACGAAGGAAGTGAAAATGTAAACATGGCAAATTGGCAGCAAATTCTTGCACTTGATGCAAAATACAATGCTTATCGTGCCCCAAGTAACCCACAGTTTAGTAAGAATTTTTGGTACACTGTACTGTAGTTTTTTTTTAATTGTTTAATTAAATATTTTGATAATATTTTGAAATGTTTAATTTTAATTTGTCTTGTTATTTTTTATTTTTTTCTGCAACCAATATTGAACTGTTGAACAGTATTGAACTGTTGAATGTCGTGATTTTCTAGAAAATTGGGACTGTCATATGATGAAGAGAAATTACACTGATTACTAGGTTACACAAATATATTATATTAATGAAAAACCAAAACTAACCAAAATTATATTTCAATAAATTAGGATGGTCCCCTATGGTAGTCAACCACTGTTCTTATTATTTCCAGCAAATTGTACAAATAAAAAGAACTTATATTTACTATTTTATTGAATTGTGTTCAGCTGTCGCATCTTGACTTTAAAATACACATGTCCTTCATAGAATAACTCAATGATTTTAATTAGAAACATCTATGGACGGTCAGCCATGTTTAGAATGGGAGCTTATACGGAGAGCACTATGGTACTGTGGTATGTTAATTGATGGCCCTTTTTGGCTTCAGTATAATTTTTTGTAACAGAATATGCTGTCACCACAGTTTCAGCAGACGACCTTCACTTGTCGGAACATAAAATTATAAGTTTAACAGTTAAATATGGGGTAAAATAAAGAAGTTTTTTCAGCACACACAGGCAGCTTTGGATTTTCCTATCAATTACAGAATTTATTTGAAATGAAAAGATAATTCACAAAAAGCAGCACTTCCACTTCCACTTTAATGGTGGAAACAGTATTTGGTGGCATTCAATGTGTAAAGAAACAAATTTTCTGATTACATCAGAATGGGCAAGGACGTGGTACCCGCGGGGTGTACTTTACCAATTTTTAAAAAGAGGATTCTAATAAGTCTTTTTATCCATTAACTAAAACTAAAAAGTGAAATGCCAATAAGTTGAATGATTAAACAGATATAAATGTCAGATATGCATGTAACAGTGTACTATAAATTTTATGTTTGATTTTTTAACATTTTTTCCATGTCACAATTGCTTTGTTTGAAGAATTTGTTGACAGCTATACTGGTTTCCTAGCAGTTCCGTCCCCTAGCAGTTTTCCGGCAGTTTATCATTTTCGTCCAGTACAGTCTATTTTTACCAGTAAGGCATCCACATTACTTCATCAATCAGAGAAACATTTGTTTTCTATACTAAACAGCATTTAAAATAGTGCATTTTGAAATGTTTAATTTTAATTTGTCTTGTTATTTTTTATTTTTTTCTAAACTGTTGAACAGTATTGAACTGTTGAATGTCGTGATTTTCTAGAAAATTGGGACTGTCATATGATGAAGAGAAATTACATACTGATTACTAGGTTACACAAATATATTATATTAATGATAAAACCAAAAAATAACCAAAATTATATTTCAATAAATTAGGATGGTCCCCTATGCCTATGGTACCACTGTTCTTATTATTTCCCGCAAATTGTAGTTTTTTTTGTACAAATAGAAAAGAACTTATATTTACTATTTTATTGAATTGTGTTCAGCTGTTCGCATCTTGACTTTAAAATACACATGTCATTCATAGAATAACTCAATGATTTTAATTAGAAACATCTATGGACGGTCAGCCATGTTTAGAATGGGAGCTTATACAGAGAGCACTATGGTACTGTGGTATGTTAATGATGGCCCTTTTTGGCTTCAGTATAATTTTTGTAACAGAATATGCTGTCACACAGTTTCAGCAGACGACCTTCACTTGTCGGAACATAAAATTTATAAGTTGCTGACGACCTTCACTTGTCGGAACATAAAATTATAAGTTTAACAGTTAAATATGGGGTAAAATAAAGAAGTTTTTTCAGCACACACAGGCAGCTTTGGATTTTCCTATCAAGGACAGAATTTATTTGAAATGAAAAGATAATTCACAAAAAGCAGCACTTCCACTTTCACTTTAATGGTGGAAACAGTATTTGGTGGCATTCAATGTGTAAAGAAACAAATTTTCTGATTACATCAGAATGGGCAAGGACGTACGTGGTACCCGCGCGGGGTGTACTATACCAATTTTTAAAAAGAGGATTCTGATAAGTCTTTTTATACATTAACTAAAACTAAAAAGTGAAATGCCTATAAGTTGAATGATTAAACAGATATAAATGATATGCATGTAACAGTGTACTATAAATTTTATGTTTGATTTTTTAACATTTTTTCCATGTCACAATTGCTTTGTTTGAAGAATTTGTTGACAGCTATACTGGTTTCCTAGCAGTTCCGTCCCCTAGCAGTTTTCCAGGCGTTTATCATTTTCGTCCAGTACAGTCTATTTTTACCAGTAAGGCATCCACATTACTTCATCAATCAGAGAAATATTTGTTTTCTATACTAAACAGCATTTAAAATAGTACAACAATTTATATGTTTTGAAGTTTTGCCTGTTATTAAAAGTTACATGAGAGAATTTGCGACATTCAAAAATCAGCAACACCTGGGGAATACTAGTTTGAATATCCATGCGCAATAACTAAGACCCCATTTTAGGTAAATTAATACTTCGGAAAATATTTTTGCAGACAACACAGAAAATGTTGGGATTAGTTCTGTTTGTCTGATAAAATCATCTTAATATTGCTTTATGGTACTGCATTATATTCAAAATAAAAAAGGTCCGGAAAACTGCTATGAATTTTTTAATAAAGGTGAAAAAAAGGTGTTACATTTCAGACCTATATTCAAATTAAAGTGCAACATTAAACACATGGCAATGCTGGACAGGTACCTAACTTTGTCCTGTAAAATTTTTGTACCCCTCTGTAGACTGATTTTTATTTTGTTAAAAGTGCGATTTGTGGCTGGAAACTGCTAGGAAACCAGTATGTATTGGCTGTGATGTCACTCTGTTTAGAATTTTACCTACATATAGAATATTCCATTTTCTTTGATGAAACATGTTTATAACAGTCTGCTTTAGAGCTTTCAGTGTTTATGGTAGAACAAATCAGCTATCATTTATTCAAAAATGGCTGAGCTTCAACAGTACTAGATAAAGAGTTGGGATACCACTTTTATTTAAATCACACAAAGGTTCAAACATATAAAGTTATGATCATTTTTTGAGAAATCAGCTGCAGTAACCATTACTTTTAAATCTGTGGCTAATTTCATATTGAATTAATAGAGTAATACTTATATTGTATGACTCTTGATCAAGTTTGAATTAATCCTGACTGTTTCTTGTTTGCAAGGAACTTTATACATCAAAAGAAGGAGCCAATTGCTGAGAGAGAATGCTGCTGGAGATGTAAGATTTATTGCCTTTTTTTATAGTTTCTTAATCTATTTTTATAAGTATAAAATGTTTATACCTGAAGGTTAGTGGTTATACATGTAAATATATATAGTAGAATGATACTTTAAACTTCAAAGATGCTTTACATATTAGCACAGTCATTTGTAAGTACATCCACTATTATGTGTTTATTGTTAGAATGGAATTAATAACCTGAGTGAGGAAAGGTCCAAAGATTGGCTGTAAGGGAGCCATGATATACATATACACATATATAGGGAACATTTCTAGTAACATGGTTGCCATTCTCACTAAATCTTCATATTAATCAAAAATATATTCTTTTGAATTTGAGGGTGGGTTCATGATAATTGTGAATTCATTTGTGCATTTAAAAACAATATAATATTCTAAAATGAGTCATATAATACAAAATATGAATTTATTTCAGCTTTTTTTGGCTGAAATAAAATTTAAACCTCTTGAATTGTATGAAAGGAAGTCTTGTCACTTTATTAATTGGATCTGCATGGATATTATTTCTTGTTTTTTAATTAATTTTTTGTCAATTTCTCCATGTCTTCATACATTTATTTACGTACATAAGCAATTAAACTTTAATGAAAGAATATTTACACATTGTTTGATAATTTTTTATTTACGTACATAAGCTTTGAAACTTTAATGAAAGAATATTTGTAAACACTTTGTTTGATAATTTTTTATTTAAGTTTTATAAAGACATTAGCTTATATAAATCTCCTTTTAATAGTAAGTTTGCAATAGATCATTTCTGTCATATTCTTTATCACAACTTTTCCTTCATATAACTTTGATCCAGTTAATAAAATCTTTTTTTCACAGTGGATAAATGAAATCACTGTACCCTGTCTTATGTGTATCCTGTTTTGCGATTACAAGCACTAGTTTCTTTTGATCATTGTATCTTTAAAATACTTGGGAGCCTATAAATTTTGACTTGAACCTTTCTTGCGATAACATGATGGATTAATCATTTATTGCAAGTTTTAGCATTTTTTTTTAAAAACACACAACGAGACATTAACTGGCGATCCCTATTCATTACCATAGTAAAAGAAAAGAATAGGGTCTTATTTTTGTGCTTATTTTGTTTCAGAAAGATCAGTCAGTAAGACGAGACTACTTACATACAAGAGCCAGACTTTTGTCAACTAAATATGGCAGTCCTGCCATCTCTGACCAAGGGTACATTCATACTATAATTATTTACCTTATTCCAAAATTTCTATTTATGCTATTACATGTACATTTGATACTGATAAATTCTTGATGAAAGCAGGTTTCTGTTTTGTAATAATGAACACCTGTACATATTTTACTTTATTTATACATGTATCACCAGTATCTCTTGCACAAACAAGACCCACCAGAAAGAAACATTGTATATCTTATGAGCATGATCTGGAATGATGATGCTTATATAATACCATTATGTAATGGCTCTCTTGGATTTTACTAGAATGAATCTCACTTTACCAAACAAAATCTACCCAAGTTAAATACAAGTTTTAGGTCAAGATCCTCCTATGATAAATCTATTGTCTTGGATATTTTTTGATAACATACATATCTTCCTGTTTACTTTGCAGAAGCATCAAGAGCAGATCCTTTAGCTTTGGAGGTAGAAGTATTAGTAAATCTACTATTGAGGTAAGACTTGTGCAGCAGAAAATCTTAAACTAATATAACAATGTTGGTGCCAAAAAGTTCTGAATCAGTGGATGACTATTAAGTTACAGACTCTCATTAACCTTTATATCAAAATTTGATTATGTAACATTGTGTAATTAAATGTGTAGAAATAAATAATGATTTAAATTTATAAAGGAGTAAAGCAATATTCTTAAACATTTCACCCTGGTTAACAATTTTTGACAGAATCCTTTATTCCAACATATATAAAATACTGGGGTAGAGGACATATAATTATACCATTAGGTATGGTATCAAGTTTTTGGCAGAAATGTAATGACATGTATATGTTTTGGGTAAGAAATTGAGAAAATTAGATTATTGTTAATAAATTTCTACATCTAACATAAGAATTAAACAATTAGGGATAATTTTGAACAATAAGCAGTATGTACTATCTGTATTTTTTGTACTTAATTGTCTCAAAAATTCAAATGATATTTTACAGAGTCTTGATCCAAAGCTGGCTGAAAGTAGGAAATATCATCATCGACGACAGAGAAGCAGTGGGAGTGTCAAGTTCAATCTTGATGGACCAATGAAAAGAGTCTTTGATAGTATAGAGGTGGTGCCAACAAGGGAAGCTGAGGCTAGCAGGTAAAATTATAAAATTTGCAAGTTGTAAAGATAGGCCTGTCCAAAAAACATAGATAATTTCCAAAGAGTAAAATTGTTGTTAATTAACTAATAATCATTATTACTCCAAAAGAAATGAAAGTAAACTTATACTTTTTATCATGTATGTTTTTCTGTCGGCTTTAATCATGCATGATTGTTGATTGTTTTAAGGAAGCTAATTCTTAATGAAAACAATACTCTTTTAAATCCATTTCCCCCCCCCTTGGAACCCCAACCAGTACTGAGCAATTAGTTAACAATGGCTTGTCCCTGGGGGTTTGAACTCACACAGCCAGCAATCTTTAGACTAGTCAGACTTATTAACAACTAAGGGGACAGCATAGCTGCCGCTTAATGTCATAGAAACTGCTTCTGTTGTTCAATACTCATGGGAACTTGTTGTTTAGATATTTTCTGGTTTATTCTCTGTTTAGCCAAAAATTAAGTTGTTTTCCAAGATCACTTGTTAGTGTTTTATCCATTTTCATGTGAATTTCTGCTAAAGTTGAAAGATAGAATGGACAGAATTTCATGAATCCATCTTGCACTTGTTATTGTTTCTATATTTCTGTATTAGACAAACATTTATGTTTGACTTTATAGAGCAATGGCAGGTGGGAAGTCAGTGTCGGAGAATTATGCATTTGCTGGCATGCACCATATATTTGACCAACACACAGATGCAGGTAATCTCACTTTTGTTTTCTTGATCTCCAATTTATTTACATGTTTTTTTTTAAATAAAAAATATGCTATTTTTTAAATGTATGATAGATTATGAGATTATGATTTACCAGTACATAACTGTTTCTATTTTTAGTAACAAGTGTAAAGTTTGCGAATGATGACAAGAGTAGAGTGGCATGCTCCTCTGTGGATGGTACCCTGTCAGTATGTCAAGTTATTCCACCACCTGCTACTGTAATATGTATGCTTAAAGGACACACTGATGCTGTCTCTGGTATGTGGTATTTTAGTAATACATCTTTTTATAAACAGCTTATTTTTGTATAGATAGATAAATGTTATTTGTTACAAACGTAAAGATCATATCCTATTATGCATTAACTGATTTTTGTATTGCTGGTTTTGATAGTGATTTATGTACAATAACATGTGGCTATTTTTAAGTAATCTTTTTGATTAGATGTCAGATGATAGTATTGCTTTACTAGAGATATTTTTACTTAATTCTGATTATATTGCTTTACTACAGATTTTCAGTGGTCATTATCAAATGACATCATCTTATCTGTATCGTTTGACAGCACTGCGAGACTATGGAATGTGGCGTCAGGAGAGTGTATACGTACAATCAAAGATATCACAGGGGCGGAGCTACACTCTTGTCTCTTTCATCCATTAAATAATAATATGTTTGTTGTATCCTTTCTACAATTTAAATGTATTGATAAGATTGTTAGATCATTATCAGAAGTGTCATGAATTAATGGATTTGACTATGCTGTCATTTAATGGCTAATTTTGCATGCATCACTCAGTATTAACCAATAGAAGTATCACTTATCAATTTTAGTCATACTTTAAAATTGATCATTCAAAAGACGTTTACTGAAATTTTCTTCATAGATATCTACATGTATATAGTATATACATATACAAATATTAAACTGTTGGGATCACGGGAGCAAGCATTTAAAATTTATATTTTAAGTACATGTTTATAATATTGAACTTTATTTGCTCTATCAACTTCTTTAACACCTATTTAGACAGGGAACAGTAAATATTTTGTGCAGATCATCAATGTATCCACAGGGAAAGGTTATAAGGTAATTTATTTTTATTTATTTTAATGAAATGCCTTATAGTCACCAAGATGTTTTGAACAATAAATTTGTTTTTAAAGAGAACACCCAAAACATTGCATACATGCTGAAATGATGATGCCTCCAGATTCATGCTAATTTACACATTGCAAACAGCATTTACAATCAACGTAAATAACCAAAATGAGGTCAAAATATGCAAAATAGCCTTTACTGCATTGGCCATTAATTGCACATAGCATGTAAATATTACTTGAATCTTTTTACTTAAAATCTTGGTACATTTTTCTCAAGTTTTATTTTCTTGAAATATTTTGGCTTATCTGGAAGCATGCAGCTTTTAAGATTCTTTTCTTTCATATTTAATTGTATTTGTATTTTCCAGGGAGGAAGTTGTAAGATTACAGGTATAGGCATGTCATTGGCCTTTGACCCTACAGGAAGAACATTATGGGTGGGGGATGATAAAGGTTCATTATCATCATTCAATGTAGATCTGACTAATGGGAAACTAATCAGAACAAGAAGGTATTTTATATCTTAAGAGTCACTTCAACAAATGCTCTAAATGTAAATGTAAAAAAACTTATGTGAAAGGATGACTGTTCTACCAAGGAAAGTTGCTATATGTTTTAAACCAGAGTTGATTTTACAGAAAACATTGTACATTATATTTATAGCTATAGTTATTATTGATGTAAAGTATATTGTTTGTTTATTTGGTAAGTGAAATGTTAATATGACAGTTCAAGAATATTAAATTTTAAATGTATTTTTACAGGGTATAAGATTGAAGGCATTCAAACGAGTATATCTCCCTTGGGTAAAAAAAGGAAAAACCTCACTTCTTAATTGCAGTTTAACTCACTGTGCTTATTTAGGTAAGTCTTATTTTGATTCAGTCTAGCGGCTTAAGTGGAGATAATTTGAGCTAAAGTCATTTGTAAGTTGTTCACTGTTGACATATTCTTTGTGTATTTTTAGCTCACCTGTCACAAAGTGACAGGGTGAGCTTTTGTGATCGCTTTCCGTCCGGCGTCCGGCCGTAAACTTTTACTTTAAATGACATCTCCTCATAAACCACTAAGCCAATTTCATCCAAACTTTACAGGAATGTTCCTTTGGTGGTCACCTTTAAAAATTGTTCAAAGAATTTAATTCCATGCAGAACTCTGGTTGCCATGGCAACCGAAAGTTAAAACTTTAAATATCTTCTTTTAAAAAACCCAAAGAGCTAGAGCTTAAATATTTGGCATGAAACATCTTCTAGTGAGTGTCTACCAAGTTTGTTCAAATAAAAGCCCTGGGGTCAAAATTGGCCCGCCCCAGGGGGTCATTGATTTTCCCTATATGCATATAGTAAAAACTTAAAAATCTTCTTTTAAAGAACCCATAGAGCTAAAGGTAAGATATTTAGCATGAAACATCTTCTAATAAGTGTCTTCCAAGTTTGTTCAAATAAAAGCCCTGGGGTCAAAATTGGCCCCGCCTGGGGGTCATTGATTTTCCCTATATGCATATAGTAAAAACTTAAAAAATCTTCTTTTAAAGAACCCATAGAGCTAGAGCTAAGATATTTAGCATGAAACATCTTCTAATAAGTGTCTACCAAGTTTGTTCAAATAAAAGCCCTGGGGTCAACATTGGCCCGCCCTGGGGTCATTGATTTTCCCTATAGGCATATAGTAAAAACTTAAAAAATCTTCTTTTAAAGAACCCATATAGATAGAGCTAAGATATTTAGCATGAAACATCTTCTAATAAGTGTCTTCCAAGTTTGTTCAAATAAAAGCCCTGGGGTCAAAATTGGCCCCCCCGGAGGTCATTGATTTTCCCTATATGCATATAGTAAAAACTTAAAAAATCTTCTTTTAAAGAACCCATAGAGGTAGAGCTAAGATATTTAGCATGAAACATCTTCTAATAAGTGTCTACCAAGTTTGTTCAAATAAAAGCCCTGGGGTCAAAATTGGCTCTGCCCCAGGGTCATTGATTTTCCCCAAAGGCATATAGTAAAAACTTAAAAAATCTTCTTTTAAAGAACCCATAGAGATAGAGCTAAGATATTTAGCATGAAACATCTTCTAATAAGTGTTGACAAAGTTTGTTCAAATAAAAGCCCTGGGATCAAAATTGGCTCCGCCCCAGGGGGTCATTGATTTTCCCTATATGCATATAGTAAAAACTTAAAAAATCTTCTTTTAAAGAACCCAAAGAGCTAGAGCTAAGATATTTAGCATGAAACATGTTCTAATGGGTGTTTACAAAGTTTGTTAAAACAAAAGCCCTGGGGTCAAAATTGGCCCGCCCTGGGGGTCATTGATTTTCCTTATATGTGTATAGCAAAAACTTAAAAAATCTTCTTTGAAAAAACCCAAATAGCTAGAGTTTAGATATTAAGCATGAAACATCTTCTAATGAGTGTCTACAAAGTTTGTTCAAATAAAAGCCCTGGGGTCAAAATTGGCCCCGCCCCGGGGGTCATTGATTTTCCTTATATGTGTATGGCAAAAACTTAAAAATCTTCTTTGAAAAAACCCAAATAGCTAGAGTTTAGATATTAAGCATGAAACATCTTCTAGTGAGTGTCTACAAAGTTTGTTCAAATAAAAGCCCTGGGGTCAAAATTGGCCCCGCCCCGGGGGTCATTGATTTTCCTTATATGTGTATGGCAAAAACTTAAAAATCTTCTTTGAAAAAACCCAAAAAGCTAGAGTTAAGATATTAAGCATGAAACATCTTCTTGTAAGTGTCTACAAAGTTTGTTCAAATAAAAGCCCTGATGTTAAAACTGGCCCCGCCCCAGAGGTGTCATTGTTTTTAACTATATGTGTATAGTAAAAACGTAAAAAATCTTCTTTTAAAAAAAATCCAATGAGCTTGAGATTAGATTTTAAGCAGAAAACATCTTTTTGTTGGTGTTTACCGAGTTTGTTCAAATAAAAGCCCTTGAGTTAAAATTGGCCCTGTCAAAGGGGGTGGGGTGGGGGGAGGTCATTGTTTTTCATTGTATGTGTGAAGTAAAAACTTAAAATCATGAAACATCTTCTAATGGGTGTCTTCCAAGTTTGTTCAAATAAAAGCCCTGGGGTTTAAACTGGCCCCGCTCCGGGGGCCTATATACAGGTGAGCGACCTCAGGGCCATCATGGCCCTCTTGTTTGTCATTAATCTCTGACAATATCTTTATGGAACTATATCACTGAATTGTTATCAGCCAAGATACCAAGTTACATTGCCATTTCTTTCATGTGATATACATGTTTACATGTAGTTACATTGTATTAAAATAAAAATTTGATAATCAAAAATGTCATCAGATATCGGAATTCATATCAAACTGTCAGGTCATTCATTATTGCAGCTTTATAAACTCAAAATGCTCATCAAATTGTTAACTGTGAATAGAAATACTTTAACCTTCTTGAATGTTTGGTTTTTTTTATACAGACAAATTTTATGTACAAGTTGTTAAGTACTAATTGAAACTAGTTTAATTGTTTTGAAAGTCTGTTTTGTTGTTTTTCTTCTGGTAAAAGTTTTTTTATACAAATAAAAATGTGTTGCTCTATTTGTTTCTTTCAGAATCTCACCAAATGGTAGTCTCCAACTAAAACAAAGGTTTTCAATTCGACAGAAACATGCGCGTGTTCGTAGCACATTCTGTCCTCTAATGTCATTCAGACAGGGAGCATGTGTCAGTAAGTATGATTGAATTCAAATAAAGATATTGGTTCTCAGTATGGAAAATGTAAATTTTAATTTTGGTATGCATCAATTTTGACTTAAGTTCTGTAATGGTTATTATAAAGTTTAAATGGATAACTGCTATATGTAATTAATGTCATACAGGCAGCTATATGAGATTTTGGTAGTCTAGCAAGGGTTGTTTGTAGTATTGCAGTATGTTCTACCTAAATCATTGTCATAAATGGCTACTTTATAAGCAAACTTTAGATCATTGTTGGATATAAAATGTGTGTTAGTTATTTGAAGTAATCTTAAATCACATTTTTAACCATTGAGCAAATTTATAAGCCAAATTCAGTTTTTAGTTTGACAAAAATATATTATGTTAATGTAAGTTGCTTTGTTTTAACATAACATGAATTATCTATTTGAAATCTATTTTTCCTTTTCAGATATGTATTCAAGTATGTATTATATTCTTTATTTCAGTATCAGGTAGTGAAGATATGTGTGTTTACTTTTTTGACATTGGGAAGGAGAAGAAAGCATGTGTAAACAAACTGCTAGGTCACTCTGCCCCTGTACTTGATGTCTGCTTTAATTGTGATGAAAGTTTGCTCGCTTCCTGTGATGCACAGGGAATGGTTATCATCTGGAAAAGAGAGGGGAAACAAGGGGTCTTATGATAGATAAAAGTGAAAACAAGAAGTGATAAATAATAGTGAAAACAAATGTTCTTATGACGAATTTATGTAGAAGCAAGAATTAAAGTGAGAATAAAGTAAAAACAGGAGATCGTTTTATGAACTAAGTAAAAACAAGAGGTATATTATACCAAAGGAAAATGGGTGTTTTATAAAGAATTAGAGGAGAAACATCTATGGTTTGTTAAAATGAAAACAAGGGTTCATCTCATAGTTTAAGTGGAAACCAGAGGTCAATAAAAGAAGAGTGAGTAATGGATGTCATTATGTAGAATGACAAGAAGACATAGGAAAGCATTCCATATGTAGATGAATAATAGTAGATGTAATATATTTTGTTATTGGAACATAATGTGTGTACATGTGATAAGCTTAATGTGATAAAAAAAGCTGTGAAGCTAGTTGGATTTTTTATGTACATTGCAAATTATGTAGGTGTACAGAAAAGAAGAAAATAGACATATTATCTGGAATACATGTGGATTATGATAACAACTGTGTGATATTATTTTTGAAAAACAAAATGTGGCAAAAGATTTTATTGTTTACATACATGAAAAATATCCTATACAGAAATCATTAGGGACCAAGTTATTATGACTTACATATGCTACTCACATAATGACTTCAAATCGTGAAATAAAAAATAATTGTAAGGAGCTTATATTTCAGTTACACAATTCATTCATGTAACACATGTGCTAATCATATCAAGAATTCCTTTCTAAACATGTTTTAACTATCAATGTTAAAGTGTTCAGTGTTGTGATAGTATCTGTGTTATACAAGATTAACAGTGAAAATAAACACCATGTAAAGTACTCTGGTTTTTGTTTCTTTACTTTCAATATATCACCGAGGGAAAATAATTAGTGGAACACTACAAACTGTTATCAACCTATTAAGTTTGTAAATGTAAACTCAAAGCCTTCTCAAGTTTTTTAAGGAATAATTTCATTTTAAATCTGATGTGACTAAATACAGTAAATTCTCTCTATTAAGACCACTAACGGGACTGACTCAAAGTGGTCTTAATAGTGAACTGGTCTTAATAGTGAATAAGTCACTTTAACAGCTGACGAAGTCCAACTTAACTTAATGTATACCTTGTATAGTTTTATGCACATGGTAAATGTACTTAATTAAATGAGTAAAAAGAAACACATATTTTTTTAAACAAAAAACATTTTTAATGCATGATAATTTATAATGAAAATATTAAACATATACAAACCATTGATACAATGAAAAATAAAATCATTAATGTAATGACATTTAAGATGTTTTTATATTAACAAAAATCATTGATACAATGCATAGCTAGTAAATGACATTAAATCTTTGTTAACAAGCACTTGTTTTGTTTTCACTTGAAGAATCTCTCAATGGTCACTTGCTTTGTCTTACACATTGATTTCACTGTCACTTTTTCCAGTGTTTCTTCTGCCTCATTTAGGGATGGAAGGACACAACTCAAGTCTTTTAATCCACAGTATAACTTAAGCTGCTGTAAGTGTTGTAGTGCCTCTTGATGTGATTTGATTTGACATTGAAGGTCAACATTATCATAGTCCTGGTCATCACATAATAGGTCAACATTGGATTCAACAGTGGTTTCTATATTGTCTCTATGAGCAGCCAACAAATCCTGTTCCCAATTGTCTGTCAGTTCCTCATGGGCTGGAGCCTCATCATCAGCACTGACATACTCCTCTGGTGACATCTGTTCAGATATGTTCAGTCTCTCATTGGCAGCCCTCACAAGCTCAACAAGTTCACCAAGAGGTGCATCGTCATCCTCATCTACATTTATTACATCACTAGAAAGTCCAGCTTTCGCAAAGCACTAGACAACAGTCTCTTTTTTCACCTCTTTCACTGCTGCATTGACCCACTGGATGGCGTCAAGCACATAAAGTTGTTTTGAGATGGTTTCAGCTGTAGATGAACTGTTCTGGTCAATTGATGTGATGACCCTTCTCAGGAGACGCTTCAGTGTAAATGATACCCTGGTCTAAAGGCTGAAGCTTGGATGTGGTGTTCTTTGGAAGAAACACGAGTTTCACGTTGGAAGTTACCAGGTCGTCAGGATGAGCAGGCGCATTATCCAAGAATAATATCACATGTCTTCCAGCTCTCTTCATTCGTTCATTAAAGTCCATGCACCAGTTTTTGAATAATTTCTGGGTCATCCATGCTTTCTGATTGTGGTACCATGTCACTGGAAGATTTTCAGTTTTCAAGTTTTTGAAATAATGAGGCTTTGCATCGCGTCCAATCACAACTAGTTTTTCAATGTCACCTTCCATGTTAACACATAATGATAGAGTAATCCTCTCTTTAGATTTCTTTCCGCCTTTACAATCCTCACCCTTAACACTTTAAGTCTTATCCGGATGAGCACGTAAGAACAGACCTGTTTCATCCATATTGTATATGTCCCTAGCACTATAACCTTCAATGATGTCAGAGAGTTTATCTTTCCAGTCTTGTACAGTGTCCTGAGAAACGCAAGCACACTCTCCACACACAGATAGAAAGCTGATATTGTGTCGCTGGCGGAACCTGGTCAGCCAACCAGTTGATGCCTTAAAGTCGGTCAAACTTAGTTCACTAGCTTACATAAGTGCTTTTTCTTGAAGCATAGGTCCTGTCACCGTTATATTATTTGCCCGTACTTTCTGGAACCATGCCACATCAGACTTTTGAGCTCCTCGTTCGGGGTTTAGACACGAAGCCTTTTTCTATCAGCACTGACATTCTCTTCATAACCCTCCATTTACGCTTCAAAATGTTCTGGACCTGAAAAATAAAATTAAAACGAACGTGATACACAAATTCTTATAAAGACAGAAACCAAACATAATATTAATATCATTTTGTAAGGATACTGATAGAAAAATACAGTATCAAGGTTTGAAGAATCAAATAACTTGACAGTGTGTTTGTTTAATTATAAGTTTTCCCTTAATGTCACTTTTATCTGAGATTTTTTTCTGTAAATTTATCATTCATTTTTTACAGTATGTACCTGAGTTTTTCCAATGCCGTATATCTCAGCCAACTTCCGCTGGCTTTTGCCCTCCTTTTCATTTTCATTAAGCAATTAAACTTTCTCTTTTAAATTTAATTCTTTTCTTTTTCTTTTTTCCATGTTTTGATTTTCTGACAGGCTAAGACTGACAGGCCTTCTTGAGGATAATACTGACAAAATTGACTTCATAAGTTGGAAAGACATGGTCAACTATGTAGATGCCAACTTGCAGCAAGGGCAGACATATATTGTGAAAAATATAAGAATTAAACGCTGCTCCAAGATGTACACTAAGACAGGCAAGGATGTCCAGCTTCTGTTTACAAACAATACAACTGTCAGTCGGAGTGAAATGGGCCCACTTCATTGTCCAATTCATTTAACAAAAATATCTGACCTAAAGGAATTAGCTGACGGTGACAAGGCAAATGTGAAACAAAATAATGCCGATAAACTGACAATAAGGTTGGCTGATGCGACTTGTAGTGTGTCTTTATCTTTTTGGCGCGATAAAGCCATCACTTTCAAAGGCTCTACTGGAGATGTATTTGTAGCTGAAGGATGCACTATTCGCCACTATGGGGATAGCTACGCTGTCCTGAATTGCACTCTGGCAGATTATTCCTTGAACACTGAAAGTGACAGTCTCTTGTTGTTGCGCCATCTTCAGTATGATAAGGACAATGGCAAAAACTTAAGCCCAGAGAAAAAACCATCGAAAACTGCAACCATCAGTAGCTTGGAGTCTACAGTGGGGAAGCAAAGCCTGACTGCGACACCTGTCAAGATGCGATTGGAGATATACTATCTGTGTCCCCTTCAGGGCTATAGCAAATCTTTGCTTGGGAGTGAGCCCTCTTTCTACCGTGAGAAGTGTAATAAAAGGTATATAGTGTCTGGAGATGGACTTCGCTTGCATGTGTCTGTTAAAGATGGTCAATCTGTCGAAGACATCCTCATGTTCAACAAGACTGTTGAAAACCTCCTAAACCTTCCAAGAGACAGTATTAAAAACATGACGCTCGATGAGTTATTCAAATGTGTTGCCAATGAAAGATATTTGTTTGAGTTATTGCCAAAACACCAAGGAGGCGATTACATATGTTCTAAGGTTGAAAAGTTGTCCTCCCTTGAAGTTAGAGATGGTCAAAATGACTGTTATTTGCATTCTACAGTCACCACAAGCGGTGCTTATGGTGATGCTGCAGCTGTTCAAAAAAAATTAAACAAATTGCCTGTAGCTTCTGATGCTAGTAAACATGTACCAACGTATACCTCTTCTTTGTATGACAATGCTGGATTGAATTTGGTTCAACCCACAGTCTCTGATGTGTCACACATGCCTGTGGACCTGACATGTAGACAATATGGCAGTAGTCATTTCAGTTCCTATGTTGATGATATACCTATGGATATGTCAACATCTTGCGTGGCTGTAGATGAAGACAGTCCCTTGGACATGTCCATGAAACAGAGTTATTCTTTCACTAAGCCTTTAAAAAAGAGGTTGCGTTTTGACAGCTTGTGAAGTGGTTACTGACATATGTATTGAAAGAAATAATTAGAAATTACGTGCGAGATGGTTTGCCAAATTATAGCAGGAGGATGTTTTAGCAATTTTATGTGCTTTTATCTGGATGTGTGTTATATGCTTGGAGTTTGAATAACATGTTAAAGTAGCTTTAAGATATTGTTGATAGTGTTTTTTTAAGTTTTGTTAACAATATAGTGGTGGACATGTTCTGCAAATTGATTATTGGATTGTTTATGAGACTGTTGAACATCATCAGGTACAAGTTCCCTTGAATAATTTACACAAAATTATTTTTTTTATTCTAAATTGACACATACTTTTTTCAACGCCATTGTTTTCATGATGGTTATTAAGGACTAGAAGAGCCCTTCGGGTGATTGAAAAGCCATAGCAATGTTTGCCATTAAAAGTGTACTAATGCGAGACCGCCTTTTTTTAAATTATAAAGTGTTTGTGTTAATGTTTTAGTATGTATTCGATGAATTTTTTTTTTGATATCTTGTCATGCGTCATACAAAGCTAACGTTACATTTTTGCTAATTTTTCCAATTATACATTCCAATTTTGGTTGTACTTACATAATGATTTGCTGTTTTTCCATTTTGCACTTTTGCTTATATATCCTGTCCATTTTTGTGTACTTGTTACTTATTAAGGAAATATCCCCGAATTCATTATTTAAGCCCATTATCATGCACTTTTGTTGTTATATATTTGTTCACAAATACCTGTGGAGTTAACAAGATGTTTCCTTTTAAATACTATAATTTATTGAGGATTTTCACTACAATATAATGCTATATTATTGAAACCAGTAAGATCATATTCATTGACTTTTTGTCATTTCAAGATATTTTTTAGTTATTTCTATTATTCTCTTAACGTTTCACATGGACAAGTTTAATACAAAAAAAATGCATGTAAGGTTAATATTTATAATATTGATTTAAAAGAGATCAAATTTTGAAGCAGTGAACAAACAGTATTTAGTGGATGAACATTTGTAAGGGTTTTTCTATTTGCATGTTTGCTATTTAGTTAAGGCTATATTTTTATGTTTATGGTTTATATTGTGTTTTTTCTTCTTCCTTAGTAGACATGTCTTTATGTGAGCATGTTATATGTTTTGGATCCATCAAATTTTCTTGGAAGATGTCAGCAGTGTCTCCATTTAATGTCGGTTTTTTCAGTTATCAGTCCCCTATCGGTTCAGCCAGAGGGGCCTTTAGGTTTACCCTCTGTTTGTCTGTATGTCCGTCCGCAAAACTGGATCTGTGATAACTTGAAAAGTACTGAAAATATTTTTATGACACTTAATATATGGATAGATGGCAGTATGGAGGTTTTGCCAATATTTTTTCTTTCCTTCCTATGTTGGAAATTCTGGTTGCTATGGCAACAAATAGACTGAAAATATGGCAAATTTAACACGTAGACTGGATCCAGTGATAATGTGAAAAGTACTTGAAATATTTTTATGAAACTTGACATATGGATACAGATGACAGTCTGGAGATTATGTGCATTGTCCTGTTTACTTCCTATGTGGAAAATTCTGGTTTCTATGGCAACAAATACACTGTATTTCTAGATTTCTGATACTGATTTTTATATTTTTCACTATAACTTCTTTATTTACTTGAAACTTTAGATACTGATTTTTGGTCATCGGCCACATCATATGTGACAAGGTTTACAACTCTGGCGAAAAAAATAGCAGAATTACCTTCCTTGAAATAAGAATTTTATTAAATGAAAAAAAAAATGGGTTTTTTTTATAACTTCTTTTAAATTAGCAGAATTTCCTTCCTTGAAATTAGATTGGGGAAAAAAATGTTTGTTTTTTTATAACTTCTTTATTTGTTATTGTATCTGATTCAAACTTCATATGTATGTTTCTTATTATTGATAATTAAGGTCCAATAATCTAGCAAGACTATTTTCTGAAATATGCCCCTTCGAACTTTTCCCCGGACATTTGTATTTTTTCCTTGCAATTTTTTCATTTCTTGTAGGATTTACTTCAAGCTCCCACATCATAATGATATGCTGATTTTTCCCACCAATTTTACTTAAAATAGTATATTTGAGTGGCCAAAGGTCCATCAGAATGTTGCTGGAGTTCTAATTGGTAGGGGACTTATGAGTTGCTTGCAATACTATGATGATTGCTTGTACCTATTTGTATGACTGCTACACCATGTAAAGTTGTTTGCCAGACCGAAAACATGCTTTTTGAAAATTTATCTATTTTAAGCATAATGGAAATGCCTGGCTTTGGTCTTGTTTGTTCTGTATTATAAAATGTCATACGTTTCAAAGGCTTTGAATGGCATGCGGGTCTTTGTCTGTGCTTTTTGTTGTTGTTCTTTTTTATCATAGAATGACATGCCTTAAAAAAAAATTTCAATTATATTGTTTGAATCATTTGGCAAGAGATAATGATACAATGGATTTCTTGTTTATTATTCTGTTGGCCATGGTCAGATACAAGTTGCCTTAAATTTTTGCAGCAAACTAATTCTTTATTCTAAATTGTCACTTGCTATTTCAATACCATTGTTTTAATCATGGTTATTAAGATAAAATGGCTTTTTGGATAATTTAAAAGCCATAGCAATGTTTGCCATTAAAAGTAATAATACACAACTGCCTTCTCAAAATGATTACGTGTTGTTATAGGATGTATGCAATATGTGATTTTTGTTCTGATATTTTATCATGCCTTATACAAACCATGC